AGTCTAGAGGCGTAGGACTATAAAGAATAGTTTCTATAAAATAATAAAAATAAATCTATAGAGATAGAATACTATATTTTTAAAGAAAAAAAAGTAATAAGGAGCTAGTCTAGATATATATATTCTACGGCTTCGTAATAAAGTAGTAGATAATACTAATACAAGAAACTAAATTCTTTTAAACTTATTTAATTTTTTTTTTTTTTTTTATATATATATATATATATATAAAATAACCGCTAATCGGCGGTAGTACTATAATAACTAGTAGCTATAAAGCTTTAGAATATTCTACTTAAACTAATACTAGTAACTTAGACTATAATACTTACTATTTTACTAGTAGACTATCTATATAATAGCCTCTATACTAGCTCGCTATTATATAAGCTAGTTTCTTCTCTTATAAGTTTTTTTTTAAAAAACTATTAACTAAGTAATTAGCTATCGAACTACTCTACCTAGAAAAACTTTATTTTATTTTAATTCTATCTACTAACTAGTATCTTAAGTACCTTCTATAACTTATATAGCCTAATTAGAAAGCTATACTTTAATATTATAACTATTATTTACTAGAATAAACGCTACTTCTAGATTAGAGTACGTTATTTTCTAACTAATTAACTAACTTATTAATTTTTTTTCTTTTATTCTAGAGCTATAGCTTAATACTAGTAAGTAGTAAGCTAGCCGGCCGCTATTTACTACTCTAGTAATAGTTTTAAGAAATAAAGAATAGTTAATAGAAAAAGCTTAGATATTCTATAGCTTTTTCTCTAAGTTTTCTAGTAGAAGTAACTAGATTAATCCGCTAAGTTATACTTAAATTAAAGAAATAGTATAGCTAGCTAAAAATCTAGTAAGAACTAGTAGAAGAAGAAAATTCTAGTTAGTTTTTATTTAAAACTTTCTACTTCTATAGAAAGATAATTAGATAAAGAGCTAAGTTATAAAGACTTTTAAAAAATTTAATAGTATATATAATTTACTATAAAAGAGTAAGTAGTTTAATACTTACTTTTAGTAGAAAATAGCTACTTTAGCTACTAATTTAAGCTTTAGTTACTATTAAATCTAAAATAAACTTTTTAAGTTAATTCTTCTATTTTAGAAATAAAACCTTTATAATCTAAGTATAGAGAATTATTTTTATCTAGTAATAGTATAGGATAATAAAGTAGTACTAGACTAGCTATACTATAATATAAAAGAAAATCTTCTATTTTTAGTCTAGCTATCTATAGAGTATTTCTTTTCTATAAATCTAAGGCTTAGTTTATATTAAGCTATTCTAGATATCTTTTCTATTTTTAAAAAACCTTAGGAAGAAAGATTTACCGCTAAATAATATAGTACTTTTAAAATAATAATAAACTAAGTTACTTTAGAAATTATAACTTCTACCTAGCGCTTACTATAGAAGTAATTTATATAATAAGTATTTTAATAACTAGAATCCTACTTTCTACCTCTATAGTAGTAAAAGACTTATAATAGATAGATACTATAAAATACGCGTTAGTAGCCTAAACTATATAAAGCGATATAAAAGTAGTAATAGATAAACTAACTAGCTTTTAAGTCTTATAGATCTAACTAAAAGATAAATAATTTTTTTAATTCTAGAATAAATTACTAGTATATCCCGCGCTTTATAGTAGATAAAGTTAGTTACTTTAATCTCTACTTAGAGGAAGATTTTAGCTTAGAAAATATTATTAATAAAAACTCTAAGATATACTATTAGGATATTAATCTATTTATTAATATAGCTAAAGTAGTAGTAGCGTCTATTACTCTAGAAGTAGTATATACTAATCTAGATAAATACTTATATAGTACTACTTAAAACTAGTATATTTTCTAATTAATAAAAGATTAGTACTTACTACTTTATAAAGGCTAAGGTTTTAATAACTAGGAATTAGCGCTACGTAGTAAATAGGTAATAAAACTAATAAGAGCTTAGAAGAAAATAGAAGTACTAAAATATAATAAGTTAAGTATTTACTCTAAAACTTTTATAGTAGAGTTTATCTTCTTAGCTATCTACTTAGCTAAGGCTAGGGGCTACTACGGTAAGGTATTACTAATACTTTATACTAATACTCTAAAGAGTAAAAGTATAAGTATATACTATAAAAAAAAAGTATAAGTATTCTCTAAAAGTATTAGTATAAGTATAAGTATTTTCTTAAAGTATTAGTATAAGTATAAGTATAAGTATTTAAATTTTTAAAAGTATAAGTATAGTATAGTATATTAAATAAGTATTAGTATAAGTATTAGTATCTAATAAGTATTAGATTATATAAAAGTTATTCTTTTAGCCTAAATCTTTTATATCTTAAATAATAAATCTTATAATAAGTATATAATAAGTATAAGTATTACTATAAATAGAAGTAGTATATACTTAAATACTTAAGTATAATACTTATTAGATACTAATACTTATAGTATAATACTTATTAGATACTTATACTTATAGTATAATACCTATTAGATACTTGTATTTATAGTATAATACCTATTAGATACTAATACTTATAGTTTAAGTATTTAAGTAGATTAGAAAGAATTAGAAGCTTAATTAGTCTATTTTCTATTGTTACTTAGGCTAGGCTTTAGAGCTATTTAGGAAGTATAGAGTTATTATATTAGAAGTTAGTAAAAACTTATTCTATATTATTAGAATTAGTAGTAAAGTAGTAGTAATCTATTTATCTATCTACTAACTAGCTTTATACTATTTCTATAGAATAAACTTTTTATAGAAATTAGAAAGATTACGCTTAATAAGCTTCTATATATAAGAAAAAATAGAACTAATATAGGCTTAGCTTTCTTTACTATTAGTATTATTATAGCTAAGCGTAAAATAAAAGTAGATTTAGCTACTAATTATCTAATAGAAGAGTTATTTAATTTCTTTAATAGGCTACTAATTAGAGAGCTTAAAGTAGTATAGTTAGACTTCTTTTATATATTAAAGACTAAGACTTATACCTATATAGTAGGCCTTACTACGGTATTAGTATTATAGGGGGGGTATAAGTATTTACTAATACTTTTTACTTAAATAATACTTATAATATTATCTTTACTAAGTTTATAGTAAGCTCTAAGCCTCTTAAGCTCTCTAAAAATTTAAGTTATCTAAGCTATAGTAGTAAGTCTCGTAGCCCTAGCTATAAGATCTAAATTACTAATAAAATAGTAGAAAAGATAAATACCCTACTAGCGTAACTAATACTTTAAGAAAATAATAAGAAAGAAACTATTCTATAGGCTAGTAGACTACTATTTATTACTAATTATCTATCTAATAAGAAAGAAAGCTAATAGAAATCTAATTTAAAAATAAAATAAAACGTAGCGCTAGTTAGTAGAAAATTAAGAGAGGCCTTTAGTGTAACGAGGCCTCTTCAGCCTAGGCGTTGGAATTGCCTAGCGGGTGAATAGGTTCGAAGGGTTTACCTTGAAGGACAAGAAGTATAGGAGTTGAGAGACAAGTCACGTAAAGGATCGGGTGTAGGCGTGTTACCATCAACCTAAGGGTGTAGATTAATACTTTAAGTTGACCACGAAGGTCCTATCTACTGCTAGAGAGCGTAGTCTAAATACATATTAAAATATAGATCAAAGGAGATATTGGATCAATCTATATACTAGATTAATCCGAGGGTTAGATCGATCTGGACGGGTTAATCCAGTGTGGGTCTGTCACGTGACTCCTTGTGCCACTTTTCTGACAACCGATAATCTGCATTCTGACAACCTTTTTTCTTTCCTGTCGCAGAGCGGACGCGATAAGCCCCTTATCCTTAATCGCTCTGTACTCTACTTGTCGGCTTATTGTTTTTGTCCCTGTGGACATTAATTCCCTGTGGGCCTTCTGGAGTTGTTGCCTCTTAGTGGGCTAAGTCCTTGCGGGGTGCATTCCCGTGCGGGCTTCTTAGGGTTGCGGTCTTAGTTCCTTTACGGCCTTGTCTGGCACGTGTCTGCGGGTGCCTTGCGGGACGCGGGACCTTGTGGTTACTAAGCCCTTATAGACCCCAGGTCCGTGTGGGCCTTTTCTCCATAAGGTCTTTCTGACCCTGCGGGTTAATTTCTCTTGCGGTCTATAACACTATCCCCCTCTTTACGGATCTTCGGCCCGAAGATTTTCCTTTCGGCCTATATATCGCAGTTTGTGTCGCCTTCTTCTCCTTCCTCCGTAAGTCTTTCAATATGCCTCCCAAACGCAAGCGTTCTGAGCAGGATACTGAGCGCCTTTCTTTAGGTGCCAAGATTGACTTATTGGGCGACGTGATGCCCGTCCCTTGTACTCGTTGTTTATTGCTACAGGAGCAGGGGGAACAAGTGGACTGTAAGGTGGCCTTAAACTTTTCGCGATGTAGCGAATATTGTCGTCGAGGGCATAGCAAGTGTGATGCCGGGGGTGTGGAGGATTCCGACTGTTTGTCTTTCCCCTTTCCTAATGTACTTGATTCTGACCTTGCTAGTTGATCGTTTGAAGCGTGCTTTGGACAAGGCTCGCGATGAGCGTGAGAGCGCTCGTCAGGCTCTTCGGGCTTCCATGTCTCGTTTAGAGCGCGCTGAGAAGCAGACTTCCTTACTGGAGCGTCGTGGGGCTCTGATGCTTCATCGTAAGGCTCAGACGGTAGAGGATTTGGAGGAGATTGAGCGGCTCGAGACTTCCCGTAGAGCTGGGGATGCCGCTGACCCTGAGGCTGAGGGTGGCGATCGGCATGCAAAGCGCTTGCGTGGCGAGTCCTCAGCTGATACCTCTGTGGGTCCTACGAATGTGGGTTCTCCTGGGGCTGGTTCTGCTGCGCCTCCTGAGACGTCGGAGCCGGTGGATTTCGCGCGGATGCCTGTCTTCTGGGAGGTTGATCCGTTTTCTGGCGAGTTTGATGTGTCGGCTTTGGACGGTCTGGATTTCGGCGGTGGAATTCTTTAATAAGTTCTTGACATCCGTCGCAGTTCTCAGGTGGTTCCCATATATTATCCCAATTTCCTTCCCATTTCAGAAGATAACGGAATTGACCGTTAACGTGTCCACTGTCTAGGACTTTCTCGACTGTCCATTCTTGGTTTTCGTCGGCGTCAGGGTTTTCCGGTATCATTTCTTCTATCTGTTGTACTGTGGTGGCGTTTTCTGGTGCCGATTCCAGCAGTGAGACATGGAAGACTAGGAAGATTTTTATTGTATCCGGCAATTTGAGACGATAATTGACTTTTCCAATTTGTTTGTCAATTTCGAACGGTCCGATTTTCTTGAAATCCAGTTTGTTGTTCGGCCGTTTCGTCCGGATGTTTTTTCTAAGAAGGTATACTTTATCCCCCTCCTTAAAGGTCGGTGCCTCCTGGTGCCGCCTGTTGTAGTATTTTAACATTAGAAATCCGTTGTATTCTATGTCGAGGCTTAACTGTCTGTGCAGCTCTTTCAGCTGGTCTGCTTTCAGGATCCCCTTCTGGGCAAGCGACTGGCTTGGTTGCGGCTCATTATAGGCCGTTGGCTCATATCCATAGTTGGCGTAGAACGGCGATTCCTGGGTGGTTGTTGCCTTGGCGCTGTTGTACGCGAATTGGGCGAGAGGTAAGAGTTCTACCCAGTTGTCTTGTGCGTAATTGACATAGCAGCGCAGGTGTTGTTCCAGTGTCTGATTTATCCGTTCCGTTTGCCCGTCTGTTTGCGGGTGCGCCGTGGTGGACATCTTGTGTTTAGAACCAAGCTGACGGGTGAGAGTCTGCCAGAATCGGGAGGTAAATAATTTGTCCCTGTCTGATACTAGCTCTTCTGGTAACCCGTGGTTGCCGAGGATTGTCCTGAGGAACGTATAGGCGAGTTCTTCCGCGTTTGCCGACTTGAGATAGGGCAGGTAATACGCGTACTTAGTGAGCCTATCGACGATGACGAGTATCGAATCGTATTTTACCCTGGTAAGTGGCTCCTTCGAGGATAGTAGATCCGTGATGAAATCTAACGAGATCGATTGCCATGGCCGTTCCGGTGCCTTGAGAGGCTGCAGTAGCCCGTAGGGGGCGTGTCTCGCGGCTTTGCTTCGGATACAAAGGTCGCACTGCGAGACCACTCGTTGGACCGTCTTCCTAAGGCCTGGGAAGTAGAAGTGCCGGGTGATTCGTTCGATTGTCTTGTCGGTTCCTTAGTGACCATGTGCTGGTGGTTCATGGATATCTTTAACTAGTCCTTCTCTAAGCGTTGTGGGGACGTAGACTAATCCTAAAAACAGGATTGTTCCGTCGGAGTCCTTTGTTACTCTTGGGTCGTCTTTTATTTCCATGAGTTCTTATGCCATCGTATCGTGGCGGTATTCCTGTCGAATCTTTTCGAGCCAGGAACCGTTTTCGAGTCTGATCGCCGGTGCTAGCTGTCTGCTTAGGACGTATCCATCCAGCTCTATGCCGAACCAGCTTCGCTCTGTGCGATACACCGGGGCGACTACCCTTGCAGGTTCCAAGGAGCCATCCTCATTTTGTTGCAGTACCGCTGGTTGAATACCGGGTTTCCCTGCGAGGTAATCGGCTCTCCTGCTTAACGCATCAGCCCTGGCATTCTCGGATCCCTTTCTGTAGGTGATCTTCATGTTGTAAGACGCCAATTCTTCAGCCCACCTGACCTGTCTTCGGGTCAGTTCCTTGGTGGTGGTGAAGTGAGTCAGGTTTTTATGATCGTAGTAGACCATAACCTGGTATTTTGCCCCTTCAAGGTAGTGTCTCCATTCTTTAAAAGCCGTAACAATGGCTAGGAGTTCCTTGTCATGGACGTCGTAATTTAGCTCCGGTGGGGTCATCTTTCGTAAGTAATACGCGATGGGATGGAGTTTTCCTTATTCGTCTGGCTGACTAATACAAGCCCCAATAGCGTAATCAGAAGCGTCTGTTTCGACCACAATGGGTAGTTCCGGGTTGTAAATCCCAAGGACGGGAGCTTCGCAGAACATCCGTTTTAGTGATTCGAAGGCGTTTTGTTGTACTTCTCCCCAGTTGAATCCGTGCTCTTTTCGTACGAGTCTCGTAAGGGGTTCTGAGACTTCGGCGTATTTCCAGATAAATTTCCGGTAAAAGTTAGCAAATCCGAGGAAGGACTGCACTTCCTTAACGGTTCTAGGTATTAGCCAGTCTCGTATGGCATCTAGCTTCTTTTCGTCCATCTCCACGTGTCCTGGTGAGATGACAAAGCCTAGAAATTCCGTCCTTTAGACGTGCCATTCGCACTTCTCTAGTGCAACCTGCAGGTCTTTGCCTTGCAGTGCCTAGAATACTTTCCTAACGTGTTCTTTGTGCTCCTCCAGGGTCTCCGAATAGATGAGTATATCATCTAGGTAAGCCATACAGAAGACGTCTAGGTAGTTGCGTAACGTATCGTTGACCAGACTCTGAAACGTTCCTGGAGCGTTTGTAAGACCAAAGGGCATAACCGTGTACTCGTAATGTCCTAGGCGGGTTCTGAACGCGGTTTTCCATTCTTCCCCTTCCTTCATGCGTACTAAGTAGTAGCCTTCTCGAAGGTCGAGTTTGGTGAAGTATTTTGCCGTCCGTAGCTTGTCTTGAAGCTCGGTGATTAACGGCAGTGGATACCGGTTTTTTATGGTAATATCGTTTAATTGACGATAGTCCACACAGAGGCGTAATTTACCGTTCTTCTTTGGAACAAAGAGGATTGGGTATCCGGCTGGCGAGCTTGATGGCCTAATATAGCCGCGTTCGAGATTCTTGTCCAGGTAGTCCCTTAGCGCCTCACTTTCCTTTTCGGAGAGCGCGTAAATGGGCTTAAACGCTGGCTGCGTGCCTGGCAACAAGGGTATCTCGTGATCCTATGGCTTGTGTTCCGGTAGTTGGCCTTTGCCTCGTTCCTGGAAAATTGCTCGGTAATCCCAGTATTCTTCTGGTACCGTTTCCAATTCGGGAATGGGCGGTTCCTTCTCTCGCTTTGGAGGTGTACTAGGCTGGTACATTCCTTTCGCAGGTATGGGTTTTCCCCCTGGTGGGTGACCTTCCTTGATCCTGTTTGGATCATCCCCGACGGCCGGTTTTGGGCCGCCGGATTTTGGCCTATTGGCCTGCATGTGCGCCAGAATTCGGTTTTCCGTTTCTTGACTGGGCTTTAAATACATCATGCAGATCCTTTCTCCCCTGCGTCTCATTCGTTTAAGCGCTGCGGCGGAGATTTCCTTGACTTCGATTGGTTCGGAGGATCCGGGTTTTTGTTCCGAGGAATCCTTTTGGGAGGCGCGCGTACTGTTCGGTCCGTTTTTAACGCTCGGTCCTCTGGAGCCCTGGTACTTATAGCTCTGGCTTTGCTGGTTCTGGCTCTTTTGGCTCTGACTCTTAAGCTCTGGCTTTTTCTTCCTCTGGCTCTCTAGGCTCTCGCTTGCGTGGCTCTCGGTTTTCCGCTGGGCTTCCATAAGGTGTCGGTCACAACCTTCGTCTGGGAATGTGATTTCCCCTGTTCTCCATCGAATGTAAGGTTCGTGCGTCCTTAGCCATGGTATTCCTAGGATCACGTCGTAGGAAGCTATGGTGGTAACGTCTAGATTGATTTTCTCCTTGTGTTGTCCAATAGTAAGAGCCGACTGGTTGGTTTCAATTCGTACCCATCCTTTTCCATAAGTGGAGGGTGTTCCGTCGACCGTGTTAAGCGCGTAAGGCTCGTCCTTTGCCTGGTGTAGCAGGTGGTTTTTGATGACAAACGTGGGGCTTACGAAATTGCCACTTGCCCCGCTGTTAATCATGATTCTAGCGCTTACTTTGTTGATTTTGGCTGTAATCACAAGGTGTTTCCAAAGATCTGTTCCGGTAGGTATGGTTCTGTTCACTGTTCTGATCGCCTGGTTCAGGGACCTAGACTTCGGCCCCTGCAAGGGTCCTATTAGTTGCTGTGCAGGGCCGTCTAGTTTTTTGACTGTCCCTTTTCAGAACCTTGACTGCTCGATTGGGGTGTACTGTCGTAGAAGTCGCCGGTATCACTGTCGACTAGTAGGGAGTCTTCCGGTAGTTCTTCTACGAACCCATGGATTTCTTCCTTAGTGGGTGTTCCCCATTCATTTGTCCTGCGTGTTCTCTTGGTGTTTTGTTTTTTTGGCTTATGTGGAAACCATCCTGTTACCAGTTTCTCACTTTGGTGGATTTGGCAGTTATCGTCATAGCATGCAGTCCAACTGAGCGTTCCGTGCTCAGGCTCTTTCCGGGCTGCTACTAACGCAGTTCGATTGGTGGCAGCGGCTTCTTTCCCCTTGTTCTTGTTTCGCGGGTTCTGCGGGCAGTTGTGTCCGGGTTCCCATTTGTCGCCACAGTGGATACAGAGATTCTTGTTGAATCGTTCTTTCTGCTGGTCGGTCCACTTGTTGTTGGCTTTGCGGTTGTTTTTTCCTTTTTTGCCTTTGTCCTTGTCATCTCGGGATGAGCTGTCTAGTTCCATGGCGTCACCTCCTTCTTGGGTGTGCCTGGGTCTCATGGATCGGGATGTGTTGGCTTGTTTATCCCAGCCACGTTGTAAGCGGCGTCGGTCCAACATGGTGGCAAGCTGGATCATTTCTGCGAGACTGTCGGGTTCCTCGTGGTAGGTCATTGCTTCCTGAATTTCGTCTTTTAATCCTTGGGCGTAGAACGTCCTGAGCGTGTAGTCGGTGTGGTGTCCAGCCACGTATGCTGCGTTCTGAAAGTCAGTAGTATACTCCAGCACTGACTTCTTTTGTTTCAGGGTTTGGAGTGTTCTCGTGGCTTTGCGGGTCTCGTCGATGTCCGCGAAAGCCTCTTTGAGATATTTGACGAAAGTTCGGTAGTCGTTGAAGACCTCCTGGGTTCGATCGGTCCATTCCCACTGCTGTTTCTCCTGTCGTTCCCGTTTCATAGGGCGGAACCATTTTTCTGCTGCGCCGCGTAGGTAAGTGCTGGCGTACAGGACCTTTTCTTCGTCATCGGTGAATTGTCCGCGTGAGAAGTGGAGGTAGTCGTCCAATTGAGTGAGAAAGTTCTGAGTTTTGTGCCGGTCTCTATAGTAAAGATCAGGCTTCGGGACCTTTGCGTGGGATGTAGCCGGTGCCGCTGATGCAGCGACGGGTGCGGACGAAGGCCGGGCCGGTTGAGCTCCCTGTGGTGGGACTGCTGGGGCTGTAGCCTCTTGTGCCGATAATCCCGTCTGTGGAACCTGCCCTTGGTTGATGCGGGCTCGGAGGCGTGCGTTCTCCTGCATCTGGTCGTTCAGTTGCGACTGGAGGTTAGCCATCTGTCCCTGCATGCCTTGCATCATGGCAAAGATATCGTCCAAGGTTGTGGGGTTCCTCTGCTGCTGTTGCTGCTGTTGGGGAGCACTGCTACCGTCGTTCATGTCGACTGTCGACATCTTATCCTGTCTGGGTTAGATAGGACGGGGTGATACTTCACTGATTGATCTTGACTTGGAATTGAATCCTCCTTCCTTCTTGCAAGGATGGTGGTCAAAGTGTAACGAGGCCTCTTCAGCCTAGGCGTTGGAATTGCCTAGCGGGTGAATAGGTTCGAAGGGTTTACCTTGAAGGACAAGAAGTGTAGGAGTTGAGAGACAAGTCACGTGAAGGATCGGGTGTAGGCGTGTTACCATCAACCTAAGGGTGTAGATTGATACTTTGAGTTGACCACGAAGGTCCTATCTACTGCTAGAGAGCGTGGTCTAAATACATGTTGAAATATGGATCAAAGGAGATATTGGATCAATCTGTATACTGGATCAATCCGAGGGTTGGATCGATCTGGACGGGTTGATCCAGTGTGGGTCTGTCACGTGACTCCTTGTGCCACTTTTCTGACAACCGATAATCTGCATTCTGACAACCTTTTTTCTTTCCTGTCGCAGAGCGGACGCGATAAGCCCCTTGTCCTTGATCGCTCTGTGCTCTGCTTGTCGGCTTGTTGTTTTTGTCCCTGTGGACATTAATTCCCTGTGGGCCTTCTGGAGTTGTTGCCTCTTGGTGGGCTAAGTCCTTGCGGGGTGCATTCCCGTGCGGGCTTCTTAGGGTTGCGGTCTTAGTTCCTTTACGGCCTTGTCTGGCACGTGTCTGCGGGTGCCTTGCGGGACGCGGGACCTTGTGGTTACTAAGCCCTTGTGGACCCCAGGTCCGTGTGGGCCTTTTCTCCATAAGGTCTTTCTGACCCTGCGGGTTGATTTCTCTTGCGGTCCATAACATTTAGCTAAAGCTTAAAAAGTAATAGCTATCTATAATTAGAGAATAAATCGGGTCTTTCTTTTTCTTATTTATTTATTTTCTTTTCTCTTTTTAAGTTACGTTAGTAATTAGGAGCTAACTTAAAGTCTTTTTTTTTCTTATTTAGTACTCTCTCTTTTCTTTCTTTTATATTTTTTTTCTTTTTCCTAATTACTTTCTATTTCTTATAGTAGCTTATAAAGCGGGCGTTAGTTCGTACCGCTATTAAGCTAGAGAAATAGAAGATACTATATTCTTTAGAAAAAGAAAGTTATAATCTACTAGTCTAGGCGTATATATTCTATAGCTTCGCGATAAAGTAGTAGATAATACTAATACTAGAAGCTTTATTCTTTTAAACTTACTTTTTTATTATAAAATAACCGCTAATCGGCGGTAGTACTATAATATAGAAAGCTAACTAAAAATAAAGTAGTAAATAAAAGATAGTTATTAATTCTTATCTACTTATAGCTAGCTTAAAGTTATACTATAAACGACCTACTAGTAAAGAATATATAAAAAATTAAAGAGTAGTTAGCTCTACTATACTAGTATTAAGACTATTAAATAAATTAATATATTTTCTTTAAAAAAAAGAAATAAAAGTATATCTTCTTAAAAAAAAAAAGTAAAATAGAAGTATATCTTCTTAAAAAATAAGTAAAAATATACCTTTCTTTTTTAAAATCTATATCTTAAATAGATAGCTATTTATCATTAGATTATAGTAAATATAGTATAATATTTTTAAATTACTATATTTTACTTTCTATAATTCTCCTCGCTAGTTAATATAGAATAAGGCTTATTTTCTTATCTCTTCTATAGTTGAAAACTCGGTTCTAATTAAAGATAGCTCTATAGTCGATTTTTTAAATAAAAAAAGAAAGAAATGTCCTACTATTTATATTCTAATTTTAGGTACCTATCTAATTAAACTAAATATTAGGTATCTAGTTCTAAGTTTTAGAATTTTAATTATAGTTAAACCATAAAATTAATCGTATATTTTTAAGCTCTAGAATATAGATTCTAATTAAATTAAATATTTTTATAAATTTTAAATTTTAAGAATATAGATCCTAATAAAATTAAATATTTTTTTTTATAAATTCTAATTTTTAAGATTCTAAACTTAATTAAATTAGATAATAATAGTATAATTATAATAAATAAATATATATTTTTTTATTTAGATTATATTTTTTTAAGAATATATTTAATCTTCTTAAAAGTATATTTAGTTTTTCTAAGAGTATATTCGCTTTTTTAAGAATATATTTTTAAGAATATATTTAAATTTTTAAAGTATATTTAATACTTTTTAAGAATATATTTACTTTTTTAAGAGTATATTCAATTTTTTAAAGAATATATCTAATTTTTTTTTAAGAATATATTTATTATTTGTAGTAATATATTTTTTTAAAAAAAATATTACTAAGATATATAATTTTTTTCGAACTAATTTCTAAGATATATATATTTCTCGAATATATTTCTAAGATATGTATATTTTCTTAAGTATATCTCTAAAATGTATAATTTTTTCGCGAAATTTCTAAGATATATATATTTTCGATTTTTTCTAAGATACATATATTTTTTATAATATACTATAATATATTTATTTATAAGCGAAATATATTAAAAAAGTATATATCTTAGAGAGACTTTTTCGATATATATATCTTAGAAATATTATATATATCTTAGTAAATAGCCGTATATATGTCTTAGAAATTATTTTTTAAGGAACATCTTTATTTTTTTAAAAATATTATATTTCGCTTTTTTTAAGAATATATTTTTTAAGATTATTTTTTTTTTTAAAAAAAAAGCGAAATATATTCTTTAAAAAATAATTTCTAAGATATTTATATATTCGAAAAATATTTTTTTAGATATAAGTACTTTTAAAATTTATTTCTAAGATATATATTTTTATAATATATTATAAAATATCGAAATATATCGAAATATTTAAGAAAATATCTTAGAGAGACTTTTCTAATATATATATTTTAGAAATACTATATATATCTTAGAAGTTATACAAAAAAAAAATTATATATCTTAGTAAATAGCCGATATATTTTTTTTAAAAAAAAAATTCTACGATATATATATTTTCGAATTTAATTTTTATTTCTAAGATATATAATTTTAGTAATAGAATACTATATATATATATTATAAAATCCTAAGATTTATATATTTATATATCTTAGAAGGCGGTTTATCTTTAAACATACTAAATAATAGTAGAAGTTAAAACTTAAATTATACTTAAAGATTAAATAACCTATAATTAGAATATATATTTTATAAATTAACTTATTTTATAAATATTTTTTAACTTATTTACTAGTTAGACTATAACTAGTAATGCTATTGAAAATACTAGTATATTGTCAAAAGGTACTATATAAACTTTCTATTAAGAAGTATTAAAATAGTAAATTATAAAGCATTGCGATATCTTTCTACTACTTCTACTTATTCTTTCTTGTCGCTAAACGCAAGCGCCCATCGTCTCTGTAGTGTCTTCCAACTCTGCATTGGACTTCTATCCTTCTCCCTTTCCTCTCGATTTATGCGGGCAAGGGCGGCAGCGGAGCCTATGCTGATAGCGAATAGAGGGTCAAGCTTCCTATGAGGCGTGAGCAAAGGGGCATACAGATGAACAAGAGAGCAACACCTACTTTGAGATGATGTACTTATAGGCCATGTTGTGTTGCGGATCAATAGAAGGGAAAGGGGTTGAGAAGCGATTTCGATACAGTCAAGCGAATTGTGCCGCGACTTGCAGTGGATGATGTTGTAGGGCCGAGCGCTGGCGGGCGGCGGGTGTTGCCGAAGAGATTGCGGGGAGATCGGTGTCGGCGTAACGCTACCGCTCAAGTAATTAGGTACGGGTCACGAACGCGCAGATAAGAGGACTCTTGATACATAGAAAGCTTGGTAGACATACAAACAGACCATGAACCAGGGCTTCACAGCTAGCAATGTCTAAAAAACATCACCACCATCGTAGTCGGATGCTCTTTGCTTGTTGCTGGTCAATTTGAGCTACGGAAACCGCCATAAAGCTCACCCATTAAGCAGAAGGGGATACCTCAGCTCGGTCAGCGCACCGCCGCCTGCTTCTATGCCCGAGGTCAAAGCAAGTCCTTTGTCTCAGCAGCTGGGTCCGTCCTTCGTCTTTGCACAAGTCCATCACTGTTGCTATCGCCCAGCCCTAATCAGAATATCACCATAACGCCTTATCAGCGCCATGTGGAGAACCTAGTTGCCTGTGTCATACGTCGGAGATCCAAGGGGATGTGGGAGAGGTGCCTAGCAGGCCTCGCCGAAGGTGTTCTCGCCAGAGTAGCTAGAGTCCACTGTTAGTGCTTCAAAGCGGAGTGTGACAAATGGGCGGGCTGGCCTACGTAATGTACAAGAACCCGTCCTCATCCTTGTGCTCCTCGTAGATGCTCGACATCAGCGCGGCCGTCGGAGGCAGGACCTCGTCCACGAAGATGAAGATGGCCTTCTCGGGCGAGAGCTTGATGCGCTTGCGGATGACGTAGACGAACTGGCCGACAGTGAGGTCGGAGGGCACCAGGTACTTCTTCTTGTCGATCGTGGCGATGTCCGACTTCTCGACCTTTTCGCAGATGACCTAGGCAGCGTCAGTAGGTGCGAGCGAAACGGGAGGTGGAGGAACGGGGAGGCTCACCGGGATGCGGTCGTTGTACTTCTGGCGGATGCGCTCGGCCTCGGCCTTGCGCTTCTCAAAGGGGTGCTCGTCCTTGAACTTTGAGCGCATGTTGGATACGGAGGGAGAGTTCGGCGACGGAAGGTTGTGTGGGAGAGTCGAGCGATGGGGAGGATGGAGCGGTGAGCGGAGAGGAAGTGAGCTTGGGGTGGAGGGGCAGGCAGAAGCAGCTGGCTATGGCGCGCCTACTCCTAAGTATGAGCCTCCGCTTAGTCAGGCGGTGGCAGAGCCTTGGTTGGGCGGCAATAAGCGTGTCCACGAAAGTGAAAGAGTCAACGAGGGAGAGCCATCCGGTGACTGGTGATCATGTGTGCCGTCGAAGGCGCAGCCTTCTTTCAAACCGGGCCGCATGGGGCAACGCGCCACGGGACAAAGTCACTCGCCTGCAGCACTCAAAGAGCGGCTGTGAACAGTCAGTCGTCATTCCCGCTGCAGCTCCACCTACGCTCCAGGCTCCAGCTTCAGGCGACCCGGTCCTTTCACGTGATGGGCGCCGTGTGGGGGCTGCGGAAGGTTATCGATATCAAACAATCGCCCGCCGGCGCTTTTCTTGCGCACCTACAGGTATAGGTACTCCTACAACAATAATGACGGAGCATCACCACACGCGCCTGACTGTCCTGGTCTCAGGTAAGGCCTCGGAGCTTCGGGCGTCGTCGAGATCCTGCTGATGCCCCCCGCACAGGCAGCGGCACCAATCTGCAGGCCCTGATAGACGCCTGCAAAGACGGACGTTTGCCAAACACAAGCATTGCCCGTGTTATCTCAGACAAGAAGGCGGCGTATGGCCTTGAGCGCGCTCGCCAAGCTGGCATACCCGTGCACTACCATGGCTTTCCTCCCTACAAGGAAAAGTTCCCCAACCTTTCCAAACAGGAGCAGAGGATTGAGTTCGACAAAGACCTCGCCAAGATTGTGCTGAACGATTCGCCGGATCTTGTCGTTTGTGCTGGTACAGTGCCGTTCGCCGCCATCAAACCCACTCTCGATTAACCCATGTAGGCTATATGCTCATCTTAACGGACCCTCTCCTTGACGCCCTGTCGAATGCGCATATCCCAATCATCAATCTACACCCAGCCTTGCCCGGTGAATACAATGGCGTCAGTATTCCTTCCAACAGCGCCACGTTGAATTCCCATTGTTACACTGTTTCGTGACGACCGCGCTTACTGACCATGCTTACGCAGACGCACGCAATCGATCGCGCCCACGGGGACTGGAAAGCTGGCAAGACCAAGAGGACAGGAGTAATGATTCATTATGTAATCCTGGAAGTTGACATGGGCGCTCCAATCTTGACAAAAGAGATACCCTTTGTGGAAGGTGAGGATGACAAGCTTGAAGATTTTGAGCAAAAAGTGCATCAAGTAGAATGGGGTGCTATTGTCGAGGGCACGAAGTTGGCTATTGATAAGCTCTGGAGCAGCCGGTCGTCATAGGGGCTAGCGCCGAGGGGAATTGTCTAGGTACTCGAGGAAGGGCTATGCCTCAGCTGGAAAGAGCACATCAGGAGAATCACCGCGCACAGGAAGCGAACACGACACGGGGAAATTAAGTGTAAGCTGGGGCACTAATCTCATTGTCCGAGTTTGTCAAGACATACAAATAGCTTCTCTACGAAGTGCTGGAAGGAAACGTGCCTTGACGTCAGGCAAATACGCTAAACCAAGTGACTCGTTCCTCACCAAGTCCCATTGGTTCTCTGCTGACTATACGTGGTCCCTTTTGGGGTTGACTGCTTATAAAGTTTCTCTCTTATAACGGTGAAGGTATGCAAACGGCTATGCAAGACCTAAACGCATTTGTCGATAAATGCATTTCAGACGGTTGAAAGTTGCTGACCAGCTCAAACGCTGCAAGCGGTCTTGACTGTATGTAGTATGCAGTCCCTCATGAAGGTGAATTGGCATCTGCGTTCGTGGAAGTAACCCCTGTCGCGCTAGGATCAACAGCAGGGACCCCTGCAAGCTCCACTTGAGCCCAAGCCTTTCTCAACTGCTTCAGGGTCTCTGGCGTAAGTTGTGGTAGCATAGCCTGTGGCAACACAGTGTGATGTGTGAGAACAAACGCCATGATGCTCTTTGGTGAGAGATACTTCAGAACTTCAAGTGTGAGTTCTGTCGGCAAAGGCCAGGCCGTAGTTGCAGGCCCTCCTGAGATGCCCCTGCTCAAGGGTGCGTATAGTGCCCATGTCATCAAAGGGACAATAGAGCGAGATTGAAGGAGTGGGTAGGCAGCAAATGCGAAGTTGATGAAGCAATCTGGTTGCATACAGTCGATAATTTGCAACAATATCTCTGTGGCTAGTCCGGCGAGGCTATTCCCAGACGGGAAATCAGCAGAGGTCGGCATAGAGGGCGAATGCAGTGCTCGGAGACACGCAGTCAATCAGCGTGTGCTTTTGGTTGCTCGAGGCGGGATACCCAGCGACACACGAACGACGATAAGAACCACGCTGCAATTGCGAGACTGGTGATGTAGGCGGCCGTAGGCGCCAGAGAGCGTGGTAGAATGTTCAAGATGTAAGGATCCAAGACTGGTGCAAGCATCAGCGTGCTGACGTGTTTCAACTCTCCAACGTGGCAAATCAACGACTCACTGATATCGATTGGGACGTCTGGCGGGGCTTTCATCAGCGTTTCGTTTGTGCTATAGAAGTCGGCTGCAGCCTGGACTTGCAGGAACAGCAACGAAGACGGCGGGGCCGCAGGCTGTTCCTCGGAAGCAATGTCGGGGCGACGAGCCTCGGAGTAGCTGTCCAGGGCCGAGATGAGCTCTGGGGTTTCAAACACGGTGGCTATAGAATAGGTGTCGAGCCAGAAAGCCGTGGGCTGCTGCAAGGGAATGAGCAGTGGACATGCGAGGCGGGCGGCACGACTTACCGTGGCCGGCCAGCAGACGCGGACCTCGTACCTCTGGCCGCCACGCAGGTCGTCGAGCAGGTACCAGGAGCCGCGGCCACGCGGGGCGTCTGTCGAAGCAAAGGCGACGGGCAGACGGGTGGTGATGTGCTTGGCAGGCGACAGCCTGCTCAGAGGGGGCAGCTCATGGGGCAGGGCAAGGGCAGCGGGCGCAACAAAGACGGACTTTTCGACGTTGGCAAGCGCGACGACGGCAAGCAGCAGCAGCAACAGCGGCAGCAAGGCGAGCATGGTGAAAGCGCAAATGCTCAGGTCTGAGTCTGGGCGTCTGCTGCTGGCCAGGAAGTCATGATGATCGACGCACGGGCCGAGTCGGCTCAGGGCCACAATAAACACTCCTATCGTCTCCCACTCCCAGACGGTCTCTCTTCCCTTCCCCGTCCAACGCCCTCCCCTCTCTCCACCACCACCACCACCAATAGATACCCCCTCCCGCCACCCCTCCGCCGCTCCACCGCCTCACCTCTTCGTCCATCCCTCGCCCCTCCACTATGAGAGAAGTCATCAGCTTGAACGGTACGTTGCAAAACACCCCGCAAAAACGCGCTCAGGCCGCTTTTGCCGCCTCCAGCACATCCTTGCCCATGCTAACTTCTCCGCCCGTACAGTCGGCCAAGCCGGTTGCCAGATTGCCAACTCCTGCTGGGAGGTGAGTGCCGCTGTTTGCCATCTCATTGCTTGGATCCGCGCGCTAACGCCCGTCGACAGCTCTACTGCCTCGAGCACGGCATCCAGGTACGCTCTGCTCTCGCCACCATCAGGCTACTCGCCCAGGTGAATGAGGGACCTTGGTATTGACTGCAACACAGCCCGACGGCTTCCTCACCGAGGAGCGCAAGGCCGAAGATGACGACCATGGCTTCAGCACTTTCTTCTCCGAGACCGGTACGAGCAAATCTTCCCCAATGCCAGCCACGCTCTCCCTTTTCGAGAGTCAGTTCTGATGGAGCAACAGGCCAGGGCAAGTACGTGCCCCGTACCATCTACGCCGACTTGGAGCCCAATGTCGTCGACGAGGTCCGCACCGGTACCTACCGCAGCCTCTTCCACCCGGAGCAGATGATCACCGGCAAGGAGGATGCTTCCAACAACTACGCCCGTGGTCACTACACGGTTGGCAAGGAGCTCATTGACCAGGTCCTTGACAAGGTCCGCCGCGTTGCCGACAACTGCTCTGGCCTGCAGGGCTTCCTTGTTTTCCACTCTTTCGGTGGTGGTACTGGTTCCGGTTTCGGTGCTCTGCTCATGGAGCGCTTGTCCGTTGACTACGGCAAGAAGTGCAAGCTCGAGTTCTGCGTTTACCCTGCTCCTCAGGTTGCCACCGCTGTTGTTGAGCCCTACAACTCCATCCTGACCACTCACACCACCCTTGAGCATTCCGACTGCAGCTTCATGGTCGACAACGAGGCCATCTACGATATCTGCCGTCGCAACCTTGGAATCGAGAGGCCCAACTATGAGAACTTGAACCGCCTGATCGCTCAAGGTAATTACAAACGTTGCGCGCGTTTGACGAAGACTGCTTCTAATCCCTCACAGTTGTCTCTTCCATCACCGCTTCCCTTCGCTTTGACGGTTCCCTGAACGTCGATCTCAACGAGTTCCAGACCAACTTGGTTCCTTACCCCCGTATCCACTTCCCTCTCGTCGCCTACGCGCCTGTCGTCAGCGCCGCCAAGGCCGCCCATGAGACCAACTCCGTCCAGGAGATCAGCATGTCCTGCTTTGAGCCCAACAACCAGATGGTCAAGTGCGACCCTCGCAACGGCAAGTACATGGCTACTTGCTTGTTGTACCGTGGCGATGTTGTCCCCAAGGATACCCACAGCGCCGTTGCTACGCTCAAGACGAAGCGCACCATCCAGTTCGTCGACTGGTGCCCGACTGGTTTCAAGATCGGTATCTGCTACCAGCCGCCCCAGACGGTCCCCAACGGCGACCTTGCCAAGGTCAACAGGGCTGTGTATGTTTTCCCCACGATTCCAGCGCTCAAATTCGAAGCGCTGGTGGTAGTGTTTTGCATATTCTATGATCAATCCGCTAACAAAGTTTTTCTAGCTGCATGCTTTCCAACACCACCGCCATCTCCGAGGCTTGGTCAGCACTGTCGCACAAGTTCGACCTTATGTACTCCAAGCGCGCTTTCGTGCACTGGTATGTCGGCGAGGGTATGGAGGAAGGCGAGTTCAGCGAGGCCCGCGAGGATCTTGCTGCCCTGGAGAGGGACTACGAGGAGGTTGCCGCGGATTCGCTCGAGGGCGAGGAGGAGGCCGATGCCGAGTACTAAGCCGCAGAGATTGGAGTTGCAGCACGGTTGCTTTGGCGGGCATAGATTATTCTAAACGCCCTGTAGTTGGGAGCCTTTTCATGGTTGTACTTGCTTTTAATTCATCACCGGGAATCCTGAATCTTGCTTCATCGTATTGGAATAATTACCGCGCCCACTCTAACGCACCTTATGCAAACACCAACTAATCAACAGATGTCCATAGATGCTGGCTGGATTTGATGTACAGCTTGCTAGCATAAGCAGGTCATCTGGATTCCCGCGAAAAACCGTGTAGGTCTCAGTCCATGTCTTCATCATCACCACCAAGACCCACTAGTCTTCTCTCAGCAAGCTCTTGAATCTTCTCTCCAAGGACGTCCCGTCCGAATCGGCTAGCAATCTTTTGCGCAGCATCCATCATCTTTCCGCCTCGGTCTCTCATCAAGCCAACAATTTCAAGCGCCTTCATTCCCTTTTCTTCACCTTCTCGGCATTCAATAGCTAGCAACTGCAATAGTGCTTTGTCGAGCTCCAGCTCCTTCCTGGCCAACTCTGTCTTCTGTGAATGGGTAGCCCTCGTAGCATTAACCATGTCTTCCAGAAGCGACAACTGTAGCGAGTGCCTGACGAAGCTTTCCTCCAGCTTCTGACCTTCAGAAAACCCTGCATCTTCATCGTCCTCATCCATACCCTGGCCTTTGGCGGGAGTACCGTGAACAGGAATCTGGAACTCGAAATCGGAAAGCAGAGGCCGTGGGAAATAGGGGTACTTGTCGCCGCCCTTGAGGATGATACAGTGGAACCGATCATTCGCGACAGCCACCGGCCAATATGTTTCTTCCTTACGTCCAGATGCCAAACGAGAGAGAAGCTTAGTATCCAGAAGTGGGACCCAGCGGGCCTGGCCAGGTTGCCGCCAGTGCTGCAGGACTAGCAGTGTCCCTAAAGTATCATACACGCAAGGGTCCTATTGACAGTATTAGTTTTCTCATTATGACTGAAACAAAGCCGTATGACTGTTGACACTTACCCCACTGTCCGAGAAAAAGACGCTTTGAAGCTCTGTGTCTTTGCTTAGTGCTACGATGTCCTCACTTTGGCAGATCTCGTCCCTCTTGACGTTCTCAATGGTATAGAGCAGTCTTGTGGAGCCATCGCCGCCAACGGGTCCATTTCCAATGGTCAATACATAGTCCCTCCAACTTGCGCAGGTGACAGTAGGTGATGATTTTTGGCGGTAGATACGGTAAGGGACACCGAACAACGTATATACGCGGACATAGTCAGCGGATGTCGTGACAACAACGTACGATTCGCTCAAGGATATGGCCGTCACAGTCTCCCCGGCTGGCAGCTGCGTCCGCCAGTCTGTTCGCGTGGTCCAAGTCTCGTGCGGCCGATAATAGACTGTAGCCGGGTGATCTTTACTTGGAGGGCAAGAGAACAGCGTGCCGTTGTCGTTCAAACAAGCTTTGTCATACAAGAATGGATCAGTAAAATGGAAGTCGCGATGTGCTTCCCTGTCATAGAACTCCACTGTAACGGTGTGATGCGTATCCTGGTCCACTGTCCAGACAAATCCAGTTAAGTTCAGGCATAAATACCGCCGATTGCCGCGCCACGGCGTGCTTCCTGGCTGGAATGGGACATGGACGCGCCATTGGGGGGAACTGTAAGCTCCTCTGCTACGCTTGCCGCTTGGTACCTCCAAATCGTCCAGATGCTTGTTTGTGCGTTTGCCATATCCATTGATTTCTTCAGCGTATCCGGCCCCGTCATCGTCCTCGATGAACGGCTCATTGTCAGACATACCATCTTCGCCAAGTATATCGTCGAGCGAATCAGGAGTTCCCCTTCTGGGAGGACGGACAGGTATGCCACCTTTTGAGCCGTTAAGAAGCGCTCTGCCAGTACTGCCAGAAGTTTCCGCCAGCGGGTCATGAATGAAAGGCGCATGCTGTAAATCTTTCTCCAATATCGGGAGTTGCTCTGAAGGCACGAAGTCGGTGTGGATAAATAACTCGCCATCGCTGTTGGTGTATGACAGTGTATTCTCCGTGGGATGCCAAGCCATGGCGAGAATTGTAGCGCGGGTATCATCATAAGTCTTGGTTATTCGTTGGGTCTTGGTATCCCACAGCGTAAGCTTGCGGTCCAGACCAGCCGAAGCAAGAAGACCGCCATTGGGCGACCACGCGGCAGCTGTGATGTCACCGGTATGGCCGGACCTAAAAGCCCGCTGCTTTTCCCAGTCACTACGTGAAATGACCTGGATATCTGCGAAAAATTAGTCACGATCCTTCGCCTTCAAGAAGAAGCGAGCTTGCCTCTGGTAGGTGTGGGGGCAGCGAATGCGCGACCGTCTGGATGCCAAATCACTTTGGAGCTAACTTCAGCATCGGTCTCCAAGCTCTTCACCAACCCGACCACCTTTTTGATCAATTGCGGTTCTTCAGAACTGAGGGAATACACATAGATTTGGCCATCGGAGCACGAGACGGCCAAGCATGATCCAGAGATATCGAAGGAGACGTGCTTGACAGGCCGCGACTGTTCTCGGAGGTAGAGCACGCGGCTCATCTCATGGGTGTTGACGACCTTGACGACCAGCTCACTGATTGCCATGTCAGTCATGTCTCGTGGCGGGGGAGTGATGATTCTTACTCGCTGGCCACAGCTGCCCAGTTGCCGTCCGGGGACAGTGCGATGTCGCGAATAGGCAGAGTGCATCGCACCAGAACGTCGTCGAGGGCATTGGTGTCGAGCGAGTATTTGCACACAGTGCCATCCTCGGAGCCGGCGACGAAGAAGTCGTTCTGGGCGATGTTAGTGATGGGCCGGGGGCGGGACCGAGGTCGAGGAGAGACAGACAGCGGCAGCTACGGCGGTATTCGAGTCTTGGGCATTGTCGATATTGGTGGGCTCGTCGACGGAGCCGGTGTGGAAGACGCGGATGGCGTTGTTCAGGCCGACGGTGATCAATTTGCGGCCGTTGGGAGTGTAACTAAGAAAGGTCGGGCCGGGAGGGTCTGTGGAGGGGTTAGAGGGGAGGCAAACAGACGTCGAAGCAGCGCAACTCACGGGCAGGAAGGCCCCTCAATCTGGGTTGGGCCATTGGTGGTGGGTGAGAGAGAGAGAGAGAGAACGCGACGCGCGCGCTCTATTGTGGGGGACGCGTCGAGGCGGGCTTTAATTGGCGCTTGGGCCAGGGAAAGCAAGCAGAATTAATTAATTCCTTCCGCGGTCGCCTCAACATCATGCGCCGCGCTCTCTTCCACGCCCCGCGGCTGCTGCCTTTGCAGTCCCGCTTCTTGCACCGTGCCAGCGACGAGCCCACCATCTTCGCCCTGTCCACGGCTGCAGGGAGAGCTGCCATAGCCGTCATTCGAATTTCCGGTCCCGCCTGCGTTGGGGTATGCTCGATTCTTGCCATCATCATGGCTTGCTCTCTGATTTCTCTCATGTCCCTAGATATATCGTGCCCTGTGCCCCACTAAACCTTTGCCCAAGCCTCGCAACGCTGCCCTGCGCACCCTGTACTCTCCAGGCCAGTCCCAGTCACCAGACTCTGTCCTGGACTCCGCTTTGGTTCTTTTCTTCCCTTCCCCCAAAACCGTCACCGGCGAGGATCTGTTGGAGTTGCACGTGCACGGCGGCCCTGCCATCGTCAAAGCTGTTCTTGCGGCTGTGTCGCGATGCTCGACGGCAACCCACCCTGTCCGGTATGCCGAGCAGGGAGAGTTCACTCGGAGGGCGTTTATGAATGATAGGCTTGATCTGACTCAAGTTGAAGCCCTCGGCGATTCTCTCACGGCTACGACTGAACAGCAACGGCGACTGTCGGTCAGAGGGACAAACAGTGGCCTCTCGAAGAGATATGAGAGTTGGTGTCAGCAATTGTTGTATGCCCGAGGCGAGCTTGAGGCTCTTATAGACTTCTCCGAGGACCAACATTTTGATGAATCGCCAGCTATGCTAGCTTCTTCGGTTGCCGAACAGGTCAGACGCTTGAAGCAGCAGGTTGAAGCTCATGCAACGAATGCCGTACGCGGAGAGCTACTCCGTAATGGGATCAGCATCGCACTCCTTGGTGAACCCAATGCAGGAAAGAGCTCGCTTTTGAATCGGGTCGTCGGAAGGGAGGCAGCAATCGTGAGTCAAGTGGCTGGTACTACACGAGATGTAGTGGAGACCGGCATCGACTTGAGTGGGTGGTATTGTCGCCTCGGTGACACGGCTGGCTTAAGAAAGAGCTCGGAAAAAGACTCAGCAACGTCAGATCCAAACATTGTTGGCCTGGTCGAACAAGAAGGCATTCGGCGGGCCAAGGAGCGGGCCATGAATGCCGATGTGGTTGTTGTCGTTTTTTGCATCGAGCCCGCAGACAACGGCGGCACCCCCACATTTTCTATGAGTTCTGAGGTTGTGGAGACAGCCAAAGAGGTAATTTTGCTGGGCGGCCATGTCATAGCCGTTGTTAATAAGGCGGACGTTATTCCTGTTGAAGATTCCGACCGGCTTCAAGAAGAATGGTTTGCCGCTGTGCAGAAGGAGCTCGAGATTTCGCCCAAACGTATACATTTCATCTCCTGCAAAGATGTTGATTCTGAACGGACAAACCCCGATCCTGGCAACATCCAGGCCTTCCTTGGGCGCCTGACCGAAGTCTTTGAGGAGATGACCGTGCCATTTGTGCCGGACATTGACAATACGGAACCAGATTTATCCATGTGGCAGGAATCACTTGGCGCAACGGAACGCCAGAGAGCTCTCCTAGAAGATTGTTCCATGCATCTTGGCGGTTTTCTTGCAGAGGTGGACAATGCCTCCAAGGATGTGGAAGGCGAGCTTGATGTGGTTCTTGCGGCGGAGAGCTTGCGCGCCGCCGCCAATTGTCTGGCTAAAATCACCGGCAGGGGGGAAGCAGGTGATGTCGAAGAAGTTCTGGGTGTAGTTTTCGAGAAGTAAGTGTCATGTCCCACTGTAAATCAACCAACAGATGCATCATGGATGACTGATCACGCGGTAGGTTTTGTGTTGGCAAATGATGCTTCATTGCGAGCTTTTGTAGACTGAATGAGAAACGAGTGGAACAAGAAAAAGCAAATACCCAAACATCCAAAGGAAGACTCCAACGCTGATGCCAATACGCTAAACACCTTAACTCCCGCTATGCCGCCCAATGCTGCCTTCGCTATGCAAAAATCACAGGGTATAAACAAACGGTGGAAATACTCTGGCCAGGAACGACGCTTTAGTTATATCCGCCCCTGCCGGACATGGACATGGAAGCAGCAGCGACCCATGGGGTTAGCCGCCCAGGTAGTGTCGACGTCCACTGGCTACCCGCTCGGTTGTATCCGCCGCGACCCATATTTGCTCTAGGTAGACGGTAGGCGTGGGATGGATTCAGTGGCCTTGGCCTTGTTGATCAATCGTCGATTCGAGGAATACGTCCAGATGATGAGCTCAGAGTTGTGATTACCGCCGACTAGCGTGGGGTGTTGCTGGTCAATGCCAGATGACTGATTTTCTGGTGGAGAGAGGCTTGCGGGAAACCAGAGTGCAAAAGCAGTGTTCTCTGAATATCGATGTTCGTTTGAAGAATGAAGGTTTAGTTGTATCCGCCGCGACCCATGGAGCAATTGAAATGGGGTAGATGGGTAGAAGGATTTGCAGTGAAATTGGTCTGGAGGGAGGATGCAGCAGCAGCAGTGGAATGCAATGTGAGGACGGATGGAGAAAGTCGGTGTTGGAGCCTTCGAACCATGACTCCGGCTGGGATACTTATATGAAGGTGAGCCTAAAGATGCAGACACCGCAGGCACCAGGAAGCCACCAGTCATGGCACAGCACGGCAGATGGCCACAGTCCACCAGTTCGGACAGAAATAAGGTACACATAGCCACGAAAGCCACAGCCGCTGTCAAAGCGCACTCTGAATGAAGGGTGCGCTAACGGGCCCCCTTTTGGGCGTCGGGGCTGACAATTGGCTATTCGCGGACGAGATACGGAGGGGCGCTAGAAGGCAGACAGTCTGGCACAGTGGGAGTCAGCCTCGATGGATGGCGGGTGCCTGGTCCAGCGGGGCGTGGGGGGAGAGATCGTGGGAGACAGCCACGATGCTTTTGGGCACAGCATGCTCGACACAGTCATGGTGCCGAAAATAACGTCGAGAAGTTGAAGGTCGGCGGCGGCACTGGGGGTGGGGTGCAACGCCCAGCCCCCACCCGAAGGAAGTCGCATCTATTTCCGCATCGTCTCTGGTTGTTCCGGACGCTTGGGCGCAGGGCTGCAGAAAGTCGACGCTGCAGGAACGAGATGCCATGCTGCCCTCCCAACCCGCGGGGTCGAGCGAGCCGAGGGGCCGCAGTGCCGGGTTTCGGTTTCGGTGATGACGCGAGATTCGCTCGTCCTCAAGAATACTGCTAAAAATAAACTCCCGCGCGGTAGGGCTGAGGCACCCCCCTGAAACTATTGATCTGCTGCGGTCCGATGTCGTCTATCAGATTCTCTCTCTCTGCTTGTCTGTGATCTCTGTGATCTCGGGTTCCTAACCGAGCGAAGCGACTCTTGTAACCTGGCCACGCGGTCCTGTAACCTTGTCGCGTCGCACGGTGCACACTGTCCGATTCGGAGTACGGTAGGTTTTCCAAGGGCGCGCAATCTACATGCCTCCACCCGCGCCCCTTCAAACGAAGAGCGGCTCGGTCCGTTGCCCCTCGATCCTTCGCGGTTGTGGCGCTTTGACACCAAACATCGCTGCGCCGCAGAACAGCCACCCAATGCCTTCCGAGGCTGAAACGGACAAAATAAATTTCCCGAGCCAGAGTTGATGCAACGTTTCCTGCTGTCAAATGCGGCTGCGGGGAATCCTTGCATCCTGTACTACTGCGGGTGACGTGTGGCTGCCTGTTCAATATCGGACAAAAGCGAAAGGCTTTGCTCTGCTACCTCATTCGCTGTAGGAGGCGACGTAGTACTGGAGGCCGTCAGTTCTCGTCTACCATTAAGGTTTCGATAATGACCGATATCAAGCACATACCGTTAGGACGGAACCGTCTCGTCCGTCTTCGTCATTCGGCAGGTACACGTAAAGAATGAGAGCATGATCGTGGCAGAAGCCTGCATCTGCAGTCAGGTACAATGCATCGAGTGTCGTACGACAGTATCCGCGACTCACAGGCGATGACTCTACCACCTAGCCTTCCAACAGACATGACTTTACCCCAGTCTCGTCCGTCAATTCGGACGGAGGCCCATCCCTCTTCGCTGCGCCCATCGGCCGTTCCGAGCTCCTTCATCTTCGTGCTGGGATGGTGCCTTATGCCCTCTTCGCCGCCTTCGATTTGCGATGGGTCGAGCTCCGGGTTTGAAAGGCCAGTCCAGACACTGGAAATGTTCATAGCATCCGTACGGATACTGATCTTAAGGCAACCATGCATGTTGGCAGCCAACTCCAAACGCGGTCCTGAAGATGACATGCTCGTCACGCCGCTAGTGACATTGGTCCTTGCCGCGAGAGCCAGTCTAGTAAAACGATCGGATATGTTCTTCAGTTGCATGAGTGGCGGCAATAGGATATGCACATCAGGATCCCGGGACCTAGGCTCGTGAATTCCCTCGACGCTGAGAGGACTGAGCACCTTGATGGGTACGTCTTGGGTTACCACTGTCTCTCGCTCCCTCAAACCCTGTCCATCAGAGCCATGCACGCCTTCGCCGAAACCGAAGCCGTCGTTCGCCGTGCCAGATCCCCCATAGACGCTATGGGTGGTACTGCTCAAACTGTTTGTAATAATGGTGAGCGAAAGAAGTGGGATGTTATCCTTTTTGGTAAGGCGTATTGACGCAGATGTGGCGGACAAGGCAGATTTCAATGCGCGCTGAAGCGGCACAAGTGGCACTTCGAGGTTGATGACATTGTTGGCAGCTGATTGGATGTTGTACTGGTCGAAGATGGTGTCCTACAACGCACCAAAAATCAGCCACGAATGGCTTTCCGGAGACATACAGCGGGTGCGCTTACAATGGACAAAACGCTTTCCGAGGTTAGCGGTGCGTGACAAGGGTGATGCGGTAAACCTACGCCCAAACCTGGCTGCCTTGTTCGGGAATGACAGTGAAGCGCACTTCACTTTCATCGAGCTTAACCCACGCTACAGGTCCAAGAGATGCCAGAGAAGCAGTGAACTCTGGGTGTGCGTCAGCAATAGCTCAGTGGGAAGAACCAGGAGTGTACGCCTACTCGTGAAAGTAGAGATGTTCTGTATCGAAGCCTTGAACCGCATTTTGGCGTCGCAAGCAGAGCGCGCCAAAACTAGTCCCGATACAGAGAGTCAATGAGTCAACGGGTAATGAGCTGGGTACGGTCAGGTTTGCGAGTGTTGTAGGTAGCTAGGTAGAGAGAAGACGCGCTGCAGTGAACGATGACGTGCCTACGCGCTCCCGGCTATCTTTCGGCCGATATCTCCGTTACATAAAAGGCCAGAGACCACAAACTGATCGCGGTCCGGTCGAGTTGATCGTAGCTGATTGCAACCGTATGAGCAACTTCAACTTAAAACTGTTGTCAATGCACCCATTTGATGACAGCATCAATATTGTGGCAAAATTAGCTTTGAGTTGTTGTTTTACTGAAATAATAATAAAAAAAAAAAAGGAAAGGTTTTTTCAATTGTGAAAAAGTTTGAAAGTGCAAAAGAGACTCCCCCGGACAGGCTTGAACTGTCAACCTCCTGATTACAAGACCCAATAAGAGTTCTTAACAGTCAGACGCGCTAGCCAATTGCGCCACGGAGGACATCTGAAAACTCAAATGTGCATTGTAGAATATAACCAGTAAACACATTTAGTAAAACAAAAGCATATACAACTTCAAGTTTCAAATAACCAGAGTCCAAACTGAAAGAGCGGCTTATACGGGGTTACCCAGATAACCTCGTAAATAAAATAAAACAATTCTTATGGGTTACTGCTAAATGTATAATGCCTGCAATTATAACGGTATGTATAGCGCAAAAATACACAGAACATAATATCTACTTCGACCTGTGTAGTATTGGAGGATGCCCTTGAAGCCGCAATGTTCAGTGTCAAGAAAAAGAACTTAAAGTCCGTACTAATCAGGTACGACTCCATCTCGGATTTGGAAACATTGGCCAACTTCGGCATGTTTCACACTTGATATCAGTGTTTGTATCGATTGTCTCATTGATTCTGCCAGACGTGGCACCCTTTTGTTGAACGATTATTCGCCAGACCCTACTGGCGTTTTCGGACACCTCTGGTAGCCCTCAATGGGTATATAGCTAAATGCAAATGGCGCTATTAGAAAGCCATTGTTTGACATTGAATCCTCATATCCCACTCACAACGCCGAACAGTCCATTTTCCTTCGCAGTCCCTTTCCACGCCCATAACACATGCACTGTAGCAAAAGAAACGAACCGAACGGAACAAAACTCCACCTATGCAATAATATTGAGAGAAAATGAGAATTACACTCCCGACGGATACTGAGCTTGCTTTAGTGGTTCTGGTAGTGTTGGAATGAGCTGTTCCGCCTCGTGGCGAGTCCATGCTGCGCCTTCCACATTGCCGTGCTTGTCATATGTCCCGGCAAGCATGCCGTCAGCTACGCAGGTCCATAGGCTGTTGCCCGCCCTCTTCGCGAGCGACCTGCCGGCTTTTGCGCTTTTTTCTGCCTGTTCGCCGATGATGTTTGTGAAGAACATTGCGGTCATGTAGTTCATACTAATGCATAGAAGCTGATTGTTAGAGACGGATTTGGCGGCGTGGAGTGCTTGCTGGATGCACTGCTTCATTTTGATAATCGAAGACTCTTTGCTGTGCGAGATTGCTCTTAGAAGATAAAACGCAGAGATTATGGACTTGCTGGGGTGTGTAAGGCACTGAGGCTCTAGACTTCTCAGCAGATCATCAGCCTGGTCATGCTTCGGATGTCTAGGATCGCGGAGAATAAGAAGAGAGTTCATAGACGCGAGTATGCTGAGATCGGCTTGTGCATCTCGACCAGTAGAGCGGTAATTGCGAAGTAGTTGAAACTGTTCAAGAGCAGCCTCAATGTTGCCAGTGCCTTGTTCAACCACTCCATTAAGGTACGTGACAAAGCGTTCCATGGACTTCCTTTGCTCGTTGAAAGGTTGAGGGATCGTGTTGCTCAGCGAAGCGATATGGGAGCGAGCAGATCTCCAGTCGGATTTATTACAGGCCAGAAACGCCTGATGCATTCGAAGATGCCAATCGAGTAAGAGATGCCATTCCATCCGCTCGCACGCGCCTTGTACAGATACCGGGGTCAGATCGGGTTTATTGAGGCTCTCTGTGAAATAATCAATATGGAGTCTACGCGCATGTCGGAGAGTTGAGATTGTACCGCGTGTGAGTTTTAACCCCTCTCTAAGGTAGCTCTCAGCTTTGTCTTCGGTTGGGTTTTTGAGAAGAGCAGTTACGCCGCTCACAAAGTACCCCAGAGTCCATAGATCCCGTCGCCGCATCCAGGATACAGTGAGCATGTCTCGGCCATCTGCATATTTTCGGAAGATGCCACCCGTAGAAGCGGTTGTCTGACCACCGGTGGTTCGCTGTATCAGAATGGCAAAGCTCCCGTCGTCTCGACCGTTGTCCCCATTAACAGCACTATCCATAATCGCTTGCATGTCTCGCATTTTAGCAACTGCTTGGTCTGGCTTGTAGGTCCGTAGGTTACAGGCGAGATCCACAAGGTCCAACAATGCAACAATTTGCCCAAGCTCTCGTGTCGACAACTGTAGTTGCAAGCTCCGTGCCGATGCGATCGCCCGTTGCGCTTGTTCCACGCTATCCGAGTTTAGTATGTGCAAATGTACCATGGCCTCAATGGCAGAAGCCGCCACATAGACTGCACTGTCTCCTTGTTTTTCAGCAATGCTAGCCACATTGCGGAGATTGTTTTGTGCTGACAACAACTCTCCGTGCAGACCAGATTTCATAGACAGCGAGGCCCGGAGAAAACGAAAGGCGTATATCCATACTATATGGTTATACCTTGAACAGTGTCAGTCCATGGCCATCAGATGGATGGAGGTAACTTACGCTTCAGCCACGCGCAGCACGTTGTCGATGGACTTCAGAGCCGCCGAATGGTTTGTCTTGAACAGAACACGGGCAAGTAAATGCTGCATGCTGTATTTCAAGTCGATCAGGCGGTGCCTCTCGCACAACGTAATCCCTCTGCTCAGTATAGTCTCTACCTCTAGCGCGTTGTCCGTCTCTTGGTACAGTAAGCCCGCATATTTGAGGACCAGTGTCGCTTCCATGCGAGGATGTAGCCTGAAGTTCTTCAACACAGACTCCATGCATCCCAGACCTGTAGCCATAAGCTTGTAATACTTGTCCTCCTCCGCTTCCGGTCGCGCCAGAGCTACCCGTGACCCAATGCTGTGCGCAGCAGCTATGTATTCATCGGCCAACGAAAGAAGCAGCTGCGTGTGGTCTAGAGATGCCGGGGCTGGCTGAGGGATCCGGACTTCAACGGTTGGGGTCTGTCGCGGAGTGGCCGTAAGTTTTGGCAAAGGCGCTTGCCTGGGCGGGGTCGCCACTTGCGGAGGAGTTGGCGCGTATTGACGGGAGTGGTGCGGGTGAAACGCAGATGTCGGCATCTGTGGAGGAGCAGGAGAAGCAGGAGAGGCATACTGCATGAGAGGTGTGCCGTGTGATTGCGGGTACGGTTGCTGTAGAGGGACTTGAGGTCGCTGCGGTATCACGACGACGGGGTGACTAGCACGTTGTTGCGCAGCTAAGTAGGAACCGGGAGAGCCTGCGACGGGTGCGGGCAACACTGGGGCTCCGTTTGGTAGAGCGTAGGTCGTCGCGGGTGGATAATTTGGCGGAGGGTAGCCCGCGCCATACGCACCGCTTGGCTGCTGGTACGGCGGGTAGTTGTACTGCATGCCGGGCAGCGAAGGTTGGACCGGAAGCGACGCGTCATACAGGAATCTTCATGGCGCGCAAGTTGGAGTCTGGCGTCGTCTGAGGCGGAGAGGTGTCGGGCGGCTCTACCTAGACGTCGGGGCAATCAGCCGCCGAGCCCTTACCCATTCGCCGGCATTACGCCCGTATGGACGTCACATGTGAAGCATACAAATACAATAGTTTTCGCAAAGTGCCTCTCCGAACACGTCACAAAGAGACAACATGATGGACTTCTCGTGGTTAGCCGGCCATGCCCGGACTACGTACTACAACAGCCCCAACCCCGTCAACCTCAAAACCAAGTCTGGGGATGCTGTGTCTCTGCCGGATCTGGTCAAGCAAGTGACGCCTCCTTGCCGCTTGAATCCGTTACTCTTCAACGGACACCTGCAGACGGCTTACACCACTGGTAAGTGTCCTACCTTTGGGAATTCCAGAGTCGCCAGCTCGTCGGTCCACTCCATAAAATCGACAACTCATGGGCTGACTTCACTTTTCAGTCAAGGGGGCCGATGTTCCAGTAACCTACAAAAGAAAAATCTTCGAGTCGGACGACCCAAGGTATGCCGGAACATTCGCCGTGGACTTCGTGCATCGTATAGCATCCGATGGCGTGGATGATTCACTCCCTCCGAGGACGACGTACTATACCGACCAAGAGTTTGGCGAGGTCGGCTCTGATGACAGCAAACCTATGCTTGTTACTCTGCACGGCCTTTCTGGCGGGAGTCATGAGATTTACCTGCGTCATGTTCTCGCTCCTTTGACCAATGAACAGGGCGGATGGGAAGCTTGCGTGGTCAATTCCAGAGGCTGCGCAATGAGCAAAATCACCACCAGCGTGCTGTACAACGCTCGTGCAACGTGGGATGTGAGACAAACAGTGAAATGGCTGAGAGAAAAGTTCCCAAACCGGCCTTTGTTTGGTATTGGCTTCTCACTTGGCGCCAATATATTGACCAACGTACGTATGCCGGATACCACTAGAAGAGCGGTTGTTGAAAGAGATTGCAGTACCTTGGCGAAGAAGGAGAAAACTGCCAATTGAAGGCCGCCGTAGCCTGTTCAAACCCGTGGAATCTTGAGGTCTCATCTATGGTTTTGCAAAAATCATGGATAGGCTTGAATGTGTATCAGAAAGTCATGGGAAACAATATGAAAAAGCTTTTTGAGATGTAATCACCCTCAAGCAGAAGGTAAATGGTAACCTACGGCTAACAGCAAAACAGGCACGTGGACCAAGTCAAGAAAAACCCCGCGATCGACATTGATAAAGTGAGAAGCATTGACTATCTCTTCGAATTCGATAGGTCTGCTTATGGAAATTGTTCTTGAGAAGCGTTTAAGAAAGTTGCTTACCGACAGCGGCAGGTACATTCAGTGTGCCAGTTGGGGATACCCCACAGAAGGCTCATACTATCGCGATGCCTCTTCTACAGACTCCATGCTGGCCATTAAAATACCGTTCCTTGGTATCAACGCTGAGGACGATCCGGTAGGGGTCAGTTTTTTAATCTTTGCCTGCTTAATTGCTGATCGGGTTTCCAGATCGCGGTAAAGGAAGCCATTCCCTTTGAGGAGTTCAAGCAAAACCCATATGCTATTTTGTGTAGCACCTCTCTTGGGGGTCACCTCAGTTGGTTTGAGAGTAATGGCGACCGATGGTTCGCAAAAGCCGTAAGTGTCTCTCCTATCGGTACTTAAAACGGACATTAGAACTCAATCAATTTAGGCTGTTGCCTTTTTAGCGAAGATGGCCAAGGACATCAACCTAGAAGACATCGAGAATCCGGAACCGAAGAGTGTCAATGGTAGCGCAGAAGCGAAGATCAAGCAACCAGTCTTCGAGCCGATGCGTCGCAAGCTGCACATTCCGAAAGAACATGCAGCATAGAGTGCATCCAGATGCTTTGCTACAGTCAAATCTGGTTACAACATTCGACACGGTCAGCAAAATCCGACTCTCAAAAAGGCGTTCATCGGTGGCATGTCCGGCTAGAGTTTGCGTAGCCTTTTGCATACCTTTGGCGTTATAACGAGAGAAACGTTGTAAACAGTCAACGCCAATCTCAACAGTCGGTAGCTGTTGACCAGCCCAAACGATGTAACCAGTCTGGACTGTACTTAACTTGGCATTCACATGAACGAAACCATCAGAGGACTCACTGTATACTTTCGTAGAACAATCATGGTATCATAGAATAGAATAGAAAGCGGCTCAACCAAAAGACACCCTCTTCTTGCTAGGCTTCGTAGACTTAGCGGGGGCCGCGGCGCTTTCGTCAGACGCAGCATTCGTTTTGGACTTCTTCTTCCGACGAAGTGACTCCTTCGTTTCCTCCTGCTCTTGTTGTCAGTCAAGAAATTATCAAGGGGATTTTTCACAGCGTACAAGTTTCGAGCGCTTCTCCGCTTGACGAGCTTCCGCCTCCTTTTTCCTAGCTTCTCTTATCTCCTCCATTTGTCTTGCCTTCATCATCTTAGACTCAATCTGCCCCTCCTTGTCTGCATTGACCATGGCAAGAATAGTCATCATACTCTCCTGCGCCACGGTCAGTACCTTGATCCAAACAAGCATGCAAAAAAGCCACAGGCATCTTTAGACAAGCACGCATCAACGAACAGCCTGCCGTGAGAAAGACGGAGAACTGAGGCACAATGGCTTTCAAAATGCTCGTGCTTCTCTTGACCGTAACATGCGCTCCGTTCGGTTGATGCAAGCTCGTTGAGGGATGCCATGGTAATCGTACCTGGTCGTCGACGAAGACCTTGCCCTTCTTCTTGCCCTTGGGCTTCTGCACGCCCGCAGGCGTGATCATGTTCAACGCCGGGATTCCAAGCTCCTTCTCGGTGTAGACTCTCTGCTTCTTCTTGGCGGGATTGGAGGGTTTGGGCTTGGCCGTGCCGGTAGGGTTGTGGGTGGAACCGCGGCCTTTCGGCTTGGACGACTTGGAGGGCTTTGCGCCCTTGGCGCTGGAGCTCGATTTTGGTTTCTGCGGCTTAACTGGGGCCATTGCGACGGGTTGCGACGGTGGTTGTTGAGGGCAGCGAAGAAATCGAAAGTGCATGGAGATTAGCGGCCTTTTGCCGCAACGCGGTGGATCCCTGTCACTTGCGCCTGAGCTGCGACTTGCGTAAAGCAAGCAACCGCCGGCTCGACCAGCACATCATCAACCGCACCCCTCAACATCGCCAACATGGTCAGCGACCGGCTCTTCCGCTTCCCCAAGCCCGCATGGGTTAACAGCGCCAACACCCGCACTGCCGGCGTTTATGCCGCCGGCGCCTTGGTAAGCTCTCCCAGCTGCGCATGATGCTCGCCAGAGCAAACAAGCTTACGCCTCGCCCAGTTCTCCCTCGGTCTCTTCTTCTTCATCGATGCTGCCGCCTACTCAAAGTCCCCTAAGAACGGTTCCGACGTCCACATAACCTTCGTCGACTGGATCCCGGCCATCTGCTCCGCTCTTGGCATGCTCGTCATCAATAGCATCGACAAATCGAGACTCAGTGCTGATAGCTTCAGCTACTCCGGCAATGGCGTCGCATGGAAGGCTAGGCTGGTCTTGTTTCTGGGCTTCGCGCTCATGGCTGGAGGCTTAGCCGGCAGTGTGGTGAGTGCTGCAAGACATTTAGACCGCGGGGACTAACAATACCGCCACAACCAGACGGTCATGGTGCTAAAATACGTCGTTCCGGATTACCCATTCCCTACACTGTGGTTTGGCGTTTCTAATGTTGTCGCCAATGCGCTTGTCATGCTCAGGTAACTTGCTTTCTGCTTTCTCCTGGACGCTTCTGAGCTCTAACGTGTGGGATGCAGTTCGGCCGTTCTTTGGGTTGCACAAAACATGGAGGATGAGTATACCTACAACCTCGCTCTCTAATTCTGAAGGACTGGACTTATTTCCCATCTTACAAACCCAACATGTTTGGACGCACCAGAAGCGTCTTGCACCTTTCATGAAGTCACGGCGCTTTGGGCGACTGGGGAGTCTCACGGGTGCATTGCTAAGAGTATGAGATATCTGCCGTTTTTCAACACTGAACACTTTCCACGCGCAAATCAGTACGAAGTCGATTGAATGAGATGCGTAATTTAACCGGTCGAACAATTAGCTTCATGTAACATTGTAAGCTTGTATACCATGGTTTTTTCATGGAACGGGCTCCAAGTGGCACATGATAGTCCGCAATCGACGATCTGTTAAGGGCGCCGGATGCTTTGCCCACCCCTTCTGCATGTTTTGCCCAGCCCACGTAACAACATATCTGCAATAAATAACAGTATAGTAGTATATTATTCGTTTCCTTACATATCTGGCGACTACCAGCATTGTAGTATCTCAATATGACTACAGAAGGAATATCCGGTGGGTATAGTAGACTTTATATGTGGTTGAGGGTGGGGCAAAATATCCGGAAGGGGTGAGCAAACTATCCGAAGCCGTAATTCATAACAAAGCTTTTGATAAAATATCAGATACTCACGAGTATGGCCGTATAAATGTTCACGGACAAAAACTTACCTAGCAGGTACCTGGCAGGGATGCAATATAGCATTAGGCTCATCAGTTGTTATTAGAATTTAGGTTTTACTCTAGAGCATGGATGCTTGCTTAATCGGCAATTTTTAATTGAGTACCTCACCTAACTGAAAGCTTCATAAGAAATGTCATGAACGCGTGAAGACCACACCGCTGATTGCGCCAGACCGGGAGACGCGAGTTCTAAGTTACAGAAACCAACAACCAATGGACCCATGAATAATACTGCCTAGAACTCCTCGTCTTCCTGGAAAAACATGGTGAAGCTTATGATGGTCCCGTAGATAAGAAGACCTCCGATAATCGACATGACCATGGCGGGAGCGGAGATGAGGGCGCAGTGGGCGAGAAGGACCGGGAGTGCTATGCAGGGTCAGCACGGCACAGAGAGGGTTACGGGGACAGGTGCGTACCGATTCCCATGACGACCAAAAACCCCGTCAGGAATCTTCCGAAATCAATGACACCATTGCCGGCACTCTCCATGAAGTCGTCGGGATTTGCTGCGCGGTTGCAGATCCAGTTGGGCAGGGGAGCAATCACATAGGTCGCGACGACGAGCAGCGGGTAGTAGACGTGCCATAGCGCGCAGGATAGGATGACGAGGAGGAAGCCGATGGCGAGGACCTAGAGGCCGGTCAGTCGAGGGCCCGACGGTAGGCGTGGCGGAGCGCGGCATACAAAGGACAGGGCGATGATGGTCTTGAGGCCGGCCATGGCAACTAGACTGCGCGGTGCTTGGTGGGATATCTGCTATATGCTGGACTGGAAGGATGCGAGGTGAAGCTGGGAGAGTGGCAGGCTGACGTTAGCGCGGCTCGATCCCTGCCCGTCCCAAGCTCAGCGGGCAGCTGCCTCAAGAGAGCTTCCCGCCATCATATCAAACACATCAACACCCACCTCCACACCACCCCCCGCCCGAGCCCTCTCCTCCGCCCCGCCGCCCTCCGTCTGCCACCATGTTCCGCAACAACTACGACAATGACTCGGTGACCTTGTACGTGTGCTGCCGTGCCTCCATTGCCCACCGACAGCTCGATTGACAGCTCGCAGCTCGCCCCAAGGTCGCATCTTCCAGGTCGAGTACGCCCAGGAAGCCGTCAAGCAGGGCTCGGTCGTGGTTGGCGTGGCCAGCAAGACCCACGTCGTCCTGGCCGCCATCAAGGCAAGCGCTGCCCACCCTTTGTTTGACTCCGGTTGCTAACCTTCCCTCTGCCCTGCAGCGCAACGCCGAGGAGCTGTCATCCTACCAGAAGAAGATCATCCCCATCGACTCGCACTATGGCGTCGCGCTCGCCGGTCTTGCCTCGGATGCCCGCGTCCTTTCCAACTTCATGAAGCAGCAGTCGCTCGCCTCCCGCCTGACCTACGACCGCGCCATACCTCTCGCCGAGATCACTTCGCGCATCGGAGACCGCGCGCAATCCAACACTCAGCACTACGGCAAGCGCCCTTATGGCGTCGGCCTGCTCATCGCTGGCGTGGACCAAAAAGGCCCGCACCTTTTCGAGTTCCAGCCGTCCGGCGTGACCCTGGAGATGGTTGCGTGTGGTATCGGTGCCAGAAGCCAGATGGCGCGGACGTACTTGGAGCGCAACCTCGACGAGTTCAACGGCTCGAGCCGAGAGGATCTGATCAAGCACGCGCTGCGGGCGCTGAAGGAGAGTCTGAGCCAGGACAAGGAGCTCACTGTGGACAACACGAGCATAGGCGTCGCTGGTATTGGGGAGAACTTCAAGCTGTACGAAGGCCCGCAGATCTCCAACTGGCTAGAGACGACGTTCGAGAACCGCGAAGGCGGTGCCGAGGGTGAGGGCATGGAGGTTGACACTTAAACACCCCGAGTCTGCCTCAACGATGATTCTGGGGAGTTCTGCTCTAGACACACATATGAACTGTAGCACGAGAGTCGAATGACATGACAACGGCGCTAAGTTAGCTCGTAATGAACATTGATGTTAACCACCCATCCATATTGCGGATCAATTTGGCGTGTTCACGTGCAAGCGGGTTGCGGTCGCGCGTCGCAACGTCGTCAAGCACGCGCAACAACGCGCAACACCCAGCACCACCGCAATGGCTCCATCGCAGTCCCTCTACCCGCGCGCCACCGTCAAGCGCATCGTCAAGGCGCACAGCAATCGCCCGCTGAGCAAGAATGTCGACATCATGGTACCCATCTCCTCGGTACTTCTCCAACCACTAGGTTACAAGCTGACGTGCCGCCTCCGCAGATATTCCTCGACTACATGCTCTTCATGGACGAGTCAGTGCATCCGCCTACCCTTCACTTGCCCAGAACGAAATGCCAATATTATATGGACACCACTGACAAGTCTCATAGCCTCATGCGCGAGTCGAGCATCAAGTCGAAGCAGGCGGGGGAGCGGGGCATCTCCGCGCGATCGATCCGGAAGGTCAGAGAGGTAAGACTTCGAGTGCGCAAGGCGGTGTACAAGACATGTGCTGATGCGGGTGCAGAAATCGCTGCGCAAATTCAAAGGTTGAGGAATACGGCGGCGCTCGATGGGCGGGTCTATCTATGGTGCGGCGTTACGGGCAAGAATGGCGTATTTGGGGTTATGCTTCTCAGCGGGCAGGATAGACGATTGCGGTTTTCTATATGCATGGCAGAGGGGGATTTTCAGTTTCGGTAATATTGGCTTCGCGAGGATTCATGTGGTGCTTAGTGTGTTATGCACGGCATTGCACATAACAAGCTATGTTCCAAACACAAGGAACTAAAACACCAGCAGCAAGAGTTCGGAGGGACGAATGCAGAAAGGACACTTAGAGTAGACAGCTCTATTCCCAACCCATCTACAAATTGAAAAGCAGCCATGCATGCTAACACGTACATAATTTACAGTTTAGGAATGATCCACCAGTCATGGTATTTCTTCTCGCTCTCAACATCTCCCAGCTTGCCCGGCCCAGACTTGACAAGGTGGGATAGCTCTTTCACGCCTGACAGTTTCCCGAGTCCAGTGGTGGCAAGGCCCGCAGCTATACAGGTGAGCAGGACATTGGAAACGTCCTGAGCCAGCGTCAGCATACTATTTCTTACATGCCAATGGATACTTCCGGCTATCATACCTTCGACCAGGCCTCACTAACGCATTCGCTCCGTGCAGCTTTGGGGCCCAGCTTCTTCACTGTAGCAAAGTTGACCTTTGCGTCTTTGACCAAGTCTTCAGCATCTTTGGACAGCTGCTTGACCACCTCCCCCAGAGGTTTGTCGGGCTTGTCATAGGGACCAAAGGGATGGATATCCGCCTCAAAGTCTTCAAATGGCGGCAGGCTCGGCATATCCACTGCCAGGAAAGGCTTCATGCGGAGCTCGTAGCGGAGAGCCGGGCTACTAAATGGACGAGGTGGCGTGGGAACAATTCTCAGATAGTGGAGCAAAACGTACAGCTGCAACTATCAGTAAAGCGTAGCACGTACAGATCACGGTGAACCTACCGTGCATAACCCTTCGGAGAGTGAGGCAGTGCCCTTAGCTCCATGCAATAAGCTCTCGACATGCTGCTTGGTCTTAAGAACTGCAATAGCTTCTTGAGATTGTTCAGGATCAGCGAGCTTCGGCTGGCTCTCTGCAGTAGCCTCCTGAGGTTGATCGGCTTTGGCGAGCTTCGAATGCCTTTCCGATACGAAAGCAAGAATCCTCTCCAGCAATTCCGCACGGGTTGCAGCAATGCTTGAGAGCCACCAATACATGCCAGCATATTCATCTGGCAAGTAGACATCTTGCTCAAAGCCTAGTTGCACAATCCATTCCATCTGCGTGAGCTTTTGATGATAAGTCCACGATGCCAGAGGATATTGAAGGACATCTTTAGTAAGATGGTGCAGGTCTTGGTCGAGGACCTCAACCTAGAACAAATATTAACATATAGTAACATCCTAGGTAACAGTTACTTACATCAAGCTGAAGGTTGTTGAAAGCTAGGAGGTTGTGCGTCATCATTCGGCGTGTGCGACAACGGTTCTGGCAAAGAGTCGTCCAAAGTTCGAGATATTGCTAGACCACATTAAACAGGAACTACGACCAGAGTAAGGTGATATACTTACAGGCGTTGTTCTAGCACCGAATTCATTGACGACGTTTGCCATCATAGCCCTGTTGTCAGTTCCCACCAGTGGGTTTACAGGCTGTTCGATAGTCCAGTTGATCGGATCTAGAATGGGGTCTGCTGGAAGTACTAATCCTTCAAGGTCCTTCCGGAGCAACTCCTCGTACACTTCGGTGGGGTGCCCGAAAATCAGCGATGAGAGACAAGCACGGGAATAAGTGAGTGGTTGAGGCTTGCGGGAGTTGAACGTCCATAAATAGGCCATGATCTCGCTCGGATTGCCAGGACCCAGCTGAGTTGTTCCTCTAATGACCTCCAAGCAATCTTGACAAAGTTCAACCGCAACTTTAAGTGCTTCAGAGAAAGAAGGTTCCACTACAGGTCTGGGTGGAACAGTGCTCGCCAACCTTCGTTGGATCTTTGAACTAAAAGCTTCTTTGACAAACTTGCCTGTAGCATGCGACTTTTCGACGGCGCTCAGGAGCTCGCGAGTCTGAGACCAACCTTCACTTAAATGTTCCATAGACTCCTCAGGGGAAGTGACTTCCAGTAGCTTCTTCCTCAGTCTCAGCCGTGAAACAAGAGCATCCTTGACGGTCTCTTCGACGGACGAGGATCCTAGCCACTCCTCAGCTTGGTCTAGAATTGCCACGATCTCTTTTTCCAGGAAGCGAGTCAGGAGAAGGCGGTTGTAAGTATGCGTCGAAAAATCTTCCTCTTCGAAGTAGTCCCTTGACGTGACTTTCTGGATGACGTTGTCGCAATACTTGATGAGCCCAAGACAATAAGCCCGAAGTAACATCAGCATTGGCGATTTTTCATACTGTCCACTCAAGTCATTGTCATAAAGCTTGGGAACTCGGTGGAACGATGCTTCATCCAATGTCCTTGGCTCAGGCCAGAGCAACTTGTCGATATGTAGAGAAGTGAAAAGGGTTTGCGAGAGCGGGTATCCTTGATGCCATGCCATCTCATAGCAAAGGAGTTGATCCATGATACCGACAACTTCCTCAGGCAGAAGCTCTTTTAAGATGTCATAGTCATCATCGAGTGTCTCGCCTGGTGCCAAGAAACCAGAGTCCATCTTTGGATCCATGATCTGAAATCGTAAGCGCTGCACAAGGGGTAAAATAAATGGATAAGATACGTACCTCCAACGCACCAACGGACTCGAACAAGGTGAAGTATTCATCCTTTATCAGTTGGCCGATTTCAAGAGCTTGGTGCTGTTAACCAAATGTCCCCCGCAGAAAACGAATGATATGATCACGCATGAATCAAAATGTTTTACGTGATGAGGCCAAGGGAAAGATAGGGGAACACGGGATAAGGGTAGAAAGAAGAAAAGCCTTGACAAATGAAGTAGAGGGCATTACCTGCTGCAGCTTGCGTGAACTGGGCGGTGATGTCGATGGCTCGTGGGTTGCTGTTATCGGCGACTGGGCGAGATTTGATCTTTGTCTGCGCGGACTGCTGCGAACCCTCCTCCTGCGAGACACCTATTGACGGGCCGGTGAGACAAGAGTCAAACAGAGAATTCAATTGGTACCTACCGTTGCTGGGCAGAGCGGCATATTCCTCTTCCAAGCGCAGGCGTGCTGTCTCTGCCGTAGCTGTCAGAACCAGACCTGCGGAGGGGGTACGAGCTCTGCAAAGCCAGACCTTGGGCTACAACGTCCGTCTCATCAGGAGGGTTTTGATGATCGACTCCGGGAATCATTGTCTGTCACGGCAAAGGTGGACACGAGGTGGTGGTGGCACATGTAAGAGAGAGGTTGCGGCGACGGAGTTGTCATTGAGCATTCGCTTCTACGCAATTGTCTGCCCCATCAGACGAAATGTACAATTGCCCGCCCAGCCGCAGCTGGGCTCGCTGCACTATGTGCTCCTTCCAATAATTCCATCGCTAGTTTCCAAACTCGCAGTCCTGCGCTTAAGCAGTGGCCTCGGAGGCAGGCTGGTTCGCGCTGACCAAAGGCTTGTTGTCGCCCTGCTTGCCGTTCTGCCCGCACCCATCAGCCCGACGCCCTCCAGGCCGCAAACATCAGTTGTCACTCACCTCCCACTTGGCGAACCTGATCTCCGACTCGCCGCGACGCTCGGCAGCGATTCTCTTGTCCTCCTTGAGGGAGCGGCGAACGACGCGGGAAGCGACCGCGATGTAGCGGTTGTACCTAGGTTCGGGCCATTGTCAGCGGCGTCCAGGGCATTGTCGGCTGGGAGCAATCGTACGAAATGCCGGCGGTCTTCCAAGCGAATGCCATTGTGAATGCGACGGTGATGTCTGGTAGTATTGACGGAGAGGGTTGTGCTGGGCTGTCGCACCCCAATGTCCAAACTTCGGAGCTTGGGAAGCCGCCGGGAGGGTCGGGTCACGTGATTCCATATGGCCGAGGCAGCGGTTTTGGGCCTGGCTGCTCCAGTGCGTCATTAGAGATAGGAGGACCTTTCTGGTGGTACTAGTACCTATTTTGTACAAATAGGTACACGTACAAGATGCTCCTTACGAGTACATGCAGAATCGAACAAATGAAATTGATCTTCGTATATCAACAGGTACACCTCTCTAGGGGACTAATCAAAGCCTAATGGTACAACAAATCACGGCCCATTCTCCTCTCCTTCTTCGCTATTTACACATTGAGGCCCAGCTCCTCGGCAAACGGTAACACGTGGAGGTCGCCGACGGCAGACACGGAAGCCTTCTGCTCGAGCAGGTCCTTGGCAGCCTAGAAATTATCAAGTTAGCATCCATAACAACACTACAATGGCGCGATTTCCCATACCTTCTTCAGCTCCTCCTCGGAGACAGCGTCAATGGCCTTGGCCGACTCGTCGAGCTGGTAAGCCTTACCGCCCTGGACGAGACCGGAGCCGGTCAGCTCCAGACCAGTGAACAGAGACTGGCCGGACTCGAGCTCCAGGTACTTCGCGCGGGCCTTGGCCTTCTGGATGTCCTCCTTGTTGATGTTACCACCGGCAATCTCCTTGATGGCGTTGACAGCGGCCTCGGCGGAGGCGGCAACGTCCTTAGCGGAGCCGTTGATCATGACGCTGAGCAGGCCAGCGTCGGAGTAGATGAGGCTCTTGGTGTCGATGCTGGCGCCAGAGAACTTCTCGGAAGCCTTGGCGAGCAGCGAGAAACCAGAAGACCACTTGATCTGAGACTTGCCACCAAGGAGAGAGCCAAGAACGGCAACCTCGGGCTTGTAGGCACCACCAGTCATGGAGCTAGAGCCAGGGAAAGCGAGGACCATGGTGTTGCCGCTGCCGTGAGAAATGCGCTCCTCACCACCGAAGTACTTGGCCTTGGGGCTCTCGAGGCCCTGGGCGGAGGAAACATCGGTGAAGAACTCGCCAACCCACTTAGACAGCTCAGCCTGCTCGGTGCCGTTGGCGACGACGGCGAAGTTGCTCTTGGAATAAGCCTGAGCAGCGTACTCGGCAATGCTGTCGGCGTCGAGGTACTTTGAGTAGGCCGTCGAGGAGGTGGGGACCAGAGGAGCGCCCAGGCCACGGTGGAAGGCGAGGCCGTGGACGGAGTTCAGGGCCATCGAGTCGGTGCTGGCGAGGTTCTTCTTGTGGGCCAGCTTGATCAGCGGCAAGACCTCCTCGTGGAAGACGTGCGCTTCAGAGACAATTAATACATTGTTTCCCCTCCATAACGGAAGCCGGCATACGTACGGGCGTATTTGGTCTGGCTAGCAACCTCGGCGAGGAGCTCGACGAAGTAGGGCAGGTCATCGCGGAGGAACTTGGCACCGACGACGAGGTTCTCGCGGGAGTGGTAGGAAAGAAGCTCAGCGCCGAGGAGCTCCGACTCGCGGACGATGCGGAGTGCAGACCTCCTGTGGGTGTTCTACAGCACAATCCGAGGTGTCAATGACGTAGACGTTGGGCGATTGGATGCAATTCCAAGCGCGGCCGAGGTGTCCATACCCTGAAAGCGTACTTCTCCAGACCCTCCGTCAGCCCGGGCAGAGTCTGATACCTCGTGCCGGCCTTCGCAACCAGGGCGAGAGTGGTGGTAGGGCCAGCCAGATCGCGGCTGGCGAACTTGACGCCATTGGCATCGCCCGTCTCGTAGTGGAAAGAGCCTGAAGCCGGAGCTGCGAGGCCGCGGCGGTTGGCGGGCTGGGCGCATTGGCGACGCAGGGCGCGCTGGGCGTGGCGGCCGACAGAGGAGCGGGACAGCATCATGGAGGGGAGATGCGTCGGATGACGGAAGAGGAGGTGGGAGTCGGGCAATGGAGATGGGGAGTGTTTTGGTCGGCTTGCGATGAGGAAGACTTGAGGTTGGAACTTGCTGACCTTGTGCGCGCTGATTGGCTGCTCGGCGCGGGCAGGAAATGCGCGCCGACAGGGCCGACTTGAGAAGAACATCCATCGCTCTCCACACCACCGTACCACCCTCTCGGCCCGCGTCTCGATGCTCCTCTCTACCTCACCTACTTTTCCAAAGAAGTGGGAGCCTCTAGACGTCGCGGTTGACTTAGTACTGCTCCGCTCACTTCACTACTGTGCAGGCTGCTCCACGTCACATGCCAACTAACATAAACCGATCAGTCATTCTAACGGAAACACAGTTTACTCGGGCTGTCTATCATCAGCTCTGAACGGGGTCCAAAATTTTCCCCGAAAAGCACCAAGTCAAATCCTGGCATTATCCTGCACCAAGTTCACCAACCGCTCACCCACCGCATCCCTCAACCTCTCCGACGACTACACCTCCGTATTTTCCTGCGGCTTATTTTTAATCCTCACAATGATGGGATCATCTCCACGAATCTTCCCGCCAACCTTTCCTACAAACCTCCCGGCAATCGTGTGGCAGTGTGGCTTCGTTGACACAATAATTATCCCAAAACAACTCTCGTGCGCTTCAGTTGAAACCATGTATCTCTAGTTCTTTGATCAAGGCTGATGCCACCAGGCGGTGTTGACAACACACAATGCAGTGGCATGGCTATTGCAGCTCAACGAACTGGAGCGATCAGAGGTACAACCAGTAGTCAACAAGTCAAAGCAGGCTGCCGTTGTTCGGCAATAAGAAATACTATCTTACTGGTGCCGGGAAACAAGCCTTGAGCGAGTGGGAGCGGTAGATGAGAAACTGCGCAGCTTGGCCGTTAGAACTATCTCGTGATTGTTCTGAGAGGCTTCGGAACGTCAGCTGTTCTGGGGGTTTTGGTAAGAGAGCTGTCTAAGAGTTAGTCGCTGAAATCTCGTGTTACATGGCACTTATTTTTAGTACTTTGCGAACGGAGTTTTGCTGTTCGCGCGCAGCCACATTGGGCGTATGGAAAAGCGGATTTAATTTATTTTATGTTATTTTATTTTTAAATAGTCTTCCCGCGTTTATTGGAGTATTTCCGGGCGTCTCTATTTTCATTCTTTCGTACGAAAAGGGTGCTCGGGAGGAAGGGTGACCTCTTGGCCAAGGTACGGACAACAAATTTACCTACGTACCATCTTGGTCCTTCTCAGCCCGAGGCTGCCACAAGTATCTAGGATTCGTACGAGTAGGTACGAACGCGACGAAGACGGTAAGCGCGCCACCCGCTTTCAAACGCCGCAATGAACGAAAGTGACCACGCCCGCGCTGCGGAACGAATGAGAGCGAGCGGGTACAACGATAGGACGAGGCTACCTAGTACATACCTAGGGCGCCGGCGCAACACGCACCCGTAAGTCGCCTCAGGTGAAGCGCGCGCGCCCAAACACAGCGCGCCAGCGCAGCGCAGGTGCGGTCGCCCCCCGCCTTTGCTCCCGTTCCCGTCCGCGTCCCCCGCTCCCGTCCCTCGTTGTTTTCCCCGTCCGTCCTCCCGGCGCAGCGCCGTGCGCACAAACACTAGGTCGCGACGCACGCACACGAACGTAGGATACGTACCGTACCGTACGCGCGTACGCACGTCCGCCCTTCCCACGGCCACGCCTACTACCTATCGCGCTGCGGCCGCGCGGGCGGAACAGCGCAGGTGGCTACTGGTCAAACGTCGCACAGGGCTGTGGTCGGCCGCGGAGAGCCGGAGAGTGTGCCGTGCTTTGCTTTGCTGTGCTGTGTTGTGCTGTGATTTGCCGTATCGGGTGGCCGCGGGGAGGCGGATGGGCGGGTGGCACGTCGCGTTTGGGGGCGTTGTTTCCGTGGGGGCGGGTGTGTGGGTATGTGTGTAAGGGGAGATGGAGGAAAGAGAGAGAGGTAGAGATAGAAAGAGAAAGAGAGAGAGAGAGAGAGGACGAATGGATTGAGCTTGAGCGTGCGGGGTTGGGGAACAGAACGAAGACAGTCGATGCGGGCTTTGACCTTGTGTGAGTCTAGATGGGTGGGTGGGTACAATACAATAGTCGGGTTCCCAAGGCTGTGTTCGCTGGCTGTTGATCTTGAGGAGTTCGGGCTGCCGCCATGAGTCGGAGCTTCTCCACCACATCACGGAGATGGCTGCGATGGCGGCCGTTATTTCGATGTGCCGGTGGGGGCTCTTTTGGGTTTATTAAAAGCGTCCAATTGTGGGGCGTGGAAGACAGTTCATCGAGTCAAAGCAGGGTCGTTGTGGATCGAATTTCAGCGAGAACAAAGATTGCCGGAGACAAAGTGCACACTGACATAGATATCTATATTGAGCCGAGAGGTTTGGCCTCGGCGCAGGTATCCAGCCAGCATACTGCTGACTGCGTGCATATGGAGTAACTACAGTGGAAGCGACCCCGGACCCGGATCTGCATCGTTCCTGGCATCTGAAAGGGGCGCGAGTCCATTGGACACCGCGACAATGGCGACAAGTGCAGACGAACAGACAGCGATCCCGAAGCTTTAACTAACCGCGGCGCGCAGGCCTCGAGAACATGGCCATGGAGAGCCAAAAGAAAGTCGGAAACGCCGACTGCCCGGTTTCTGGATCAGGCGCCCCCAGCTGACGCATTTGCGTTCTGGGTCGGGACGCGACCCAGAGCTGCGGTTCTGGACGCAGATTTCTCAGCTGGAGCTGACGGCAGGAGTCGGTGGCTATGGCCTGATTCCGAGCTGCCCGTCAGCTACCTGCGGAGGCGTGAAACGGCACCACAACCAGGGCATAAAGGACGCCTGACAAAGTGATTTCCGCCGTGGCGCCTTTCGCGGCTTCGAAACGTCGCAACCAAAGCCGGGGGACAGACGTGAAACTCGCAGTGGGCAGCTGACCGGGGAGGTGGAGGTGAAGGGGAAAAAATAAAAGAAAAAAAATAAAATAATAAAATAAAAGGGAACCAGGGGGGGTTAGCATGAACAGTCCTATCGTCAGGCTCGCTGCAACTCGAGCTTTCTGCATGTCTAAGGCCAGCAAAAGAAACGCGAACCGTGGCCTTTTAAACCTCGAAGCTTAGCGGGCCACGATCCTTGCGAAAAAGCACATTCCGACGACGATTGCCTACAGAGCCGACACGGCGGCGCCCGTGCTGCCGCGTGCTGCGCCCGCTGCAACCCGTTTCTTCGCGCATGTCGTCAGCAGCGCTGAACGGGGGAAGTCACGGTTGCGCTGAGCGGCCCAAAGCGGTGTGGTGGTGGTGGGTGCATGGGGAGCGGGTGGATTATGATTTCCGGCTTAAGCAGCGCGTCGTGGTACCGTCGCACTGGGGCAAGAGGGCAAGAGGCAAGAGGCAAGAGGTAAGAGAGGAGAGTCAAAGTCGGGTGGAGAGTGGGATGATGATATGATGGGTGCTTCCGTCGACCGGACGGATTATCTCTCTCTCTCTCTCTCTCCCGCACATGGCAGAGAAGAAAAAAAAAAGCAAGCGAGCAGCCATGATGGGATCGACGCCAGGAGACGGGGCTCGTCGGCAGGATGGGAGAGTCGCCCCGTCGCACCGGTCATTGGCGGGCGTCAGGTGCGCTGGGTGGCCAGCGTCTCCGCATGATCGCTGGAATAGGCTGCCCGCGTCGCGGTGGTGCGACCCGGGCCCGTTGGTTGGGACGGGCGGAAGCGGCGGGCCACTCGCGCGCGTCAGGCGGCAGGGGTGCGGCGGGCCCGTCTGAGTCGTGTGCGCGGCGCTGAGTGGCCGCGTTTCGCGCTCCGCCTCCCGGGGCCGCGCCAAGCCGCTTCGGGCCAAACTCGTACGATGGCCCGCTCCATCCTTGTTCCTTCCCATCCCCTCAATTCCTCGTCTCGGCTGCCTTTGATTGCTGCCCGTCGCTCTCGCGCTTCGCTTGTGTCTTCTGCTTTAACTTGCAGAACCGGCGCCTCCTCTCTTGCAGCCACAGTCCCCCGTCGCACCATCATCCTTGTGCGAGTCCGGCGCGCCCAGAGTCGAACTGTGCGACCCTCTCTCTCTCTTCTTGCTGCTGCCCACCACTCCCGCGTCTGACAAACACCCAGCCTGCTCCTCCCGCCCGTCGCTCGCTCATTCGCCATTCTTCTTTTTCATCTGGTCGGTTCCTCCTTTCGTTGCCGTTCGCTGCTGTTGTTATTGTTGTCGCCCGTCGTCGTCGTCGTCGTCGTCGTCGTCGTCCCTCCCGCCTTGCTTCGCCCTTGCGCTCCACACCGCTTCCTCCCCACCCCCATCCATGTATTGGAAATATCAAGCATTGCCACTGACCAAACACTCGATCCAGATACCAATTCTGTGGGTGTCGTTGGCCCTCGTCTAATCGGCCTGGCGTGCGACCGAATCGCTACTGTGAGTACCATTCTTGGTATCTTCTCAGGCATGCGCGTTTCGACGCGACGTAAGGGAGTGGCCGCGCCCACGCTCTGCTGTCATGCCACCCAGCAATGCAAACCCACTGACTGATTTGCTTCTCCGTCTCCAGCACACAGGACTACCAACTTACCTCTCCATCAACCATGGCGGCGAACATTATTCCCGTGGCCAACGAGACGTTGAGCTCGTCCTCCAGGATGACCAAGGAGGGCAAGAAGATCACTTACCAGATGCAAGTCATCCAACAGCCAGAGCGTGCCAGAGCCTGTGGGTCCGGTGCGAAATGTAAGCATTCAATTCTGGTTCGCACCATCTCGTCTCCTTCCAGCTGACATCCATCATCAGCTTCGGCTGACCGTCGCCCTGTGGACCCCCCTCCGATCGTGGAACTGCGGGTTTTTGAAGGCGAAAACAGGCAAAACGACATCACTTTTTCTTACAATGCCAACTTTTTTCTTTTTGCAACCTTGGAAAATGCCAGGTCTATTGCCCAGGGACGCGTCGCCCCCACTCCGGCCACTTTCCCCGTCTTGACTGGTACTCCCGTTGCCGGGATGGCCTACTTGGACCGTCCCACTCCTGCTGGCTATTTCATTTTCCCGGACCTTTCTGTCAGACATGAAGGCAAATACAGGCTGAGCTTCGCCCTGTATGAGGAATTGAAAGAGCACAAGGACATGGACAGCGAGGACAGACAGGCGGATCCCATGCGTGGCTCTGCCGTTGACGCGCACGTTTCCCACAGACTGGAGGTTAAGTCCGCTCCCTTCAGCGTTTACAGTGCCAAGAAGTTCCCCGGTCTTACTGAGAGCACTGCTTTGAGCCGCATGGTTGCGGAGCAGGGTTGCCGCGTTCGTATCCGCCGTGATGTGCGCATGAGAAGGCGCGACAACAAGACGAAGGACGAATGGGATGACTACGAGGAAAAGACAGCGTACGAGAGACACAGGACGGCCACGCCGGACGCATATGGTCCGAACGCTGTTCACACGCCCCAGGCCATGTCTGACGGTACGGACCGCCCGAGATCGCAAAGCAATGCCAGCAATGTGTCATTCGCACCGCCGCCGCGTCGCCCGTCGATGCAGGACATGGCCAACTCGTACCAGCAAGGATACCAGGCCCAGATGGCCCCGCCTCAGGCTCCTCAAAACCCTTACCCGCAGCAGATGCAGTACCCGTCTGCACCAGCGCCTCAGTACCAAGGCCAATATGCGCCCTCGCAGCCTCAGTCGACCATGCAGCCTCCTCAGCCTTCCTACATGCAATCTCACCACCAGCAATGGCAGCAGCCGCCGGCCCAGATGCCAATGGCCCAGCCTTATGGATACGGGTCGAACCAACAGTACGGTCACTACGAGCAGCCGACCCATGTGCGTCATGAGAGCATAGACTACAGTGCTGCGCCACCTGCCGAGTACCGCCGGGCGTCCATGGCCGCACCACCCCAGGCCCCAAACCAGATGATGGCCCCTTTTGGGACCTTGGATACGGGTTACAGCCGGCACCAACACCAGATGAACCCGCCGGTCCAGCCCCTTCAGACCTCGCAGGCGCCGCACCACAACTCTACGTCTCAGGCGCCGAGCAGTTCGCATTCGATGAACGGTTTCTCTCTGGCTCCTTTGAAGACGCTACAGCCCCCGCCGGCCGAGAAGATTGAGCCCATGTCTCCCTCTTACCACATGTCTGCGTCTGGTGTCCCTATGGCCGGGACAGTGCCGACGCCCTCGGACCCCGTGCCTCCTCGTGGCTTCCCTAGCGCCAAGGTGTTTGACAACCAGCCGCTGTCTGCGTCGACGAAGAGGTCCTTTTCGGAGACGTTTGACACGAACCACATCCAGCAACCACTCCGCCAGGGCGCCCGCCCAAACATTGACAACCCGATTCCGGAACCCGCGTTGACGGTGCTCGACGGTTCTGGCGATGACGAAATTCTCGACGAGCGCGCCATGAGCTACCGCCGTGCCGATGGCACGCACCGCAGCAGGCGCGTTCCCCTAGCAGGCTGAAAGCGTGGTGGCGAGGGCCGAGGCCGTGTGCTATAGTTTGATTGGCATGCATTTGCATTTGAAGAAGCAAGCGATTATGGATATCTGGAATGGACCGCTGAAGTGTTTTTTTCTTATTTGCTTTTGGCCAAGAATGCGCGGCCTGACGACGATACCACATCTTTTCATTTTGGTTTGTTTGTTTTCCGGCGATCTGCAATCATTTTTCGTTTTTTTCTTGTTTTTTTTTTTTTTTTTTTCTTCCATTTGGCTTCTGCAAGCGGAGGATTTCCTTCCCTAATGCCGCATATCTCCTTTTGTACACCGTAAGCCTTCCTTGCATTTTGCTTTTGATTCCAGGCGACAGTGATTAGAGGCCGGCGGGAGGACGTTTGCTGGCCAGCCATTGCTACCTAAGTGTTATTTTTTTGTTAACCATTTCTTATTATTGTTGGGGTCGGGTAGATAGTGTGGACAAAAATGGAGAGCTCGTCTGCAGCAATGCGACGGCAAACGCAATCTCGGGAGGGTGCACTGATTGTGTTTGGAGCGAATCCATCGCGCCGGGAGCCCAAGAGTCTGTGCGCACATGTGACGCGCGCGGGCCCTGACAACGCGACTGGCGCCGCCCGTCCTTCTCCACGCGCGCGTCGAGAGCCGCCGCCGCCGCCTCCATCTGCTTCTCGTCCGCTCCATCATCTTGCGACGCACCAACCCTCCCACGTTCGAGCCCCGCCGGCCACCTCAGCCCGCGTCGCCTTTCTCCGACTGCCGCTCTCCTGTAAATACTTTACTTCGTCCTCGACCATTCTATATAAAGAAAGAAATAGACGGTCAACTTGGGGGCACCTGCTTGTCCCGTCGTCCTGTCGCTGCTCCCTCACCTACCACCATGGCACACGACCCGACGGTATACACCCATTCCCGCATCCAGCCAACACAACACGCGCTGAACACTAGGCAGCCCGGTAGGCGCGCCATGTCGCTCGAGCCGCAGCCTCGCAGAAATTCCATCGCCGACGGCCTCACCCTGGCACACTCGGCAACCACGGACGACATGCGCGATGTCGGCATGGTCGACCAGGCGAGCAAGAAGCGCCGACACATGACACCAACTGGCGCCGACGAGTACGGGAGGCTGATTGGCGAGGTCGACCCCAACTCTTTCTCGTCCAAACGCCATCGCACTGCGGACTGGCCGCTGACCGAGGAGCAGCCCGCTTCACCTCAGCCTCCAGGCAGGCGTCGCGGCAGTTCCAACAAAAGCAAAAGCCGAAGCGCTTCGCGCACCCGCCGCCCTGTCACGTCGCCAATCCGACCCTCTAAGTTCCAGGAGGGCAGCATGAACGACCGCACGAGCGAGCAGCCACCCAGCATGTTCACGCGAAGCGTCAATGGAACTTCGGCTGCCGTTGGCATAGACGAACTGATGGATGACTACCACGCAGCTCAGCAGACGCCTCCCAGCGCCCGACCCTCTGTGAGAACCTCACGGACTTGGACCCAGGGTTTCACCCACCACCCGAATCGATCCATCTCCAGTAGGGCTCACAGCGCCGGCGACGACGGCAAAGAAACTACCGTTTTCCGCTTTGGTCGCTCGCTCGCTGCTGCTTTCAATCCAATGAATATCTGGAATAAAATGGCGCAGAAATGGCAGGAGACGCGGCATGAGCTTGTCGAGGAAGCGCTCGACGAGCAGGCTCAACAGCTTAAGGAAAGAATGGAGAGAGCAGCAAGGGCTCAGGAGGTGTATGCGCAACTCAAGCAAGCTGGTCAGCTTGGGTCTCAGGGAACTTATGGTATGAATGGCACGCCGGTGTTCACGCCAGGTTACACTGCTCCGGTTGGAGGGTCACAGAGAGATTCGGGAATCGCGGGAATTGAAGGGTCTGAAAACCGTCCTTACCAACTGCAAGACGCGTCTAAGAGTGTTACCAACCTACAGGCCACTTCAGCGGAAACGCGCAAATCGGCTCTTCACTTCCGGGCCTCCTCCTTCGCAACCCTAAGCCTCAGAAAGTCCCGCTCGGATGCCAGCTTCGGTCATAGGCGCTCCGTCTCAACCGAAGGGGACACCTCCGATACGTCGCAATCTCTTCGCAGGTCGCATTCTAAGAAGGACGTGCAGAAGCAGTTGAAGCTTCATAAGCGTGTCAGCGATCTGGAGAAAAAGCTTCAAGTTGCTCGTCGCGACCTGTATCAGGCCTTGGGTGACAGCCCTGCTCCCCCTGTTCCGGCGCTTCCTGCTTACCTGGCTGAATCTCTGTCCGCCGACAAGCGACATCGAAACACACCCCTCTTCAATAGGCACTCTACGGGCAGTCAACTGCCGACACTCCCCTCGGAGAGTCTCCTCCTTCAGGGCAATGTGGACAACCGCGAGGAGCCTTTAGAGGAACCGCTGACCTCAGATCCCATACAGTCTGTCGATACACCGATGCCCGTGAAGCATGCCGCAATTCCCGAGCCAACCGTTACAGACATATGGATGGCAGGCGTTGAATCGCCTAAGCCCGAGGCAAAGACTTCGAGGAAGCGAAAGGGGGATGAAGATGAGAATCTCACCTCGGAAGGCAACAACGGTGCGGAATCAGAAGAAACTACAAGTATCAAGAAACAGAAGGGAACGATAAGGGGCAAGGGCAAAAGGAAATCAGGTTCGAAGGGGAAAAAACGCAAGGGCACCACCAAGCCTGTCGGGAACACTCATACTGAAGTGGTAGAGGAGACTTATGAACACGTTACCGAAGATGTCGAGCTGCCGGCTAGTCACGCCAACGAAAGCCCCGAAGTCATCCACAAGGAAACTGAACAAGTCAGTTTCGCAGCGCCGAATGGCATACCCAGCCAGCAGGTCAACCATGTCAACGAAAGCCCCGAAATCACACAGAAAGGGACAGAACAAGTGAGTTTCGTTGCATTGAAGGGCACGCCGAGCCAACCGACCGCCTTCTCCACGCCCGCCCACCCAAACAAGAGGAAGAAGACGAAGCAACGGACGACAGCACGCGCGCGCTCGAGCTCTCCTGCCGAGGCACCAGCCCCTGCGTTATCGACTGGCGAAGATGAGGTCGTGATGGTGGAGCCGAATAAGGGGGGCGTGCCGCCGCTTCCGACGCTGGCTGAAGAAGGCGCCGGGCAGGAAAAGATGGCTGCGGCAAAGGAAAGCAATGCATCGTTCGAGTGGCCGGATGATGTATTCTGATCTAGGCGGTAGTGGTATGGATGGAATAAAAGGACAACAGATGGCGAGGGTTGGTGGAAGCGAGGCAGGTTGGGGATATTTCATACTTTGGGAGGTTTTTCTTTTTTGATTGTGGCCTTCCCCATTTTTCTGCCTAGCTGGTGGCTATTAATCTGGAGGAAAGGGAGGAAGGATCAAAGGGAAAGGGACAGAGAGCGAGTGAATGTGTGAGGGAGCTTTGTTTATGCTGCTGACCCAGACTGCTCTTGCTCTCTCTCTATTCATTCTCATACTCATTTTCATCATTAACTAACGGACGGCACGACAAAATGGTATTGGCGCCTCTCGAGGCCGCCTTGATGGCGGCGGGCAGTTGAGTCTCGGGAGATCCTGTCTTGCTTAGGCTTTTTCTTTTCTTTTTCTCTGCTGCTTTGACTCTAAAGTCATTCTCAAAAACTTGGCCACCCCGTTCTCGTCTGCCTTCTTCTTTTTGTCTTGGTTGACCGACTAATGCGTTGTCATCGGCTTCTTCTTGGCATCAGGCGGCTTATTATACATATATATATCATGAGTATACATACAGGCCTCGTCCCGATGTGGACATGAGTTGAATGTTTCTACGGATCGATGTGCAAGTGGATTTGTCGTTATACGAGCCGCTATGTTTGTGATTGGGGATGTTTGTTTTGCGGCGGTATACTAACCTCTTCACTTTGAGCATGATCGCGAGTTTTAGCGTAGCATGGAGTTTTGTGTGTGATTAATATTCAAAATTCGCCGTGGGTATGGATGGCTTCAGAACTGCATACAGGATGTCAATATGTCCTTGTGAGTTACGCATCTAGTTACAAGTATGGATTATATATATGTCTAAGGAGTGACTTGTAGGTACGGGCATAAAACGTTTTCGAGAGTTTAAACTACGAATGACTTAGTATACTCCCGTCCCTACAAAATACTACTCATGGGGATGTGAAGATAAGCAACTTATCCTCTTGTAAACGTAGTAATACACCTCTGGAAGGATAGATTGCGTGCATGCGTACGTACGTTCTGCTGCAACACAACAAATAAACAAGATGATTCTGAATGATTATTTGTTATACTTCTCTTCCTGCTTCTCCAAGATTCTTTCCTATATTAGTACGTACTTATTTCCTCGTCCGCTCTTTCACAGTGATTATATGTATACCTTATTATCGTTACACAATACAAAAGAAAGAAACGCCAGAAAGCTAGCAAGAAAACTAAATCAGAGACATCGAACTATCCAAGAATTAAACGACAAGTGTGTACACAAAAGTGCGGCCTGCCCTGGCGGCACGGCCCCTAACAGGATTATGCTCTACTCTTCGGTCTCCTTCTGCTCCTTCTCGCCATCACCACCTGCTTCCTGGGCTGCGTTGCCGCTATCGTCATCGTTGTCGCCGGCGGGCTGCTGCTCCTCTGCTGGGGCTTCCTCCGTTGCTCCGGCTTGGTCTGAGCTAGCGTCCTCTCCGCCAGCGTTCTCTTCAGCGACGGGCTCGGTAGCTTCTTCCGCGACAGCAGCACCCTCCTCAACGGCATCGCCGCCAGAAGACTTCTCGGCCCCAGTGGCAGGTTCTTGCTCCACTGGCTCCTCCCCCTGCTTCTCCTCCACACCTGCAGCGTTCGCTTCTTCCTTGGTTTCCTCTTTCGTTTCCTTCGTTTCATTCGCTTCCTCCTTCATCTCCTCCTTCGCTTCTTTCCTCGCTTTCGCTATCCTCTTCTCAGTTTCCTTCAATTCAGCCCTCTTCCTTTCCTTTTCCTCCTCCCTCTCCTCCGCCTCCAACAGAACGGCCTCACTGCCGCCATCGGCCCCAAACGCGCCCAGCCCTACCGTCACGCTCTGCCAATCTGGCACGACCTGCACATGACCATGCGCGCTCATAAAGTCCATCTCAGACGTAATATCCGGGCGGTCCAAGGCGGAGTCGGTGCTGTCTCTGGGCCGTGGTGGCGGTGGTATGGGCCGAACGACTACGGAGGGCAGGAAGCGTGGGTAGCCCTCTTTGAGCGGCACCAGCGTCAAGAGGAACGTTTTAACCTCATCCTCGCGCGCTGAAAAATGCGCACGCCGCTGTCCGCCCAGCAGCCACACATTCGGGTCTGCGTCTAGCTCGTACACGAAGTCGACTGGGTCTGCTGGGTCTGCGAGTGCTGCAGCCCGCTGCAATTGCGCGGCATCGTCCCATTTGCGCGTGTGTTTGATTGAGAGCGTTGCGTGGAGAGGTTGGCCCAAGGCCGCGATAGGTGCGCTTAGGGCTGGCGGCTTTATGCGAGTGGCGAGTTTGAGAACCGCAGTATGCAAGATCTGGACGCGGGGCACGGCGACGGTAATGGTGATGCGGCGTGAGATAGGGGAGGCAATAGCAGCAGCGCGGTCTTCGACGGGGGTTACGTCGATGGTGGGGTTGTCCTGGGTGCGGTGTCAGACTATATATATCTAGGTGAAACAACAAAGATGCACTCTTACCTTGTGCCATTGGCCCAGCCACTCCCTCAATTCGCCACGGATACTACTGGGTAAGCTCTCCACTGTGTCTAACCAGCCTGCATCCTCATAAGAAGGTATGCGCAGCTCGTTCGCGAAAGAGGCGATGTGCCAATCCTCCGGTATCATGTTCTCTTTGAGATGATCCCACAACCTAGGAAGCAGGAGTCTGATCGTTTTGGCAAAGGGACTCTTGCTCAAAGCCTCCGAGAAGTTTGTCTCAAGCTTCTCAAATACATGCTCATCCAGACAGCGGTAGTCCACTACGAGCGACAGGTTGGAATCGGCAAGATTGGCTAAGCTGGCACCGTCCTTCTTAGCAATCTTGTACACGAAGGCTGGCGCATATCCCGGCTCAACCCGGTTGCGACTTCCTGACAACCGGGTAGGATGAACGTCGAACGCTGGGGAGCCTTCCAGTAGTATGTTGAGTACGTCCAGGGGGATTTGGTTGGACGTGCTGACTTTGAAGCTGGACAGAAGCAGGTTCTCCATAAACTGGTCGTGAACGTTGACGTCTAAGGGTAGTTCCACGTTGATCGCGGAGGTCGACCGGAATTCATGTTTGCCTTTTTCGGTATGGTAAACGATTTCGAGCTTAATATGGAGCTCACGCAGACCGATCTCCATCTCGTACGGGACCTGGATCCTCGATATGCTATTAGGTGATAATTGTGAGAGTTCTAAGACACCAGGGCTTGGTCTATCTGCAATGGTTGTCTCACCCTCAATTACCGTAGCGTCTCCAGTGCGTAACCTCAACCCCGCTGATGCAGCTTTCAGGTGAACCTCAATCTTAGAGACGTTATTGCCATGGCTGCGGCATTCCAGTTCCAATGATCTGATCTTGTCAATGTAGATAGTGCGCGCCACAATAAGCTTTGCGTCGAAAGCTTCTGCACGAGGGTACGAAAGTACACGGAACTTTCTCGCAACTTTGGCATTTGCGCCAGAGTTAGGGACAGTGATCCCTAGTGCCGGCAGAGTCTCTTCCTTCTTGGGTTGTTCATGAACGAAATGAATCTTCTTGGCTTCCAAGACAATCTTGTCGACCACGTATCCACCAAGCGTTGTAACCTAGCTCCGGTTAGACTGGATATTTGTTCAAAATTGTTGTCAGACTTACATTTGAGTGGAGCCAGGTGGAAATAACGCCCTGTTTGACGTCGAATTTCTCTATGGACTCCAGCCATACGTCCTTGCTTCCTCCAATCGTGGTGCTCAGGAGGCGTACCTTGGCCTTGTCAACCGTAAAGTCGTCTTCTAGAATGTGACGAAAGCTGAGTTTGAGCCGGAAGCCGTCTTGATCATCGTAATGCTGAATATAGGGTTCAACATGGAAATCCAAGAAGTAGCGGTTCATAGGGGCTGAGACGTCGTAATTAGGTGGTAGTTCGTCCGAGAAGTTGATCAGGTCACGAAGAAGACCTGTTGTGTCTAACCGGTCATCATCGAGCCAAGCTCCGCCGCTCTTTGCCCCGGGTGTCCTGATTTTGAGCGATCGTGATGACATCTGGTGAGATGCAGACTTGGCCAGGAGGTCAAGAATTACCCTCACATATTCGTCCTTCCGGTTAAGATTCTGAAGACACTGTGCATACATCTTCAACATCGTAATCTCAACAAGGTTCCATCGGTTTTGCGCGTATAGAGGAGCCATGCGACTGAAGTAACTCGCGGCGGCAGAGAAATCGCCCATTTCGCTGGCATGCCGTTAGCTCGAGCGGCAGAGATCATGCTTCGTGGGTCACTTACAATTTGAGGGCAGCTAAGTCGCCCAAAATGCTTTCCGCAGCCTTAGAGCGGTTTGCAGCGAAATAGTGCTTGACTGCTTGATCACTGAGTTGCTGAATACTGTCAGCATGGTACTTTGGAATAACGGTCAGTAACCACAAACCTCGTATAGGTTCCTGAAATCCTCGAAAGTTGCAAACGCAGCACGAAGTGCTGCTTCGCCTACGCCAGCTGTCAGGTCTGTTTTTGATACTTCTTCGCCGTTTTCTTCTCCATTCGCCGACGGCTTCGCATCATCGTCAAGAGATATCTCAGTAAAGTTATTGTCTTTGCCATGCTGCGCGGCTATAGATGCCCAGCCGACTAGCCAATAGAGATTTTTACCGATACGTTCGACAATTCTCCTCTGAACGAGATAAAGTTCAGCCCGATGCGCCGCAAGCTCCAACTGGCCATTTTTTAAGCTGGTACTAGATTGTGTTGGATCCTTCTGCACCATTTGACTAGCACTGTTGGATTTTCCGTGCTCGTAAACAACTTGTCCTGAAGAACGAGCATACGGCGGCTCTTGTACAGATGCGCGGCGATCCAGCAACGAGCTCCCGCGCTGCGGTAGTGAACCTTTGTTCTTTTGATCTGGTACATTTACCTTGAGTTCATGCTTCCGGCCACCTGCGGGCGCCTTTGCTGAGGTTGTAGTTCCTAGAGGTTTTTCGAATGTCGCAATGGGAAGTGTGGATGTAATGGTTGCATCCAACACTTGTTGAGCAACCGCATAAGTCCATGATGAAACGAAATTATCAATCATGCTTGTGGGATAAGTTTTAACATCTTCGCCGAGTCTGCCCAAATGTTAGTTCGCATAGTAGATCACATCGTATGATTAATACTCACCCCTGTTCTAGGTCTCGGCGCAAAATGTGAGCAACAATAGTCATGAAACTCATGGCACGGCGACACAACTCTGCTAGAGATGTGAGGTCTTCGGTTTGCTCATCAAATACACCGGTTTTGAGGCCTACAGAGAGATCGTCCGTAGATCTCTTAGCTTGAGTTGCCGTAGATGGCCTGGAAGCGGGCTTGGTCAAGAATTCGGATCTGGTAATATGCGCATTCCCTAACCGCAAAAGAAGGACCATTTGCCGTGCAAAAATGTAGCAACGGAAGTCAAAGACAGAGATGTTGCTTGAAAGAATGAGGCCTCGATAGTCTTTCCTTGAGGAACTGATGGGCTTCGCAAAAAGGTCTTTGGTATAGCTTTCCACCTGTGCTTCCGTCGATGATTGTCGCGAAGCAACAAACTGCTGCTTCAGGTCTTCTGAGTAGTCCAAAAAGGCACTTCCGGTCCCGGTCATACCTCCAGCGGCCTCTTCCCGGATAATTGAATCTAAGCCGACAGAAAGTTCATCATAGCCAACTAAGGCATCTTCAACGAGGCCCACGCTCTCAAAGCCTCTTGCCAGCCCTTCCTTCAAGACAAAGAAGGTGCAGAAATTCCATCCCGGTAGGCTTCGTTGCGAATCTTTCTCCTTAATGTCTTCCTCGTACTGCGTGACACGTAGGTCGAAGGACAGAAGTATCAGAGTCTTGAATTTGGAAATGGCATCACCCCATGCATTGAGGATGTCCTGAGGGCTCTCCGTGTGAGAGGCAGGAGGAGCTGTAAGCCCTGGCGGCATCAAATGCGCAGGGATGTCTGACTTCTGGAGACGGATCTGCGCAACCCTGTCCGGATCGGATTTGCTAACAACATTGAAATCGGAACGGATCTTCTCGAAGATGGTGCTGGAACCACGGCCCGGCCATCGGGAAGAGCTGCTTGGCTTGTCGATGGAGCCCGTGGAACTACTGCTAGAACCGCTCCAGCGAGGTTGAGCGGCAGCGGGAGTGTCGGGCAACACGACATGCAGAATCAACCATTCAAAGGCGTCATGGTTCTCCTGTTTGCTTTTCGAGGTGCTGCTGTCATGTGACGGAGTGTTTTCTCGGATCCACTCGCGCAGCAACCTGCGGGAATTAGACTTGTAGGTCTCATTGTCATCACACCTCAGAAGCAGAACCTTGAGGTAGGGAGTTTGACTGAGACCCGGGATTTGGTGGCGTCGCCTGCTGGTGGTGGGGCGGTAGCTGTCGGTTGAGGTTGGGCGCGTGGAAGCGGAAGAAGTTGCGCGCTGTCGGGCGCCAGCAGATGATGGAGGCCTCGAAACTTGCGGTCTCAGAAACTCCTCGGTTGGGTCGCGGCTGGCGACGAGATCGATATGAAGCGAATCTATTGATCTCAAGGGACGCGAGGGCGACTTCCAATGGAGATTGCGGAGGGGCAGCCGCGAGGTTAGTTGCGGCTCGACGATGGGGAAAATACCAGAGGGGTCATGGTACTCGACTAGACATGACGTTAGCCAGTGCACGCGTATGGGCTGGCCGCTGCGCTGATGATGCGTGAGTAGCGCGTACCCGTGACCTTTGAGCTAGAAGAGGTAGCCATTATGGGAGAATGGGGGCGCGAAGGCGGGCCTGTAAAATCCGGGCCAGCTGCGAGATTCCCGCCGTCATTCCGGCTGCCCATCAACGGTTTAGGGGGAGGGGGGTGGGGGTGCGGCAGGCAGGTCGATGCGCGGTTGCGGGTCAGCGCCTTTGTTGACGGATCGGGCTGAGGTGAGCTGCCGATAGGGAGGATCGATGCCGCTAGTCCAGGCTTTGACGAGACGTCGCATCCCTCGAACCCACGCCCCAGGAACCCCCCACCTATGTATGAAGTATTTAAACGCTGACAGCGCTACCTTACTCCTCTTGCAGTCTGGCAGCTTCACTTTGTTGAATGCTTTCTGGCTTATAGGTCTAAGCCTCGATACGGGCCGGGGCTATTTGATACTGTCTGATGGCTCGGCCGGCCATTAGGAAAAAAGGTCTTGACGGATTTGGAGCAGGTCTTCTTCGTCGTTGGTGATGGGTATCGGTGTCCCGTTGTGCCAGTGTACATCGGCGTCTTATTGTACCAGCGTGAACCGGCGTCCCGTTATGCTAACGTACAGCAGTGTTTGCTGATGGTGCTTGGTGCGGCAACGTTGAGTATTTAATAGCAGACAATGGACGGCACTTTCATGGTCTTTCAACCGCCCAAAAGGCCTCTTCAACGGCAATGGATGTCTCCCGCGTACTCGTTGAATTCATAGCACTATGTATATCATTACACCGGACAAGCTCTCTTGCTAAAGCTGTCCTCACAGACTCTCTCGCCTCACCACCAACGCTCTAGCTGAACGCTTTATTGTATATGACTTTTGTGCAATACACCCCCCAGCGAACGCCTCCCATGCCGCACCATCTCATAACTAGGAAACGCGTAACCCATGATTAGCCACCACGTCGCTTGGTCGCCATGTGTCCTCTTGTCTCGTCCCCGGTGGTAGCCAGCCCACAGCGCCGCTTTCTCTTCTCGGTCTGCTCCCGACTCCGGCATCGTCGTTCTTCTTCTCGTCTCTATTGAACCCATTAGCAAACGCATTGCCCGACGCCTGCACTGGAGATGCAGAAGTGCCTGAGCCTCTATCCGCCAGCTTCTCTAGCGTAAGAGGCAAGAGATTCTCTTGCTTGCCGCCATGTACCATCTTTGCCTTATGGTCGGCCTTCTTGTCGCGAGTGCGGTCATACAGATAAAGGCCGAGGAAGGTTAGCCCAATACCGAATGCTTGAATCGCACTCATTCTGTTGCCGAACCAGACAATGGCAAAGACAATGACAAAGACACGTTTGATAAGGCTGGCGACAGAGTAGGTGACTGGAGACACCATCGAAAGCAGTACAAATGCGACAAGATTCTGTCCGAAATGAAACGTTCCGTTGAAGAGGTATTCCAACGCGAGGCGCCCATGATCGAGCGACCCAGGCCGCACATTTAGGTCGATGGACGCATCGTAGAGAAAATCGCCAATGATTCCAAAGCCCTCGGAGAAAAGCCAAATGGGCGCCGTGCAAAGGAACGCCAGACCAGAAGAATAACAGAGCAGGTTCAACTTGTCAGGCTTGCGGCGAGCCTGCGGCGCATTGTCCTGTTCCGCTTGTTCCGCCTCATTGAACAGCTTTTTGGAAACAATGTTCTGCGTCACGAATAGAAGGGCGCTGCCGAACGCCGCGAGCAAGCCCAGGAAGTTTGCGCTAAAGTTCGCTGAGCAAGCCATGACAACACCCAGCGTGAGCGGTACGAGAGATAGGTATGTGGCGGTGGAGTAATGGATCCGGAAATAGAAGCGATAGGCCATGACGGTGAAAAGAGGTGACAGACCCTTGATTGTGTGGACCAGCGAGACAGGGATTCGGGACATGGCGTCGGAGCTTAGAATGTGTCCACCAATCTGGAAGGCGGTGAGGGGCAGCGTCGTGAGGATCAAATCTCTACTGGGTGGACGAATGCCGTATTTCAGGGCTGGGATCATGACCTTGAGGCGCGGATATATTTTCGCCAGCCTTGCCAGAAGTATGCACCAGGATGACACGAACGCGAACTGCACGAGAGTGAGGGTAACCGGCTTCGGAAACGCTGTAAGGATTGCTTTCGAAGAGGTGTTGGAGAGAATCGAGGTCGTGTACCAAATCCCGCAAAGAAGCTGTTCGATAGCCCATGTCAGCAATGCACCAAGCGGCATGTCAACGTGGGGGCCATACGATGAGCTTCGCCGATACTGGCGCCTTGAGCGCGCCGGCGATTTCATGCGCGTTCTGGCTGACGCTACCCCGTCGTGTTTTTATGGTCCTCCACGCTTCGCTCAAGCTCTTCTGGCGCCCGTGTCGCGTTGCGCCGGTGTTGATGCCTCCATTGCTCCACCGCGCGCTGTTGTCCCTGCGGGGATACCACCGATCGCCTGGAGGGAGCCCATTAACGTCACCTTTTTTGAGCGGGCTGGGCGAGGAACGGACGGGTATGCCAATGTCTGCGAAGCCTCCCTCGGCTTGTGGGGGCAGAACGTCGGGCGAAAAGGCCGGGAACTTGAAGGTCGCGGGCGAGGGCGAGGAATGCGCCTCGCCGGTAGATTGGGAGCTGGATGCCATGAGGGCGAGTATTGTATGGAGGGTCACGGGCCGCTCAAGCCATGGGTTGCCGCAACGGTGGTGGGGCTGAGTTCAAGCGGACGGTGGCGCGATACAAGGACGCGCGATGGCAACGTATGTCGCTCGGGATGTGCCCTATCTGACGCGGGCGAGTGGGACGGACGGTCAGAGCTCTGGCGCAGAGTGCGGGCGGGGCGAGGAGATGTAGGTGAGGCAGGACAGCAGCATTGAAGCGCTGACAAGACGGCGCCTGGAAAACTGGCTGAGAGTTGAAAGTTGTAGGTGGTTGGCCCATTAATGCACGCGCGGCTCTGCAAGGATTAAGGTTACTGTAAGGCCGTCCGTGCGAACTTGACTTTGCTGAGCGTCACCGGGCAGCCTTGCAACCCGCCCCGACTCCACTTTGTCTGGACGTCATAGAAGACCTACTACAGTCCGATCTCCATTTAGCCTTGACTGGTTATAACGTCCATGTCCAACGGCCACGCAAATCCAAGCTAGGCATGGCGATAAACGCCTTTTTTTAAACTATTGAAACTTGTAAAGTAGCGAGTTGGAATATATAAAATTAACCCTTAGAGCCCATAGATATACTGGCACCTACAGTATAAATAAGGCAAGAGATCGAATAATACTGTAGAATGAATATGTAGATAGACGAACCTTTAAAGAGAATTCATAGTCCATGTGGAACACACGTGAGTCTCATGTGACTCTTGCACGCACGTGTATACCCATGGAGGCTGCTATTTATCCAAGGCAGACTGGCCTGACAACCTCTCACCTCCCGGGCACCTCCGAACGCATCTACGAATGCATTTTGGAACGCTTGCTAAACCTCTCTTATCATCACCACCACCATCATCATCATCATCATCATCGTAGTACACACAAACCTACCCACGGAGTCTGCTGTCTCTATGCTATGACTTCCCTCCAGCTGCCCTTCGTCGAACCGCCCGCGCTTTCTTTTTCGTCGCTCTGGCAAGTGCTTGGGCCCTTCCAGATTGGCACACGAGGCATGCGCCCCGATTGTCTTTCAGCTTGACGCCAGACGTTGATGATTCTCTGCAGAAGCCGCGTGGGGGGCCGACCCACTCGAGTTCCACGGTGGCTTCCGCTGCTTGGAATACGACCGAGATGTCAAGTTCAAGAGCTCTTTGACCCCAAACGCAACAGTGGCTTGGTCTTCATTAAATGCTACTGTAGCGACGGAAGGCTCCGACGCAAACGCGTCCCTGGATCTGAGCTTTCCCGAGATAGACTGGCAGTTCATCCAGTCAATATATGGCTGGTCTGCTCTCCAGTACCAAGCATGGGCCCGGGGCCAGATTATTGTAGGTGCAGAAAGGCCGCAAACGGTGCTGTTGTACACGGATCGCGTCCTAGAGTTTTGGCTCGATGGAAAGCCTTACTTTGGAGGTGATTTCTATGCTTATCGTAAAGCGCCTGTAGTATTGTACCTTGTTCCCGGGGCCCATCAACTAGACTTACGTTTGATTCGTGATGGTCGAGCGATGGGTAGTGTTGGGGATCCGACTGTGCAGGTTGATCTTGCGCTTGTGTTGCGTACTGGTTTCGAACCGCTTGAGCTTGCCGACAAAAATATACTGGCCCCAGATGTTGTTGATGGAAACCTTGCCGGCCAGTATGGTTCTCTGGCAGTCCGGAATATTGGCAACAAGGTCATCCAAATCGTGAGTGTCGGGTCGGAGAGTGACGTATGTCTCCTCGAAATAATACCTAAGAAATGTGAGTCAGTAGCTCCTAACAAAAACAGGACATTCAAATCGAGGTATTGGAGCATCCCGCTGGAAAAGTGCAGTTGAAGATACTGCCTGGGCAGACCAGACCTCTATCCTTCCGATTCCATTCCAGCAGTCCCAAGACATTTCAGTTACAAGTTACCGTAACTTACACTTGTGACGGCTCCACCGGCAAGCTTACGACCGTCCAGGACTTTAGACAAAAATCCATCTACGAGCCTCATAAAATAACCTTCAAACATCCGGGTGGGATAATTTCATATGCTATGCTGCGGCCACCATCGAAAGCTGCCACCTGCAAAGGCATGACCTCAGCACCGATTCTTCTTTTTCTTCATGGCGCAGGCCTTGATGCTGCCAGTGACATGGTCGCCCATACTATGGACCCTCTTCCAGACCTGTGCGCATGGACTCTCTTCCCAACCGGAGTGACCAATTGGAGTGGAGACGACTGGCACAGCTGGGGATTCGCAGATGTGGAAGCTGCTATCTCTTCCATTGAAGACTGGACGACAAGGACTAGCTGGCAAGGCATCGGCGTTGATTCTTCTCGCTGGCTTGTCAGCGGCCACTCAAACGGGGGACAGGGCGCCTGGTACACAATGACCCATAGGCCTGACAAAATAATCGCAGCGGCCCCCGTCTCCGGATACGCTTCCATCGAACGCTATGTCCCATATGAGTTCTGGCGGCCTATGGATCCTCGCAGGCAATCGATATTGCGGGCTTCAATCAACAGTTATAGGCATGAGCTACTCGTTGAGAATTGTCAAGGCATTCCAATCTTCCAGCAGCACGGCAGTGCTGATGACAATGTACCGGCATACCATTCGAGGCTGATGAACCAGTTACTCTTACATGTCGGTACTGGCGCAGACTATGTGGAGCTCCCAGGGGAAGGTCACTATTTTGATGGCATTATGACCACCGAGCCTTTGAGCAAGTTCTACGAAAGATACGTACCGGTTGGAAACCCAACGTCCTTAGCTCTTCGGCGTTTCGCGATTGTGGTGGCTAATCCTGGAGATATGTCATCGAAAGGCGGAATCACAGTTACTCAACTTGAAACTCCGGGGCAGTACGGTAGGATGGACGTTTCAATCGACCCTTTGGATGAAGAAACCTGCATATACAGCATTGGAACCAGTAACATACTTAGCTTCATGCTAAAGCCCCGTTCCTGCACTAAAATGCATGTTATCATCGACGGCAAGGAAACAGTTGTTCCTGACCTGGGCAATTCGGAACATGTTGACAGGACAGGGGCCGTCAACCTATCCAAGGTTAATGGTAGTTGGGCTGTAAGTTGCTTGTTGGTTGGTGTATATGCTGCTTTGTTGCTGATAACATGGTAGGCTGGCTCTTTGGAGGCCCCAAGTTCCATGTCGATGAATCGTCGCGGCCGCCAGCTTGGGACGATGGATGCCATCCTGCGTACCGATGGCATTTTCGCAGTCTTTCCATTCGCCGAAGGCTCTGAGGATATCGCACTTCAAATAATTCGCAACATGTACCAGTATTTCTTTGCGGACGCTGCCATCGAGGACGCTCGCGAATACGACAGACAGCGCTGGAAAGGCAGCAAAATCATCATCGCGGTAGACCAAGTTCCAACAGGTGCTTTGGCAGACTTTCCGATTCGGGTTCTAGGGCCTTCGGGATTGAGCATACGCGAAGCAGATGGTAGCAGGAAGGAATACGATGCCGAGGAAGGGCTGTCTGCCATATTTCTGCGGCCCGGAGAGCAGGAAAGCGTGGAGCTCGTGATTTGGGGCAGCAACGTGGAAAACGCAGCGGTGGCGGCGCGACTGGTGCCGATGCTGACAGGAGTTGGGCAACCGGATTTCATCGTGTTAAGCAAGAGCAGTCGGTGGAAGGGCGCAGAAGGAGCACTGGCGATGGGCTTCTTTGACCAGGCGTGGAACGTCACAAGCAACTCGTTCTTTAGCTGAGGTGAAAGGCAAATACAGTAGGTGCACACTTGTTTACCGCTGCTTCCCTTTTAAGAGCGACTGCCGTGCCGGCTACACGCCCTTTATCTACCGCCTCTGCTCCTCTTCCTCCCCTCCCTCTTCCCCGACCCACAACAAAACACCCATCTTGTCTCAGATCTACGAAAGCTTCAAGCAATCTGGGCCCCGATCACCGCAAAGAATCGCACTAACTTGCGCCAACCTGCTCGCTGTGGCTATCTTACGCTCAGTGTACACTTTACCTAGCCTTCATCTTCTGTGTCTCCGACTGTCCTCACACCAACCTCCACCATGACGAGCGACGGCTCACCAGTTCCCCGCAACTCACCCAGCGGTCAGCTCGCCGCTCAGCGCGATGACGCAGGTATTGGAGTCCTGCCATCTATGCTTGGCAATGTGGTAAGTCATCTTAACACTTATCAATCCCCATCCATTTCAGCCACCCTCCTTCACCACCACCCCCGCTCTGACCCGGCCCTCAGGGCGTCAAGCGAAACAACCAGATGGTCACCCGGGCTTCGTCTCCAATCCCGTTGACAACCTCGAAACTGGGAAACCAGAACTCACTTCCCTCAAGCCGTGTGCCCTCGAAGGTCAGAGATGGAAATGTTCTTTGCTATTACAGAACGCTAATCAATTGTCTAGAAACTGAAGACCAGCCCTACACCACCTGCTGCTATGCCCCACCCAAGCGATGATTCCAGTTTCTCTCCAATGGACAACCTCATGGCCAAGCTGTCCGAACAACAGGTCATCCTGAACAAGCAAAGGGACGAGATCGGTGGCGTCGCGGAGACCTTGGGCCCTCGGAAGGAACACCTGGCAGCTCCTCCGGTACGTATATTTGAACGCTTGATGATCATCCTGCCTTGCGCCCAGCTATCCCTACGCAATCGACCGGATCTGTCACCGAAGGTCTCTTGGCATAAACTGCCGGGCCATTTCAGCAGACTTCTCGCTAATATCATGATCAGAACGATGGTTCGTCCAGTGGTTCCGTCTCAATCTCCGCCGGCAGCGAGAAGTACATTCAAACCCCCGAATCGTTCGACATCCAAGCAAATGTTCCCGACGCCGCCGAAGTTTTGCGCCTCAAGAAACAGCTCGAAGCCGCAAACAGCAGGATCGCTAGGATGGATGAAGAGCTGTCACAGACGCGCATTACCAAGCACACGGTTGACCAGGCCCTGGGACCTCCCTCTGAGGCTGGCTTCGATCCAAGGAATGACGTCAGCGAACAGACGCTCAGCAAGCTTCAGTACACCTTCAATGCTTCCACCAGAATCCCTCCTGTCATGGGGCGCCAGGAACCTTGGCCCGTCCCTGAAGATGCGGTTTCTGATTCCAGCGATGCTCTCTCTGCTGGTGGCTTCAACCGTCAGCGCAACCATGCCATCTGGAACAACATCCCCAAGCCTTCTGTCCCTTATCAGCTCCCGACCCCTATCGAGCCTAACCCGGCCTTTGGTGCCAACTGGAACAATGGTGCAGTACGTCAGCCCTTCAGCGCCGGTGTGGCTTTGGGTCACGGACTGGGTTTGCAACCGTTCGGTTCAATGCAGCAAGGTCAACGCTTCGACGCCATGGGTCCTGCTTTTCCGATAGATGGCGTGCCAGGAGTCCCTGGAATTCCCGGAGTCCCGCGTGGCAATAATCAGATATTCATGGAGCCTGTTCCTCCCTATTCCATTGGAAGGAGCAATCCCCCCAGCCGCCCGTCCTCCCGTGCCGCTTTCGACATGCGATACAACACTTGGGCTACAAACTACACTCCTGGTGCTCCCGGAGGCCATCGTTACAGTCCTCCAGTCTCACCAATGCCTGGTATGCCTCACCATGGCATGTTCCAGCCTCCTGCGGCCTATCAGCCAGGCCCCATTGGAACTCGTTTGTCTCCTACGGCTGCAGAGTTCAATGTCGGTAGGGATTCGGCTTCTGGTCCTTGGAACCCACAGGTAAGTCCTCATCCACTCATTAATTGTCGTGAAGACTTGTGATAACAAAAGCCCCATTTTCATGGGATGCAGCCAATCCCCGAGACCTCCGTGACCACTTATATTTCGCCTAACGAACCTATCAATTATCGTCGCCTCCTAGACCGTAACATGAGCTGCGACTGGAAGTTGATCGTCGACAAGATTGTCTGCAACAATGACCAGCAAGCTTCCATTTTCCTCCAGCAGAAGCTCAAAGTCGGCACAGCTGAGCAGAAGTTCGAAATCGTCGAGGCGATCATTGCTCAAGCTTACCCTCTTATGATCAACCGGTTTGGCAACTTCCTTGTTCAGCGTTGCTTTGAGCATGGCACCCAGGATCAAGTCATTTCCATTGCCAATGCCATTCGTGGCAATGTCCTCACCTTGAGCATGGACGCCTTCGGTTGTCACGTTATCCAGAAAGCCTTCGACGCGGTCCCGGAAGATTATAAGGCTATCATGGTCCATGAACTTCTTCGCCGCATCCCCGAGACTGTTGTTCATCGCTATGCCTGCCATGTCTGGCAGAAGCTGTTTGAACTCCGCTGGAGCGACTCTCCGCCGCAGATCATGAAGTATGTCAACGAAGCCCTGCGCGGCATGTGGCACGAAGTCGCTCTTGGGGAGACTGGTAGTCTCGTCGTGCAGAACATCTTCGAGAACTGTCTGGAAGAAGACAAGCGTCCTTGCATCAATGAAGTCCTCGCGAGCATTGACGTGATCGCTCACGGCCAGTTCGGCAACTGGTGCATCCAGCACATCTGCGAGCACGGCTCTCCCCCAGACCGCACTCGCGCCATCGACCACATCCTTCGCTATGCCACGGAATACAGCATGGATCAGTATGCTTCCAAGGTCATCGAAAAGTGTCTCAAGATTGGCGGAACCGAGTTTCTCGATCGCTATCTCGACAGGGTCTGCGAGAGCCGTGCCGACCGCCCTCGTCTCCCGCTTGTGGACATTGCCGGTGACCAGTTTGGCAACTACTTGATCCAGTACATACTTTCGAACGCCAGCCCTCAACACCGCGAGATTGTGGCTGGACACGTCCGCAAGCATATGGTCTCCCTTCGTGGCTCCAAGTACGGCTCCCGTGTTGCCATGTTGTGCTGCAACCCGGCATTCGCTACTCGCCCTGGTCCGCCGACAGGGATGCAACTTAACCGCCACAACAGCTACGGCGGTCGTGGCTCCTACGGAGGCTATCGTTGAGGTTTACCTGCATATACTGATAGTTCGACACACCAACGGTTACTCGGAAAACGTCGCCCTCGTATCGATCTTCACTCATCCACCACATGTAAACCACTTACGGATGGCATGTCCGCTTTCTTTCGTCATTTCTCAGTTGTCCTAGCGGTGTGCATTTTGGTGTAGACCTCGATTTCGGCCTTCCCCCACAAGACAAGAGCGCCAGCTGGGAGTCGTTTCGGGACAATCACACAAAAGCTTATTCTGCCGTTCGATCTCTCCTTTTCATTCCATGTTGGCATCAGGTACCTTTTCGCGGTTGCTGCCGCCTTCCTCATCAAGCTCAGTTGATTTTCTTCCCAATACGACTTTCTGACTTTATTTCCCCTCTGCACTATTTTCCACGTTTGCGGTACAGATCCACGCTCCTGAGCTCCTTGGATTACGGACCGCATCCGGTTAGTCACAGTACATCTTGCCCCTTTGCATTAAGCGACATGGATTTTCTCTTTCTCTTTCTTTTCTTTTGCTAGCAGTGTCAGCTTCCTAGGGTAACAAAAGGAAGTAAGTAGTACCTAGACTTGGAGCATCATGGACGGAACCATACTTCAGGGGAGCATATTTTTGGTGGACTTTCTTTTTTCGGCTGCGGAGGAGGGGCGACGGGGGTTACTGTAGGTGTGTGGAGACTAGTCGAGTCGGGGAGGTCATTTCAGCAAATGGTTTTAATGCAGCTAGGTAGATTCACAACAATGCATTAGGGGGATGTTACAGTTCGATCCTTTGTGCTTGTGCGTACACGGTCAAAGAAGAGAGACCGTATGTACTGTACAATGGTAGTTTGTGGGTGCAAACGCCCAGGCAAAAGCTGCATACCTACCGAAAAACCACCCTTTTTTTTGGTCAGAAGTTGCAGCAAACATTTGACTGGACGTGTAGCCTAGGTAGACGGAGGATCCACGTGGCTTGTGCTTGGGGGAAGGGCCGCTCGAAGCTGAGGGTGATCATGATGTCGCGTTTCTGTGGTCGGAGGTCCAGGCGTGCCAATCAGCCCAGGGCGGCGAACCGAGGGGGACCCCCGAGCACCACGTTGCTGCTTCAAGTCAAGCAAACCCTCCATCGCAGGCCCGTCGCACCTATTCCTTCTTGTGTCCAAGTTTCCTTAACACGCCGCGTGATCCTGTTCCAGCCCGGTTTCGCGCTTCTGTCAGTCCATCCCACCAACCTGCATCTTTAAGCGAGAGGCGCCTCTTTCGCCGTCCTTGGTCTGCTGCCAAACATGGCGTCACCGGCCCTGCAGGTCCCCAATGGATCCAGCAACAGCCAACGTCCCGGAATCAACTCGATGCAGTCTTCGCCCTCGGTAGTCATGAACGGTCACTTTGCCTCTGTCGGCGAGAAGTCGTCGGCCGAGCAGTACGAGCATGGCGTCCAGGTCATCGATGAAAACAAGGAGTTCAAGTGAGTAGCCTCCCGCGCGCGCGCGTTGCTGCAGCGCTCCTTTTGCTGATGACTGTGACAACAGCCCGACCCTTTCGCAATACCTACAACTCGAAAATGTCATTCCCTCAGGTTTCAACTACCACATTATTTCCGTCTTTGGCTCGCAGAGCACCGGAAAGTCCACGCTGCTGAACAACCTGTTCAGCACGTCTTTTGGCGTCATGTCCGAGCAGGAGCGGCGGCAGACGACCAAGGGCATATGGATGTCGAAGAACAAGCGCCAACTGGCCGACGCAGATGGCACCAAAACCATGGCGGACAACATTCTCGTCATGGATGTCGAAGGCACAGATGGCAGAGAAAGGGGCGAGGACCAAGACTTTGAGAGGAAGAGCGCGTTGTTTGCGCTGGCAACCAGCGAGGTCCTGATCGTGAACATCTGGGAGCACCAGGTGGGCTTGTACCAGGGTGCAAACATGGGGCTGCTCAAGACGGTGTTCGAAGTCAACTTGCAACTTTTTGTCAAAGACAACAAGTAAGTGGTGTCTGAGACAAGTGGGTTGATCTCATGGCTGACTAGAGGGCTACAGAAATACCCCGCGTTCTCTCCTCTTTTTCGTCATTCGCGACCATATTGGCAACACCCCCTTGGTTAACCTCAAGGAAACCCTCCTCCAAGACATGTCACGCATCTGGAGCACTCTCTCCAAGCCCAAAGGCCTCGAGGAATCGAAGATCGAGGACTACTTTGACTTCGCTTTCGCCGCCTTGCCACACAAGATTTTGCAGCCGGAGAAGTTTGTCGAAGACGTCGAGAAGCTCAGCAGGCGCTTCAAGGAAGGCTACAAGGACCCGAAGCGCGACGCTCTGGTCGACGAGCAGCAATTACCAGTCTTCCTGCCCGAATACCACCGACGCATTCCCGCGGACGGCTTCTCGCCGTATGCTCAAGGCATCTGGGACCAGATTGTCAGCAACAAAGACCTCGACCTGCCCACTCAGCAGGAACTTCTCGCGCAGTTCAGATGCGATGAAATTGCAAAGGAGGTTCTGGTCGCGTTCAATGACAAGATCACGCCGCTGGAGGAAAGACAGGCAGCTAATGCCAAGGCTGGCAACCCCGCCATTCTCCCTGAACTGGGCGCTACTATGGCCGAAGCGCGCGGCACCGCTTTTAAAGAGTTCGAGACACAGGCTTCGCGTTACCACAAGGGCGTCTACGCCAGCAAGTCGAAGGACCTTGGCGACAAGATTGATACGCGCCTGAAGGCCCTCTTCCGCGGCCAGATCTCCGCGGCACACAAGTCCGGCGTCGACGACTTTTCAGAGGCCGTCAGCGCGGCCGTCAAGCTCGGACAGAAAAAGGGCGCCAACTACGACTTCGCGCAGATTGTTGACAGCGAGAAAAAGAAGGCGCTGGAGAGGTTCGAGGAAGCTGCCAAGGCAATCGTCATCGAGGACGCAGCATGGAGCGACTATGCCCAAGAGATGAACCTGTACAAGAAAGACCTCGATAGCGTCTCGGCTCGCCTGCGCAAAGATGAGATGCGCCGGCTGGCCACGCGCGTGGAGCGCTGGGTACGCTCGCGTCTCAACGAATCGGTCGGTCTTGAGTTCAACAAGCTGGGTTCTGGCCGAGGGGGTTCCGGTGCGCCAGCCGAGGGCGAGAAGGGCGTGGAGAAGGAGCTCTGGACCCGTATATGGAATGTATTCACGGAGACGGTTTCGCACGCCGAGACGCGCTTCACCGAGCGCGCGCGCAGCTTCGACGCCTCGCCTGAGGAAGTCGAGGTTGGTCTTTGGCGCCTGCGGCGTAAAAGTTGGGGCTGCCTGCGCGCCAAGATTGACGAGGAGCTCATGGAGGGCAATCTTATGCTCAAGCTTCGTGAGAACTTTGAGGACAAGTTCCGCTATGACGAGTCTGGCGTCCCCCGCATCTGGAGGCCGACCGATGACATCGAAGGCATTTACACACGCGCCCGCGAGTCTACGCTCACGCTGATCCCGCTCCTTTCCCGCTTCAAGCTTGCGTCTTCATCAACGCCGCCCCCTCTCGAGGCGTGGATCGGCCCAGCGCCTGCATCGGTTGTGCCGGCGGACGAGGAGGACCTCACGCCGATTGGCGGCGTGGATGAAGAGGAGGGCAAGAGCCTCGAGGAGGAGATGACGATGCTGAGCGATGCCAAGCAGGCTGATCTCAGCGTTCGTTTTAAGAAGACGGCCGACGGCGTTTATGTCGAGGCGAAGAGAAGCGCCATTGGCGGCATGACGCAGATTCCTCTATATTTCTACGGCCTGTTGTTTGCGCTGGGCTGGAACGAGATTTGGGCTGGTAAGTTTCGCCGACGACATACATCCCTTTGGTGGACAAAAAAGAAAGGCTAACAAAGTTCGAAACAGTGCTCCGCAATCCTGTTTATTTCATTTTCCTCATCATCTGCGGTGTCGGTGCGTACGTCACGTACACGCTAAACCTCTGGGGCCCGATGATGCGCATGGGCAATGCCGCGTCTGCGCAAGGCATCGAGGTCTTCAAGGAGAAGCTGCGCGAGTTCCTCGCGACGAGCGAGACGGGTCGCCAGGCCGTGGCCATGTCTGGGATGAACCTGTCGACGGAGAGCCACGAGATGAAGAACCTCGATCGCGGCGCTGGACGCCAGCAGGCGGGCGAGGCGGGCGAGGATGGTGAGGGCGACGACATTTGAGTTTGCTTGGAGAAAAGACTGCCGCCTCTGCCGCCGCCGCCGCCGCCGCTGCTACTACTGCTTGATTGCTTGGTTGCGTGCTTGCTTGCTTCCCCCCTATCATGTGAGGACTGACGGGATTGGCGATACATAGATACAGAGACAGAGCGTGTACATTGCGAGGATCCTCTTCTCCCTTACCTATAAATTCCAAGCATATGTGATTGAATGGTTCCTCGACGCGAAGATCAGAATTTGCGAAACCCCTTGCCGCCCGTCACCATGTCGTTGCCCGTCTGCTGGACCTTGTCGCCCGGCCGCACCCACGCGTCGCTGGCGTCCAGCCGCGCAGCCGTGCCGAACTTGGCCTCGCACCACAGCAGGACGCGCTTGAGCTCCGCTTTGCCCGTCTGCGCCAGCGCTCGCCGCTCCGCCTCGGCTGCCTCGCCCTTTGCTCCTCGCACCTGCTCCACCCGCGACAGGAACCGCATCCACGGCTCGTCTTCCCTCTCCTCTTCCCCTTCGCCTTCTACCCTCCACACATACCGCAGCAGCCTCGCCCCCTCCGAGTCCCCTTGTACAGGGTTCTCTTTATCCCCGCCCGCGCCAACATCGGCATACCACGCGCGCGCGTTCGCCATGTCGCCTTCAAGTCGATGCAGCAGGCCATGCAACAGCATAGATTCGAACGCGGGCGCGGCCTGCGCGTGGCGCACCAAGAAGTGCGCGCTGGGGAGGTCGTCGTTGAGGAGGTGTAGGGCCGCTTCGATGGCGGGGTGGAGGAGGAGGGCGGCTATGCGGGGTGTTGAAGCGGGGTCGAGGGGGCTGGAGGAGGAGGTAGCGTGTGGGGATGGCAGTGTCGGGAGGGGGATGGAGAGGAGGTGGGATTTAAGGGTCTGGTAGGTGGACGGGGGGGATGCCATGGTCTGGTGTGTGGGGGTGGAAGTGGTGGCTGCAGGTGTGGTTGTCGGGGGCGTTGGTGGTCTCCTTGTCCGGATGATGGCGGCCACTACTTCTCACTCAATATGGTCCACGTCATGACCCGATCAAACCCTGGATTCCGAAGTGAACTGTGTTTGGTCGATATGATCTGCGGCGCGCCATTACACGCCGCAGCGATGCACCCGAAATCGCATCTTGTATAGTAGTGTGACTGCTGGAGTTCGTGATTGGGGAGGGCGGGAGGCGTATTTATACCCGACCCCCGCGCCCTCGGCACGTCCACCCCGCATCTGCATGTCCTTCCTTCCCACCTACCTACCATAGATAAGCAGCAACCATGCCTCGACGACCCCTCCCTCTCCTCCTCCTCCTCCTCCGCACAGCATGGCCTCCGCCACCGCCGCCACCAACATGAGCAGCAGCAGTAGCAACAACGCTTGGCCCGCAGCCACGGAGGACGTACGTACATACAACAACAACAGCAACAAACAAGCACTAACGCCACCTCCTCCCCGCCCCACAGAACCCCTCCCTCGCGCTCTACGCGCCCGGCGACCTGCGCCTCGAGCCGCGCCCCGTGCCCCAGCCCACCGACGCGCACTCGGTCCTCGTCCGCATCGCCTACATCGGCTGCTGCGGCAGCGACGTGCACTTCTGGACGCACGGCGGCATGCGGCAGTACCGAGTGTCGCCCACACGCCCGGTAGTCATGGGCCACGAAGCAGCGGGCATCGTCGCCGCCGTCGGCCCCGCCGTGACGACGCTCCGCCCCGGCGACCGCGTCGCCCTCGAGCCGGGCGCGCCCTGCCGCCGCTGCCGCCCCTGCAAGCAAGGCCGCTACAACCTGTGCAAGGGGATGCGGTTCGCGGCCGCGCCGGGGGGCGCCGACCGTCCTGACTGCGACGGCGCCCTGGCGCGCTTCTTCTGCGCCCCGGCCGACTTCTGCTACAAGCTGCCAGCAAACCTGGGGCTGGACGCGGCGGTGCTGGCCGAGCCGCTGGCCGTGGCTGTGCATGCGTGTCGGCTGGCAGATGTGCGCGGCGGGCAGCGCGTGCTGGTCATGGGCGCGGGGACGGTGGGGCTGCTGTGCGCCGCGGCGGCGCGGGCGCAGGGCGCCAGCACCATCGTCGTCGTCGACGTGCTGCCGCATAAGCTGGCGGCGGCGCGGGCGCTCGTGCCCAGCGTGCAGACGTTCGTGCCGGATGCGGCTGCCTCGCCTGAAGACACGGCCGCGCGCCTGGCCGCCGCCTTCTTCGCTGCTCCGGACGACGACGACAGCGCCGGCCCAGACGTCCTGCTCGAGGCGACGGGCGCCGAGGCGTGCATCCGCGCGGGGGTGCACGCGCTGCGGCCGGGGGGCGTGATGGTGCAGGTAGGGCTGGGGCAGGACGACGTGGCGGTGCCCATGCTGGTGCTGGCCGAGAAGGAGGTGACGCTGCGCGGGAGCTTCCGGTACGGGGCGGGCGACTTTGCGCGCGCGCTCGAGCTGCTGGGCAGCGGGAGCGTCGACGTCGCGCCCCTGGTTAGCTCGGTCGTGCCGTTTGAGCGGGCGGTGGAGGCGTGGGAGGCCACGAGGAGGGGGGAGGGGATCAAGAATCTGATTCAGGGGGTGCAGTGATGGTTTGTTCTTACTACCTATATATCTCATTCATTCACTTTCTAGGGAGAAGCGTTTGCATATGCCGTGCCGTCGCCACCGCTCTAACCCTCTTTTGCCCCTTGTCCTCCCTCCCACACGCACCTCGTCTCCACCAACACGCTCGAGTCGGACTCCAGTAGTGCTGTAAGTATGTGGCCGTGATGGGAGTGAAATGCAGTCAGATAGTGAGAGGAAGTGAGTATGGGGAATGGGAACGGAGGGAGACACTGGGCACAGAGATGGATGGCTGGGTGGGAGGAGGAGGAGACCGGGGAACATAGTGATGAGGGAAGAGGGGGAGAAGATGGAGCGATGGAGCGACGTCACCACCAGACCAAACCAACAAGACCTGACACCCACAACGACGACGACACGCGATGCATGCAGGAAACCGAATGTATTCAGGCGACTCATATGCAAGCAAGCCCCGGCTCCGACCTGTACGCCATCCATGCCGCCGTCGTCTGGATCCCCCCGGTCCCGTTGTTGGTCCCCCATGAAAATGCGCCGTGTGTGTGTGTGTGTGTGTGCTAGAGAGAGCACCACCAAAAAAAGAAAAAAGCGTCCTCCGACCAATCCCATGCTCCGTATTATATATACATGTATACATAGTGGTAGTAGTAGTAGTAGTGGTAGTATGTATATATGCCCGCTACGCATCATCGTCATCGAAAGAAAAAATTATCTCGGCTCCCTTGTCATATACGGACATGAAACGGCGTTAATGGACCCAGTCGACGGGGTTCTTGAGGACGTTGAGCAGGCGCTCCTCGCGGCTGCCCTTTTCGGGCTCGTGCATGTACTGCCAGCGGGCCGTGAGCGGCAGGCTCATGAGGATGCTCTCGACGCGGGAGCCGGGCGTGTTGAGGCCGAAGCTGGTGCCGCGGTCGTGCACCAGGTTGAACTCGACGTAGCGGCCGCGGCGGATCTGCTGCCACTGCTTCTCCTCGTCGGTAAAGGGCATGACCTTGCGCCTCTCGATGATGGGCACGTAGCTGGGCAGGAAGGCCTTGAGGCAGTCCTGCACGAAGCTGAACAGCTGCTCCTGGTCCTTTTCCGTCTCGTCTAGGTCGTCGAAGAAGATGCCGCCCACGCCGCGGCTCTCGCTGCGGTGCTTGTTGTTGAAGTAGTCGTCGCACCACTTCTTGAAGCGCGGGTAGTAGGCCGGGTCGTGGGCGTCGCACGCCTCCTTGATCGTCTTGTGGAAGTGGATGGCGTCCTCGTCGAAGAGGTACGAGGGCGTCAGGTCGCAGCCGCCGCCGTACCACCAGGCCTGGGTGCCGCCGTCGGCGTCGGCCGTCTCAAAGTAGCGGTAGTTGAGGTGCACCGTCGGCGCCATGGGGTTCGACGGGTGCAGCACCATCGACAGGCCCGCCGCGAAGAACTCGACCGACTCGACGTCCGGGTCCAGCGCCTTGTGGTTGACGCGCATCTTCTGGATCGCCGCCCGCGGCAGCGTCCCGTACACCACCGACGTGTTGACTCCGGCCTTTTCAAACACATTGCCGTCCTGCAGCACGCACGTTATGCCCCCGCCGCCGTGCGGCCGCTGCCACGTGTCCACCTGGAAGAGCTTGCCGTCCACCTCTTCCAGCCCCGCCACGATTTCCTTTTGCTGCTCGTGGATGAACTTTTCCATCCGCAGCCGCATTGGCGACTGCTCGCTGACGCCCGACTCGCGCTTCGCCAGCTTGTCCTGCTCCGCGAGCGACGGTCCGTCGAGTTGTTGCACATCCTCGGTAGCCTGTGGAGATTGCAGAAGCTGTGTTAGCGATGGAGCTCTACAAGGTACAAGCAAGCAAGCTAGCCAATTGAAAGAAAGAAACACAAGAAATCCATGGGCGCGCCATCAAAAAGCCCTACCATCGAGTAGATCAATGCGCCAATAAAGACGATGCCTACGGCCAACCTTGTCTTGGGCATCCAGACCTGCGTGGCACGAGACGGTGGTCTGGCGCCGCCAGACAAGTGGCGGACATTCAGATTGGAGCGCGGGGGCGCCCTTGAGGTGAAGAAGCTAGGGCGCACGCCGGCAAAGGACTTTTGGAAGAAGGGAGGACGGAAGAAGCGGGAGGATGAACGTACCACGGACATTGTGACTGATTGCTGCTGCTACTTTTGCTATCAAAGGCGGGGAAGAAGGAACAAGGCTAATTGAGTAGACAAACGGTGCGGAAAGGAAGCAGTCAGCAATTTAATGTCCGTGGTTGGCGCCCTAGGCGTCTGTCCATGGTGTTTCGAGGACTCTGGTCAGACGAGATTCACTTGGATCAGACCACGACGGGTCCGTGCGTGCGCCGACCTCCGCCGAACTCACGCGTGCAGTGCGGGGGATGCCGGCCGCTCCACTACCTAACCCATGCATTTGTTCTGTCGCATCTCAATCTTTCGGCCTTCATTCGCCAATCCCGCCCCTGTTTCGGCCTTCGCCTTTCCCCAGACCACCTGACACCCTTCAGAGGTACCCGTGAGCCCCAAGCCACTCCTTCACCACCCCGCTGTCCCTCTCGCGGTACTTCGCACCACCCGTCATGATGTCGTTCGACTGCGCCAAGGCCCGGTCGAACCCCTTGCAGTCCTTGTTGGCGAAGAAAGACCCGACGTCGGCCGCTACTTCGTGACTGGCAAACTTGGACAGCGACAGCTTGACGAACCGCTCCAGCACCACCATGTTGCCCTTCAGCTCCGGGTACACCTTGCTGTCCCAGTTGGCCTTGATGTACGCCCACAGCGCGTGCCGCGTCTTCGAGTTGGCCGCCAGCGAGCTGGCCCCGCTGTGCATGTCCTGCACCTGCACCGCCGGCGAAAACAAAAAGTCGAGGTAAGTCTTGGCCAGCTCCGCCGTCTGCACCCGACCAAGCGACTGCAGGCAGATCTCCTTGCCGTCAATCGACGTCGTCGTCAGGAACTCCTGCTTGATGGCCTCGAACGCCTCCTGTCCGCCCTCGGTCACGACAATGCGGAAGATGGCGCTACGGAGAGAGGGGTGGATGGCCGACTTGTCCCCGCTTTGGTACGCGGCGAAGCGACGCTGGGCCTCTTTGATGACACTTGAACGTGTTAGCAGGATCAAATCGACGATGATGTAGCGTGACCATGGGCTCACCCTTCGTGACCGGCCAAACCAGCGGCTGATATGAGCAGAGCGCGGAGTTGTCCGGTGAGATAGTCTTCATTGTCTGCGTACTCCCATCCGATCTCTTCGGTAGCAGGCGTCACGAGCTTACGGGCGAGAAGCTTGAGACCCTTGGAGATCTCATCATCCTCGGAGAAGATCGATCGGATGTTGCCCAAAGCGATGAGGATCTGCTGCCAGACGCTAAAAAAGGTAAGCACACATTCCAAAACGGGATACTGCTGTTTCTTACATGTACTCGCGCTCGCTTTGGAAGCCCTCGATGAGCGCAAGGAATCCTGCAGTGGTGGCATCACCCGACTGGGCCAAGGCAGCGGCGTCGCCAACGAGGCCAATGCGATCCTCAATGCTGAGCTTTTCCTTGGCCGCGCCGAGGGCCATGAGTCTGTTGGGAGGATAGTTGGTACGGTAGAAGCCCGTCTGGTTGACGTTCAGCTTGTAGAAGCTGTCGTCAACATCACGAATCGTATCTTCCTTGGTCGTGAGAGCACCAGCGCTCTTGCTAGCATTCTGCGAGCCCGAGTTGAGACCAAGAGGCACCCACCAGGTAGTCTCGTCTTCCTGCGGCTTGACGTCCCCGGTGAGCAGGAAGCGACGCTGCTGCACGGTGATCTGGCCAGGCTCCTCAGCAACCGTCACCACAGGGAATCCGATCTTACGGATCCACGGGTCCATGAAAGCGTTGACGTCTTGGCCCGAGGCCTCGCTCAGTGCGGTCCAAAGGTCGTTAGTAGTGGCATTGCCGTACTTGTGCTTTTGCAGGTACTTGGCTACACCAAGCAAGAACGTCTCAACGCCTAGGTGAGCGCTCAACATACGGATGACCGAGCTACCCTTCAGGTAGCTAATGGCATCGAAGATTTGGTCAACCTCCAGGGCATCTTTGACAGGCACCTCAATAGGATGAGAGTTGCGAAGGGAATCAAGAGAGAAGGCTGTTTGCAACGATTCGCTCTGTCAGAAACAGTCAAGTCAGCATATGGTGTATGTGATGGAGATACCTCGATGTTGACGTACGCAGAACTGGCCCCAGACGTTCCATTCTATAATCTGTCAGTTTATGTTTTAATAATGAGGACTCGTTTACGAACCTGGGTGCAGGTGATCAACCGCGAGCCAGCCAACCCAAGTGGCGAAGCCCTCGTTAAGCCAAAGCTGCCATGTGTTAACTCGGAGCTTGCTATATGACGGGGCAATCAATTGCATACCTCGCTCCACCAATCCATAGTGACAAGGTTACCAAACCATTGATGAGCAAGCTCGTGAGCGACAACATACGCCACTCTGTTCTTGTATCTCTGATCCGAGTGCGCCTGATCGAACAAAACCGCGGTGGTCCTTCGTACAGTCAGCTAATTTACTACTAATTCTGCAGCCACCACTGATTTGAGACGGACAGCAACATTAGTAAGAAAATACAGACCTGTATGTGATGAGACCCCAGTTCTCCATTGCGCCGTGAGACTAGGAGATTATATGTTAGTTACTCAATCATTGGTAAGGTTGGCAAACGACAGGGGAAGACTTATGATGGGCTAAAGCCAAACATTAGCCACCATGTCTGAGCCCCAACATGATGTGTAAAGAAACAAGAGATATTTACAAATTCATGAACGGCAATGAGATCAACTTTCGGGAGCGGGTATTCGATGCGGAAGATCTAAATTTCGTTAGTAGTTTGTTTGACCTTCTGGTTTCAAGCTTCTACAAACCTCAGAGAAATAGTCCACAGTCTTGTGTGCATGATCAAGAGCCCAGCGACCCTGCTCTTTGAGACCTCTAGTGGTGTAGACACGGACCGGCAGGTTCTTGCCGTTGTACTTCCTACGAGTGAAATCCTCGACGTACTCAAAATCACCAACTGCCCAAGCCAGAAGGTAAGTGCTCATGACAGGAGTCTTCTCAAAGCTGACGACTTTGAAGCCGGCCTTGGAGGCCTTCTTGGTTTCCTTTTCCGGCATGTTGCTCAACGCAACTTGGTCCTCGGGGATTTCGATTTCAAAATCGAAAGTAGCCTTGAGGTTGGGCTCATCAAAGCAAGGGAAAGCCCTACGAGCATCGCAGGACTCAAACTGCGTACTGAACATGTAGTGATGCTCATCATCCTTTGCTACGGATGCTGCCGGGGTAGTAGCCGGCTTGTACTTGGAACGGTAGAAGCCCGCCATGAGCTGAATTGTTTGTCAGTAAAAAACAGCTACACAGTGATATGAGATCTACTTACGTTGTTAATGGTGCCCTGGAACTTGATGGTGATCTCCGCCTTGGAGGAAACGGGCAGCTCTTCGTCAAAGGCAATGGTAGCACGTTGAGATGGTTCATCGTAGGAAATCTTAGACGACTTGATAGACTGCTGCGTCTTGGTGTGCTCTGTGGTGACCGTAGCCTCGTGAATCTTCAGTTGGCAGGAGTTAAGCACAACATCCTTGGTGCCCTTCCGAATCTCAGCAGAGACGGTGACGGTGCCCTGATAGCCGAAGGCTCCACCGAACTCCAAATCATAGAGGGAAATGGCATAGTTGAACGGCTTGATCCTGGAATCGACTGGTTAGCTGCAAAAGCGAACTGGGAAACTCCGACAGCCCACAAACGGTCATGGACTCACGTGTCCGGGAGGATGTCTCTGTCAGACGCCATGGTTGCTGCGTGTCTCCACGAATCAGTGCTGCAAAGCCGGGTCAAACGAAGGTTAGGTGGTTCAGACAATCCTCGAAAAATTTGACGAGGTCGCTGCGATGATGGCGAGATACGAGGGGTGGCTTGTAGAGAAGATGTCTTGAGCCGACGCTGCCCCGCCAAGCTACAGTGGAACCCCGCAATTTGCCCTGCATACCTCAGGTGCCATTTAGGCAAGCTGATGTGCTGCCTGGACCACGCGCTACGCAATGCGGACATGGCTAATTCACCGAACCGCTCTCAGCAGGATGTAGTGAACAAACCTAGTCGCAAACGAGGTGCGCGGAGACCGGCATTTCGTGATCCCGGTGAGCTGATCATTGTCTATGCTATCAATTACATACATCTACACTTGTGGAACTGAACACGTCTCATTCTAGAAGTATTGATAGCGATGTTATTCATTTTGGGCAGGATGCCTACTCATAGTTGCGAGACTCAGTTTTGTGCCTGCCTACGACTAAACAACTCGAAACGTCATGAAAATTGGTCGCCTATCCAAGCACTGCGCTGATTGGGTTTTGAACATAGCCCATAACGCTTTCCTCCACAGAGAATGTATTATGAAGGGGACATACCATCCCGGCCCAGCCCGATAGCTCTTTGCGCTGTTGCTTGTGGACCTGTCCAAAGAATCCGTTACCGTAACTCCGACGCTATGCTACCGAAATATGCACGAAGCATTGTTAGACTGCTCACAATCACAGCCGCCCTATCCACAGAAACGCCAGAATCCTCCCTCCACTACGCGCGCAAGCCTAAATCATCTGTCGCGAAAGTTTATAACCGGACAACGACGTCCAGACAAGGCAGTTTCCACTCCTTCTTTAACAGAGCCTTTCCCCACTCGAGGCCGTTGCCGCTGATGTTCACTTCGGGAACCCTCCTCCGCTTCATTCCATCCATAGCCGCTGATACCAGAGCGCCAGCGGTGTCATTCAGGGTGGAAGCGACGACCGACGCCGTCTCCATAGCCACGTCGAGCGCCAAGGATGAATTAGAAGCGGTCTCGTTCGCAGAATGCTCGTGGTATTTGCTGTTTGGCTCGAACCAGCTCGTGTTGAAGTCGAAGAGTGCAAGAACAAGGATTGCGAGGAGGAGGCTGCAATAGACACACGGGCGGTTGAGGTAGTACGTCGCAGAGATGAAGAGAACGAGGTAGACCGGAGAGGCGTTTGTGCTGCACGGCTTGTTAGTAGTTGCAGGAAGCGCTCATAGCGCTCGGGTTGTTGGGTGAGACTGACAGGAAAAACAGCAGAGGCAACCAGGAGCGGAGACAGAACATTGTGGCACTAGATTAGGCCGTGTGGCTGGTGGCGGTGGTTGGGCAGAGAGGGAAGGATAGAGCGGCGTATCTTTAAGTGCGCCCGCCGTAGAATCGATGGGGAACGAGAGGAGCGAAGAATGATGTTGCGAGGGGGCCTATGTGGAAATGCGCAAGACCACAGGGTGGTGATTGCTGACGCAAGTCTTGGCGCGAAGCACTCGGGGTTCAACGGGGATCCAACGCCTTCGAGACACTTGGTAGCGGGGAGCTGTCTTCTTTTGAGAAGCAGGCATGAGGGCGCACGCGAGAGCCTGGGTCGACAGTGTCCCGGGGCCGGCGCTCGAGCCCGCAGCCTGGCATGGTAACACAAAAGCCTGTGTCCGATAAGAGCACGAGGGACACCGAGTATCTACCTAGTTTTCCCTGTTATTCCGTCTCTCCGATAGGTTGGAACGAATGACAGACCAGCTAATAACAACCACCCCCCAACACTCTCCCGAGTCTCATGCTCGCTAACTCATTGCGTCTTATCATAGTTACCTTCTTTCACCTTTCGGAAAGTAAAAGTTACCCCATTCCCGTACGCCGGTCGCATCAAGCACACCTGAATAAAAGCCAATTCTAGGCATTGTCTTGTTCCCCCAGGTAATCCCAGTAGTTACAGAAGTGTCAGGGCGAAGATGGAAATCCGTAATGTTAAATGCTTGGGTGGCACCGCTGGCACGTGGCTGGCGTAACTGGTTGTCACTCTGCCCGTTGCCTGTCTCTCAGGACGCGGTCCAATTGCTCCCCCAAGTGAACCGACCTAACACTGCCCCTTATGCTGCCCCGTCCGACATCGGGCGATAGTATGTAGTTGTATTTGACTCAAGTTGGTGCTGTACTGTGTCAAATATATTTGGAGGTACATACGCGATAGCGCGCAATCACCTGACTCCTTACTCAACTCCCGCCACCCGCAGCCGCAGGCCGGACAGCGCCGCTAGCTTACTTCGACCTCGGCCCACCCAGTCGTCATCCCGCTGATTGTGGAAGGTTGCGACAGACAGGGTCTCGAACGTGGAAGCCTGCGCGCGATTGTCGATTCCTCTCCAACTATACATCATTCTTTCTAGTCAGCTCTGATGCGATGAAGTCCTGCAAGCAAACTCCCGGCAAGTTGTCCGGAGCCGTGTCGCTTCCACCGAAGTGGCTGGCCATGTACGAAGAGTTCATCACGAAGAATGCCAGCGCTGTGTCGCAAGTTGAATCCGCCTTGCGCTCGCTCACATATATCATTCCTGGTATGTCAGTGCCTTCCGAATGCGCTATATGCTTATGCTGAAATGACCTTAGGGCGCTTTCGGGATACAGAAGTCGCGTCAGAGTCAAGTTAGTCGTCTCCTGTCCTGTCGCAGTGCGCATACTGAACGGCCTCAGTCCACAGCGGAGTCCAACTCCTATCGGTGTACCATGATTCTCTCCTCGCAAAAGCAGCAGCGCGGCTGCCTGCTGCCCAGCGCCCTCATCCCACTCCTCATAACCGCTACACGCGCTTCTGGTCCCAAAACTCACCAACATACAAGCGCATCGCCTTGATGCTTCAGATGATTCAGTACACCGAACTCTTGTGGGAGATGGCAGCAAAACGTAAAGGTGAAAAGATGCGGTGGCGGGTAATCGTACTGTTGGAAGCCGTCAAAGCCATTTGTAGGCTGCTCCTCCTGCGCCTGACGAACTCGAGGCCGCTCTTGAGCCCACCTCTTCCTCAGAGAGAATTTGATCCTAGCACGCTTGAGGAAAACAGCGGTTCTATCCTTGAAGAAACAGAGAGCCCGCCAAATGAGAAGATTGATGATGCCGGCTGGGCCATGCCAAGGACAGGCTTATCCATGCCCTCGCTGCCAGATTCGTCGGACATATCATCCTACCTTCTTTCAAAGGTCCTTACGGCGGACGACATCAAGCCACCAAAAGCACTGTTGCACAGGGTTACCGGGAAAGGCGAGGTAGCTGAATGTTTATACATTCTGCGTCCTGTCATTTACGCTCTTGCCATGCAGTACTGGAGCGGTAAAAACAAACGCAGTTGGAGGCCATGGCTGATAGGTCTGAGTATTGAATACGGCGCCCGCCAACTAGCCAAGAAGGATTTCCAAGAGCGACTTGCTGGTGGTTTGCGGGGACTGACAGGACTCGAAAGAGAAGAACTGAGGAGGAGAGGTTGGGGTATGGGATGGTGGCTGATGAGGGGCGCATTCTATGACAGCATCACCAGGTGAGACACCTATCTTGAAAATGCGCTTTGACTTGCGGCTGACATGTTCCAGGGCCTGGATACACGCTCTCGCGGGCAAGTTGCGGGGCAAACTTCTGCTGGACATTATCGGCGGCGTCCTTGAGGACTACGAGTTCCTCTGGAACGAGTATTACTTTTCCACAGCGACGCTTTGAGCCCTCTGGCAGGGTTGCGTTTTTGAATGATATCCCTGTATTTTGTCTAGTTCGGAGTCGAGGCATACGGTTTGCTAGGCTGGGGCTATGGCCTTCCGTCAATGCGGAAGCCATCTACTAGGCGTTATGGATTGCATCTTTTTATACTGGCTCAATCATCCTCTGCACTCTCTCTACCACGTGAAATAGCTTTAGAGGCCGAGGCCGGGAAACGGAGCGTTTCACATGCTCTTGCTGCCATCGCTCTACCTACGCGCGTGCGCGCTAGTGGTGGATCGTCCGTGTCGCGCGTTGTTTCGCGACCCAAACCACCCTCACCACCGCAAGCTAAACTAAGCAGCCACCCACCTTGGTGATGGCGATCCTCCCAGTTATTCTTTGAGATTTCGCAAGCCTGTTGCATCTTCCTCCGCGCCATGAACAAAGCTCTTGCTCCTATAGATCACCGGTACAAAAATGTACGGTTCACGTCCACACCAATGCGCTCTCATCGCAACTTCCACCTTTTCCCGAGTTAATTACTGAAATATCGCAGGTCGCCTCTAGTCGACATCATAGACTTGACGTCAAGCAGTCCGAGTCCCGAACCTCCGCCACCTATGCAACCTGCCGGACGACAGCAAACACAGAACACCACAGATCGCGAACAAGTAGTTTACTACATAGATTCGGACGAGGATAATGATGCCAGCACCCTGTTGAACCAATTTCAGTCCCATCCAGCTGCGGCAGCTGAGATCACCGGCCGACGGCGCTCCGATAGCAAGCCTCAACCGTCTTCGAGCAATTACAATCCTGGAGCTGGAGCGGCCAAACAGAAAGGCGAACAAGCGAACTTGCGACCTGGTTCTTCTGCCACGATGAAACGCCCAGAAAATACTTCAGCGTCCCAGTCCGTGTATTTGAAAAGTGGCAAAGCTGGTCCTTTTCACATAGGACCCAAACATAACCTGAAACGGCATGCGGACGGCTCTTTTAAATACGGCGCTGCGAAGTTGCGTGGCTTAGAAACGAACGTCAAATCGCCGCTTATTTCCGAAAGCCCGGTACCAGTACGTATGCCGCCAGTGTCAACTAATTCGGCAACCAGAAATAGTAGCACCCCGAAGTTGCAAGCAGTTTCAAGAACAAAAACCCATGCTCTCACATCCCACAGCCCAATCCCCGTTCGCATGCCCCCGTTTATAACGGACACAGTGACCCAAAACAGAATTTCAGATTTGGGCACCTCAAACACGAGTTTGACACCACCAACTTCGACGTCTGTCAAGACATCTTGGCCTCCCGAGACGTCCACACCGGGAAGTGAAAAGCCTAAAATTCTGCCACCAGCCCAACCGCTGGCATCCTCACACCAGGAATTGGAGAACCACAGCAACCACACGCAAGAAGAGCAGTCTCACCTTGCAACTGAGTCTTCCTTTGGGAAAGAGTTTTCCTTCGAAGAAGATAGCCTCTTAGTCTATCTGAAGGAAGGTCTGGGCCAGGGTTGGCAGGAAATAGCCACTGCAACTAATGGAAGAACCGGTGGTAGTTGCCAAACACGCTACTGCAAAAGACTGAAGTATCAGCTCAGCTTGCATTCGGCCATCACAACTCTAGAATCTTCCTCCTTTCGTCACGTTCTCCAGCCCGAACTGCACCCAGAAATGCTAGCACGAGCATCAACCGTTCGCCAGGGACGAGCCTCTCGGCATATAACCGATGAAGATGACGAAGAAAATGCTCCAGGCAGACCGCGTCGTGCCGCACAGAAAAGGGACACATACTATCGGCGCGAATATGAGGAAGACTATCCCATGGCAGAGGACGCTGATGACGATTCTGTTCTACCTAGCCATACCGCTCCTGCTTCTTGTCTGCAATTACGTAGGAGCAAGCGGATTGTACATCAAAAACCGCCCTCAAAACTACCGTACCTTTCTCGCAATGAACGCGTTGCACTTCGTCAAGGACTGGAAGGCACTTGGAGTTCTCGACAGGTGGCACGATGGAAAGGCACCGCCCTTCACTTCCCCTTTACGTCTGAAGAAATTAGAGTTGTCAAGAACATACTCCTTGACAAGAATGCACATGACTCGACCTCTCTACACGAGCAAGTCGAAACAATAATGCGATCTGCTACAGAGGCGGAAATCCTTGAGTACGCGTCAATCGTGCACGAAAAGAACGTGCTCAAAGACCGTACTAAAGAAAGCATTGAGGCCTTTTTCCGTGACGCCGCGCAAGGTTATCTTGACGACGCAATTTTACGGATCGGAACTTCTATGCACATTCAAACCACAAAATCTCTTTTGCGCCAGCGAGAACTCGGTTATCACAATACTCGTTGTCATCGGCTCTCATCCAGAGGTGCTTTCATGGAATTCCGATCCCGCACCTTGCAGACTTTAGGTCCTTCACTTTCCTACACAGGCACGTCTGGAGATGTCAACACAGTAGCGTGGGCTCCAGACGGAGTTCGCTTCGCCGCGGGGTCTGCTTGTCTTGTGGATACTGCTTCCATGCAGTATAATAGACCAAACAATCTTCTTTTCGGCGATATGGCCCATGGAACCCTGCAAGAACTCCCAGACCATCACACCAGACGGAAAAAGACTGAAACCGGAGTAAACGCTACTCATTCAATGTATGCCAGTCAGGATCAGAGGCTTTTCCAAACTGTGTCCATGGTAGATTTCTCGCCCGACCAAGAGTTCATGTATACCGCTGGGTACGATAAGAAGGTCAGAGTTTGGGATATTCGCAACGGGGTGAAAGACGATCCTCGTGTGATGAAACACAAAGGTAAAGTGGACCTACTTGCCGTCAGCAAAACCGGTATTTTAGCTACCGGAACCCAGCGCACAACAAAAGCCATCAAGCTTATGGGGTTTTCTCGTTACGGAGACTCCGATATCTTAAGTGAGCTCAAAGCCTCATTCAGCTCACAAAAAGCACTAGATCGTCCCGAAAATGAAATCTACCCGTCGGCTCTTCGTTTCAGCCCATCTGGCGAACATCTGCTTGGCGGGTTTTCATCCAGCTCTCACGATGAACATGTTACAGGTGAGACTTGCGTTTGGGACGTAGGCTCTGAAAAGCAATTACCGGTATACCCGGAGACCCGTACCGTGTTCGACTGCGCGTGGCACCTGCTGTACCGCACGCTATTCGCTGTGGGTTGCGTTGCCGGTACAAACGTCAACAGAGGTATTCGTTCGGTCGTCAGACTGTATGATTGGCGCGCCGACCAGAGCAGGTACCATAGGTGGATGGAACTTGATTGCGAGGCGCTTGACATGAATGATATTGTCTACAGGTAAGCTGTTCTGTGTTTTTGTCTAGATTTCTTTTGACAGCGTCATCCCTAGTCCGTACGATGAGAACCTAGTGGCTGCAGGATGCACCAACAGCAAAACATATATTTGGGACATTCGAAAGCCAGACAACGTCATGCTCACCTTGGAGCATGGCCAACCTCTAATGGAGTTTGGCGAGCCAGAGTCTCAAGAAAAACTGGATACAGGTATCCGATTCGCCTCGTGGGGCCACGACCGTTCTTGTTTCTACACTGGATCCTCGGATGGCGTTCTCAAATCTTGGAACCCCTATCGAGCGACGGAAGACGTCCACAACAGGGATATCGTAACGCTCAATTCCGGCATTATGTCAGGTGCTCTCAGTCCAGACTTTTCAAGCCTGCTACTCGGCGAAGTTAATGGTTCCGTCAACGTATTGGAAGTCGGACAGTCCGACAGAACTTTGCGAGATATGAGGCGCCTGAAACTGATGCCTGCCTATGAGTCAGATCCATTGGCCCAGTTGGAATCAACCAAGCGCGTTGTAGGCGAGGGTGTAACCGCCGCTCGTGATATGATTTCATCGGATGAAATCACAATCAAGCCAATGGGATCATTACCAGTCCGGCAGGCTGTTCAAGGTCCAAATTATGAGGGGCCTCACGACAAAGCACCCGACGCTGAGCTGCTCAGAGCAAGAGCGTTGCATTTTCAACTTGAGGCCAAGACCACAAATCAAGAGCAGTGCGAAATTAACGGATGCCGTGAAATTGACCATGTCACCAGCGAAGAAGCTGGTGATTCTGGCCGGTCGGCGGAACGTATCCCAGGCGCTCTACATTTTGCCAGCTTGTCTAGTGATGGCAAAATAACCGGAAAAGCGAAGTGCAAGAAATGCGGTGCTTTGACTCGTCCCCGTTTCGCAGAGAACGATTCTGTTGATACCGGAACACTGTGCGAGAGGTGCAGCTTCGCTTGTTTGTCCTGTGCAAACCAGGCTGAAGTCCTGGATGGTGCAACAGAATTTGTTGGTTGTACCTTCTGCGGCGGCTTTTGGCGGGCAGATGTGCTAGGATATCGGGCACTGGAGAAACCCAAGAAAGAGAGGTCTGTCTCTGTCTCTTCAAGTCGGTTAAGAAGCCTTTACAGTTGGGGCTTCGAAGACGACGATGAAACTTACATGGGCAGCGACTGCGAGGAGGAGTACTTTCAGAGTTTGTGGAGCGACAGACCGTCTTCACCCCTCTGACCGCGACTTTGTTTATGGACGACATTGTATAGGTTTGGTGCGTCTGGCGCGACGAACTTAGATTTGTCAGGTCAATTTTGTTGCGCATGACCCCTGCCGTCTAGTAAACGACCGCAGCTTAATTTTGTGTAAAGTAGGTCCTCAGATTTCATACTGCTGCAGAAATTCAAGAGACCAAGATTCTCTGCATGTTTATTTGCGTTGCATTTGCTCGGCTTAGTGATATCCAATGTCAAGATGAAAGATCGTTACAGTCAGACCTCTTTGTATTCTTAGTGTTGACTGTTTGTGCCGTTACCCTCCCTCTCTCTCTTTCTCTCTTTCTAGTGGCAAATATGCGCAAACGGCCACGCAATACCTAGCCCGGTATACCGATAGACGCCTTTTTAGCGGTCGAAAGTTCTGACCAACTCGAACATTGTAACCAGTTTTGACTGTAGTACGTAGGTAGCTTTAGTTTCCTTGGCGGGAATAGGTCCCCCTGTATATGTCACAACAATTACCTTCTCACTTTTAAAGCCTTTAATAACTACATTAATAGGAGTGGAGATACCACTACTCTATGCAAAGCAGACAACACAGCTAGGAGGAACCCAATGCTTATCAAGCGTATCCTTCAGTCAGTAGGTGGATTGACCCCCTTCCTGCAACTGCACGACGACACATGATATGGCGAGAGCTCTCACGTTGTACAAGCCGCTGAAACATGCCAAGCTAGATTAAGCCTATTGGCCTGATTTCAACTAACGCTTTCTCGGATCTGATCTGAGCCCCGCATTTAGTGAAGGCATCTTGGACATGGATAAATGCGACGCCCAATAGGACCAAAAACAGCCGATTATTGAGATCAAACGATTGCCATGCATTACAAGCATCACGTTCGCGACTAGACGGCCTCATCACATACCGGTGAAGTGTGACTCCCTATACGTGGCCACAATAACAAGCTCTGAATCCAGCCCCGTCTGCCTCGGAATTTATCCCCTCGCACGAGCCATACCCGGAGTAACCTTCCTACTTTTGTCACGATCGTCACAGCGCTCGCCTGATATCCAATACCCTGGCCTCGGGTGTAGGGGTCCCTGCGGGGTGCTGCTCTCTTGAATCTTCACGATTAGCATTTCACTCTTTTTCCGTCGTGCTGTTTTGACTGCTGGTGAAATCGTCCAAATGGCTACTCCGACAGAAAACGAGGCTCAGCAGCAGGTGCTGGAGGCCGACGTAGGTTTAGCTGGCATTTCTTTGCTTCCAAAGAGACTCTACTAATGCAGCAAGCAGGACGGCGCATACACCGATTCAGACTCCGCATTCCCCGACGACACGACCAGCGCATCGACATCTATATCCTCGTCAATTAGGGCGTACAAGTACGAGAACGGACGCCGCTACCATGCCTACCGCGAGGGCGAGTACGTGCTGCCGAACGACGAAAAAGAGCAAGATCGGCTGGACCTCTTCCACCACATCTTCCGCATGATCCTGGGGGGCAGCCTGTACTGTGCGCCGGTGCCAGAGACGATCCACAAGGCGCTCGACTTTGGCACGGGGACGGGAATCTGGGCGATCGACTTGGCGGACGAAAAGCCAGAGTGTGAGGTTTTGGGCACGGATATCAGTCCCATCCAGCCGGGTTGGGTACGTCGTCGTCGTCACTGACTCGCCCCCTGCGACGTGGTCGACTAACAAACGGGCTGGGACAGGTTCCACCGAACTGTAAATTTATAATCGACGATATAACTCAAGACTGGGCGTACGGGCCCGTCTTTGATTTTATCCACGGCCGTGGCATGGGCGGCACGGTGAGTGACTGGGATGCGCTGTATACGGAGGCCTTTGACAGCTTGAAGCCTGGCGGGTGGATTGAGATGCAAGAGTATGCGATTGAATACGCGAGCGACGACGGGACTCTGGAGAAGGCGAAGAACTTGACAAAGTGGATCGATCAGCTGAACGAAGCCAGTGCCAGTTTTGGCAAGGACATGAACATGGCAAAGAAGCACAAGGGTCTCATGGAGAAGGCTGGGTTTGTGAATGTGCGAGAGCAGGTGTTCAAGGTGAGTGAACGTTGGCTCTTCGTTTCCGTTTCATGTTCTGACAGGCATGCTGCTGCAGGTCCCCGTCGGCCCTTGGGCCAAAGACAAGGCTCTCAAGGAAATTGGCAAGTACACCATCATCCACACCATCGAAGCAGTCGAGCCGTTTACGCTCGCCTTGTTCAGCCGCGTGTTGGGCTACTCCAAGGACGAGATTGATGTGTTACTGGCAGGCCTGAGGAAGGAGCTGAGGGACCCCGAGATTCACATTTACACTCCCTTTCACTTTATTTACGGCCAGAAGCCGGAGACGGCATAGTCTGTATTGTGCAATATAGCGAGGGGAAGAGGAACAGACTGATACCCTGCCTGCCATTACATACGAATGTATTAAATCCAGTGTACCATCAAACCATCTGTACTGGAATGAATTCACACATGTCATATGCGCTTTCAGACCTAAGTCATTCATGTCTGTGACACGAATGTCAACAGTCATGTGCGCATAACGAGGTGTTTGCTGTTCAAGTGTCTGATTCGCAAAAGATGGTATAATGCAATAGAGATGGACCATGCTGCGATGATGCCACTCGAGACAGCTGCGTCATTATACATAACTGCAGCCAAAGTAAAAAAAGAAAGAAGAAGAAAAGTCTGTAGCACCGTTGGTAAGGAACGAAACTTCATGGGGATTGCTCCCGTCGCTCGCTCCAGCTACGATGCCCTGCGAGTCGTGGTCTCGGACAAATAGCAGAGGAACTTTCGGTCGGAAAAGATGGCCCAAAGCTCCCACAATAAGAATTGTCCTGATGAGTATGAGGAGAAAAGGAAGTAGAGTTGGGCGCGTCGAAGGGCTTTTTAAACGGCCGACGTAAGCGAGGGCGGGCGGCGCCAATGAGAGCGGCCGCTGCGTTGATTACGCGCTAAGCACCTTTTCGAGAGACGTCAATGCGGCCGAGTTACCAACGACGCCTCCAACTCTCGTCCATTGCCATCCTAACCACCCCCACCCCCACCCTCTCCCCTCTTCCCCTCCCCCCAAGATGCTGCGGCAACAGCTCCTTCGGTCAGTCAGGAAGCCCGCGCGGCTCTCCACCTTCAATGCCCGCAGGACCTTCGCCGCCTCTGCCAACCGCCCTGCCGAGGTGGAGCTCACCATCGGTTCGTGTCAAAGCATCTGCTTCCTCGCTGACACCCGCTGATTCCATTCACAGATGGCAAGAAGGTCGCCATAGAAGGTATTCCCGTCGCTGCTCCCGCCAATTGCCCCTCCCGCTGACGCCTCACTCCCGCAGCCGGCTCCTCCCTCATCCAGGCCTGCGAGAAGGCCGGCGCTACCGTTCCCCGCTACTGCTATCACGAGAAGCTCATGATCGCCGGAAACTGCCGTATGTGCTTGGTCGAGGTTGAGAGGGCCCCCAAGCCCGTCGCCTCGTGCGCGTGGCCCGTCCAGCCCGGCATGAACGTCAAGACCGACTCTCCCCTCGTCCACAAGGCGCGTGAGGGTGTCATGGAGTTCCTTCTCGCCAACCACCCCCTCGACTGCCCCATCTGTGACCAGGGTGGCGAGTGCGATCTGCAGGACCAGTCGATGAGATACGGTGCGGACAGAGGTCGCTTCCACGAGCTGGACGGCAAGCGTGCCGTCGAGAACAAGAACATTGGCCCATTGGTCAAGGTATGGGTCAAAGGTATCGATTTGCTTGTTTCTGGCCACTCACACGTTTTGCGCAGACTTCGATGAACAGGTGCATCCACTGCACTCGCTGTGTCCGTTTCGCCAACGATATCGCCGGCGCGCCCGAGTTTGGTTCGACTGGCCGTGGCAACGACCTGCAGATTGGCACCTACCTCGAGACCGCTCTCGACTCGGAAATGTCCGGAAACGTCATCGACCTTTGCCCCGTCGGTGCCCTGACCTCCAAGCCCTACGCTTTCAAGGCCCGCCCTTGGGAACTTGGCCACTTTGAGTCTATCGATGTTCTGGATGGCCTGGGATCGAACATTCGCGTGGACACCAGGGGTATGCAGGTTCTGCGCATTCTCCCCAGACTGAACGACGACGTCAACGAGGAATGGATCAACGACAAGTCGAGATTTGCTTGCGATGCGCTCAGCACCCAGAGGCTGACGATCCCGCTTATCCGCCGCGACAACCAATTCCAGCCCGCTACTTGGGAACAGGCTCTCGTTGAGGTTGGTGACGCCTTCCAGAGGATTGCGCCCAAGGGCAACGAGTTCAAGGCCGTTTCTGGTGCTCTTACTGAGACCGAGACGATGGTTGCCATGAAGGACTTGGCCAACAAGCTTGGCTCGGAGAACCTCGCTCTTGACACTGCTAACGGCAACGAGCCCGTTCCCCACGGCATTGACGTCCGCTCCAACTACACCTTCAACTCCAAGATCTACGGCGTCGAGCAGGCCGATGTTATCCTTCTTGTTGGCACCAACCCCAGGCACGAGGCTGCCGTTCTGAACGCCCGTATCCGGAAGCAATGGCTGCGCTCTGACTTGGAGATTGGCCTCATTGGCGAGGACTTTGAGAGCACCTTCGAATACGAGAACCTTGGCTCTACTTCCGGCAACCTGAAGGAGGCCCTGGCTGGTCAATTTGGCGAGAAGCTGAAGAACGCAAAGAACCCCATGATCATCGTCGGCAGCGGCGCCGTCGAGCACCCCGACGCCAAGTCCATCCTTGAGACCGTGGGCGCATTCGTCGAGAAGAACCAGGCCAACTTCATCACTCCTGAGTGGAACGGCTACAACGTTCTGCAGCGCGAGGCTTCCCGCGCTGGTGCCTACGAAGTCGGTTTCACCGTTCCCTCTCCCGAGGTTGCCAAGACTAAGCCCAAGTTCGTTTGGTTGCTCGGCGCCGACGAGATCAACGAGGCGGATATCCCCAAGGGTGCGTTCGTCGTCTACCAGGGCCACCACGGTGACAAGGGCGCTCAGCTCGCCGATGTCGTCCTGCCCGGTGCTGCCTACACCGAGAGCTCCGGCACCTACGTCAACACCGAGGGCCGTGTCCAGATGACCCGCGCCGCCACCTCGCTGGTCGGTGCCGCCAGGCACGACTGGAAGATCATCCGTGCCGCGTCTGAATACCTGGGCAGCCCTCTGCCGTACGACGACATTGAGCAGCTGCGCGACCGCATGGAGGAGATCTCGCCCGCGCTCAGGAGGTACGACGTGGTCGAGCAGACGGGTCTGCCTCACCTGAGCAAGGTGCAGCTCGTCGACGCCAACAAGGGCAGCCAGTCGTCGGAGCAGGCGCTCAAGAAGCCCATTGAGAACTTCTACTTCACAGACGTCATCTCCAGGAAGTATGTAACCCCTACCCCTCTTGGGTGCGAATTTGTATTTCAAAAACGAAAGAAGAAGGAAAATGCTAACGAGAACACTGCACAGTTCGCCAACGATGGCCCGCGCCTCAGCAGCAAAGGCCGCCAAGGATCCGCGCACCAACTTCATGGCTCCGGGCGAGCCTTATGCGCAGGTCGAGTACGGCCCGCCGGGCAGCCAGTCGGCGGCCGCGGCATAGAGGGTTAGTGCGTGTGCGCGCGTGACGGGGTGAAGTAGAGAAACGAAGCAAAAAGGTAGAGCCCTCCCCTTTTGGCTGTGTGTGGTTGTATAGTTGTGTCATCCCGTCCGACTGGTGCTGGAAAGAAAGAGGAAGGAAGGAAAGAGTGTGGCTACTTTTTATGTGTGAGTGAGTGAGCGCGTGTGTGGGGAGGTGTATGTGAGAGAGTTGTCTCCCATGGCTTTAGCGGCGTTTCTGTTGTTGTATCCGACCATGTATATACTGGACAATTATTCCCTTTTTTTGTTGTTGCTGTTTAGTAGGCTTTTTCTTTGTTTTTGTTGGTTGGTTGTGTGTGCTTGTGTGCTTGTGTGTGTGTGTGAAACGGAAAATGTGGATGGGTGACGTCGCTGATACATATACATATCAATGGGCTCCCTACAGGTCACTCACTCCGTAATCCCGTAACTGGATCTATGTTATAACAACATCTACATACCCCTCCGACCATTGTATTGTAGACGTCACGCATATGCATATCATCAAGACAAGACAAGACAAACATCATCCGCAACAGTGTGCATTCCTTTTTCTATCCCAAGTCTATCCTAGGAGGGGATTTGAACAGTAAGTACCTAGAGTGAGTGAAGAGGCCGATTGTGCGCACACAGGCCGCTTTCCGTATCGTATGTAACCTATCAACCGCCGACACTACTGCAAGCAATGTACGTATGCGCAAGAGCAACGTCCATTGATTCCACTCCACCACCAACTGCACTGAATCCTCGCTCTCACCCTCCCAAACACTCACCTTTACGCAGCAGCAACAGCAGCCTCGACGCCCTGCCCAGCCGCCAGCATCATCATGCGATTGAACGTCTGCTTGATCAAGCTGCCCTCGTAAAAGACGTGCGCGGCGCTGTGGTCCGAGGACAGGTTGTGCGCTATCTCGTGGCAAAAGGCCTCCCACCAGAAGACCATGGCCTCGACCATCTTGGCGCGGTCGACCATGTTGTGCGGCAGGTGCAGCGTCTGGAAGTAGTGGTAGTTGAAGAAGAGGGCGCCGCCCTGGTTGAAGGCTATCGTGCTGCCCACGTCCTCGTAGAAGATGTTGACGATGCGCGGGTCCAGCTGGAAGACGCGCGCCACGTGCGCCAGCAGCTGCGAAAACGCCACGATACCGTTCTTGAACGCTGCGTCGTTGGCGCTGAGCACGGCGTGCGAGCTCCCGCTCGACAGGAACACCGTCATGCCGTTCTGCTCCGTGTACCAGCGCGAGAGGTCCTTGGCCGGCCGCGTGTCGCAGTACGAGCCCTTGGCTTCGCCAATCTCCTTGGTCTCGCCCGCGCTCTTGACTTGCGACGAGTTGTGCGCGCGGCACGACTTGATGGCATCGTTGAGGTTGGTCTGGAGATCCTTGCTTGTCTGGGTCGGGTTGTTGGGGCTGTTGTCGTTTGGCATGCCTGCCTCGCCGCCTCTAGACACGCCGCCCGAGGTCCCGGTGTTGGGGGTATTGTTACCAGTGAACTCTCTGAACTTTTGCATGAAACTGTTGCGAGTGCGTGCAAGAGCGTTGTCCTCTCCAGGCCGTTGTTGAGCCATTTGGCGTTCAGACGGCTGGTGATCATCCGGAGAACCGAATGCACCGGGCATCTTTGGCTTGTCGGGAGTCTGTGGTCGCGCGTTTTCACGCTTGGTATCTTCGAGCTGAGTGCCTTCGAACTGTTGCGATTGACGCTGACCAGGTACAGGGGCTTGCCTAGCAATCGCCTGTTGCTTTTCCGCTTCCTCCGCACGTTGCTTCTCTAATTCAGTAATACGCTGCTTCTCTTCCTCGGCTAGACGAGCCTGGTGCTTCTCCTTGCGGGCGAGGATGCGATGAACATCGTAACCCTTGTCACGCAGTCTACGCAGACTGTTGCTGAGAATTGTCTCCAGAATGAGCGTTTCGTGCTTGGGGTTTTGACGCTTCAAGAGCAGAGGAACCAGCTCACGGCTGACCTCAAAGAAGTCATAGTCATCAGTAACGTAAAGGATGATACTCCGAGCAGTCATCATGCCACCCTTCTGGACGACAAGGCCGGCGCTCATTTTCAGCGAGACGGCTCGCATGCCAGGCGCTTGCAAGCGGTGTGTCAAGTGGGAGACCACCTTGACATCAAGATTATGCTCCAACCAACGACTATCATGGAAGATCTGGTCCTTGATGAAGTTGATGAGGAAGATCGGCACACGCTCCAGAATCAGCGCCTTGAGTTTATCTGCCTTCTTTTGACCGTCATAGACGGGATTTCCGGGGACCTTTTCAACTTGAACACGGTCACTGAGCTTCTCTGCACCCAGCAGCATGTAGAACTTCTCCAGGTCTTCATCCTCCGGCGCAACTAGAAGCGAACCTCTGAAGACAGCGTAATACTGAACATTGTCACGAGTGACGATCTGGTTCGCAGCCGCGCGGACCATGACCTGCCGAACAACCGAGTCTTCATCGTCATCTTCGTCCTCAAAATGCGTTGTCTCAGATTTGACACCCGCTTTCTCATCCAGCACCGGTTCGTCTTTGAGCGCGAGAAGTATAGGATAGGTCTTGAAGGAGTTCCACAGAGTCTTCTCCCCTTTGATGTCCCTGTAGTTCACGGCAAACTGTTTAAGAAGACCTTGGTACTTTTCTGCTCCTAGCTCTTTGAGAACTTTGGCCGGGTTGTCGACAACCATGCGAGCTAGTTCCAGGATGTTGGGTTTGTCCTTGGCGCCAACAGAACGCAGGAAGGAATTTGAAATGGACCCGAAATCGACAAAGTTCAGAATCGCTCCATACTCTTTGCTTTCTCCAACATAGCAGGACTGCGGAGGTATGTGACGGACTTTACTGGCATCATGCTGACCGGGAATTGGAACTATAGGAGCTTCGCCAAGCGATTTGGCTACTTCTCTCTGGCCTTGAATATCCGCAATCCTACTGGCCATATACCCAAAGTATATAGCAGCGTCCTGCTTACTCCTCGGAGGAGCTCTAATCAAGCGCTGGACACAGAATTCAATGGGCGGGTCACGACTGACTCCGAATGTAGCAGCATGGGGAATCAGGTCTGCGCGCAGTATGTTGTAACCAAAAATGGAAGCCCCACGGTTCGTAACACAAGCGGTAGGTGGTACCAAATAAGGGAACGGGATTCCTTCAACAGGCAACAACTCCTTGTCAGCCAAGGCACTAGGCGTCGCAGTAGGCCATTGAGAGCGGTTGGAAATGAAGTAGCGGATGACCGTTTCGTAATAAGCGGCATCACTAGTCTTCACCGCGTATGCGATCATCTCAATGACCTTGCTCCAATCCGGGAAACGGCGTAAGCCTATTTCCTTGAGAAACTTCCCCTTGGTATCCAGAGGCTTGTATTCGACGTTTGCACGCCATTTGATTACTGGCAGACCGAGCTCTTTATTGTCCTTAGAAGGTTCATAAATTTCTCTGAGGCTGTACAAGCGAGTTGTGTCGCTCTTGACTCCTGGATAATTCTCGATTGGCCACATCTTCTTGTCAGCAAGTATCAAGCGATCCTTGGCCGGAATGGCATCTTTGACGTCAGCGAGGTATTCGATGACATCCATATGACTCCACTTTGGCCCGCTACCGGTACTGTCCTTGTCAGGCGTAGCCAGAAGTCGGTTGAACAAGTAATCCATGTCGATGGTCCTGCGAAGGCCAAGCGCCTCAAGTAACTTTGGCTTAAGGCCAGTAACCACGAGGTTTGGAAGATCGTCAAATATCTTGACATTAGGCTCATAAGTTTCCTGCGGCTTTTGCATGCCATTCTTCGTAGGCATGACCGGGTGTGGGCGTAGAAGATTGACAATATCAGCTCTTTGCTGCGCCTTCATGTGATCCCATTGCTTTGAGATAACTTTCAAGACCAGAGAAGCAAACTCGGGGTCTTTAGTAATGGATTTTGCACTGGTGAGCTGATTGAACTGAAGCAGATGCCGTATCCATTCTTCAACAGGAAGCTCCTGCCATCCAAATCCCTCAAGTTGCACGCGGCTGAAGTCCTTGGTATACTTCAGGGGCATGCAACTATCTGGATAAGAAAGGTCGGGCGGATACTTTGAAGGAATCAAATAGAAGTTAATGCTTCCCAGTGCGATGATGGATTGGTCGACCGTCAGGATAGCAGCATTGAAGAGCTGCTTGAGGTCATGCTTTTCCACGGCATTCGAACTTGACATATTGGCCACCCAATGAAGGAATTCCCGCATCTCATCTTCATCTAAGGGTTTGTCTTCAAGCTTCCTGCTGATGTCTTCAATGGTCAATTGGGAGATGAAGCCGCGTCTTAACAAGCGCTGGATGAACCCTTCCGCATCGTCCAAGACCTTTTCAGGAACAAAAGGAAAGTCACGCAAGAACGCAAGCCTCTGAGCGAAGACACGGACCTCCTTTGCAGGAAGTACGCCACATGTCGACAGAATTTCAAAGCTCTTGGACGCTCTCCAAAAACCTTCGTCGATGTATTTACCCACCTGGGCGAATGGCGTAGATTCCCGAGAAGTGTACTGGTTCAAGAGGTGGTTCGCCTTGGGAATGAGTTTCGAAACTTGTTCAAGCGTAGTCTTAGTGTTTCCGGAAAGCTTTACGTCCTCAGTAAGTTGAGCCTTGATGGCGCTCATCTGCCGCGAAAATGCAATGCGGCAAGCGATGCCAGCAATTTCCAACGTTGATTCGTTCCACGTAGAAACATGCCGATTGGACAAATCAATGCTTTCGCGCTCCACGGTGGGGATGAGAGATGGTGCAAAGATATGGCATTGGTAACCCGTGGTTTGGCCGGTCGAAAATCCAATAAAAATGCGGCCTTGGTGAGTAGGCAACGCAGAGGCAAAGAGCTCTCCAGTGCGTTCGACCGTAAGACCGGAGGAATTAGTGACAGATTTCTTCCACTCAGCGTGTGGAGTTGTTAAAATTGCTAAACGAGTCTGCTTAGGCGGTTGCTTCTTCGTGGCTCGCAGCAGTTCATTCGCAAGGCGAGATGGCACATTTGAAGTAATGTTGATGGTGCTGAGGTGCAGCGTCACAGTAGCAGTAGAGATGCCCGCAGAGTCCTCGGCTACGGCCTTCTGTTCCGCAGCTGCCCTTTCTTGCGCCAGCTTCTGTTCCTGCTCCTTTTGACTGGCAGACCCGATATTGAACGTCTTTTTGAAAAACCCTTTGAAACTCGGCGCGGAAATGATCGGTTCTTCAACTACGGGTTCCTGGGAAGGCTCCTTACGGTCCCAGCCTATGATGTTACACCACGACGCTGTGATCTTGGCATTCTCATGAACAATGTCCCGAATTTTCATGAGATTGTGCGAGGACGTGGTCCCGATGTTGCTGGGGAGGGGCACAGAGACAGCGTCAGACATGGTCTTCGTCAGCTCCATGATCTTGTAGTCATCAACAAAGAGTTGGATCTTTTGCAAAGCAAGAAACGTCAAACTGGTTGTAAGAAACTTGGATAGTTCTAAGAGGTCCGGCACAGGTGACGGTGTAATATCGACATCCTTTTCCGACGTGCGGTAATCCAAGATGAAGCTCGTATCCCCGGAAGCTTGGCCGGCGGGCAAAGCAGACGTCTTCACAGCCAGCGTGTTGCCTCTCCAGTAGAAAGCCACTACAGGGAACGACAATGTTAGTAACAGAGGACAGGCTTGCCAGGATATAGTACATACTCGTCTTGTCACCTGAGATGACGAAGGGCGTATCGCATTCACTGAACACAGAGTAAAAGCCCACACCAAATGCTCCGATCTTCGTCTCATCCGGGTTGCCTTCAGCAATACACCGTAAACGAGCCCAGTCGGCGTCTGTAAACGGCTTGCCATTATTCGAGACGCTCAGACTCCTCAAGGTATGGTTCTTGACGACGTGCCTAAGCAACGCCGATTGATCTTGAGTATCCGGCAGGCGAACGCGCGTTGATGGAAGGGTCTCGAATCTGATGGTGGCGGTCGTAGCCCCGGCGTCGGCAGCGTTTTGGACGAGCTCTCTCAAAGTCGTGAACTCTGCGGAGTAGCGGGCCAGGACCTTGTCGATTAAAGCGCGCGTATTAACAGTGACCATGTCATCTTGACCATCCTGCATGGTCAGCTCGCGCATGCGAGCAAAATCTGGGGCTTTAGACATGGTGGGCGGGTTTCATGAGGGTATTAATCAGGCTGCGATGCGAGACGAGAGCCGCAAGAGGGGACCGGCAGCGCGAGGAAGCTGGAGATGCACACAACTAAAGCCTGGAAGCGAGTCGGGGAAAGATGGTATACGTGTACTGGGCGCGAGCTGTGCAAGTGGCGTTGGCGGCGGAGTGGTTGGTAAGGTAGTGGAGTGGTTGTTGCAGGTTGAAGCGGGTGAAGAGGGAGGAAAAGTGGTCCGTCGCTGACACCTGAACGCCACGGCCAGTAACTCCCAGCAAAGTCGCGACAGCAATGGAAGAGAAAGGAAAGAAAGAAGTCGTGACGAAAGAAGTGGTTGAGGTGCACCGGGCGAGGACCCGTGGGACCCTGGTACGAGTCAGGTAGGTATTGATGGAGGACTCGCCGCCTGGCAGACCGCCCGGGTCATCGATATCCCAGCCCCGGCGCGCCCCACCGCCTCCAGCTGCATCCCTATCCCCCTCCAGCCAGCCTCACTATCAAAGATACCCCGGATTCCACTTTGCTGCCCCAGCGTGTTGCAGCAGGAAAGAAAAAAAAAGTAGCAAGGATCGCAGCTTCCCGAGGCTTGAGTGAGCCCAGAGCAGGAGAAAGGTCCTCATGCCGCTCATCGCATCGTGACCCTGCTGCGACACCGTGCACCTCTGCTCCCTCTCTACCTTAGTCCCCAGATGCAAACATGGCGATTGATCCATTCTCGCCCATTGCGCTCGCGCGCATACGGGTGCTCCTGGTGCCCGTGGGCAAGATAAAGCGCTCGCGATTCATGGGCTTTGTTGAGCGCTTGCAGCCCGAGAGCACGATACGTCTCGGAGACGTCAGCCCAGATCCGCGGCCAGACAGAAGTAGGCCGCCCCTGATCCGTGGAGAGACGATGTGTGGCGGGGCGCGTTTACTGATACAGGCGAAAAGCTATGTTCTCTCCACAGCGCAACCCGGACGGTATGTTGCTGTACTATATGACGACGTCAATCCCTCCGCCCTCGTACCTTGCACTGTCTCCGCTGGAGCTTTTCCGCGAGCCGCTCATGGTCATCGGGCTGGCCGATGGCGAGGAGTACGGGGGCCCTCAGGCCGCCGGGTTAGACAGCAGCGTGGCTTTGAACAGGCAGCAGATGAAGGATGCAGTCGAGGTGCTGCGCGACCAGTATCCCAGGGCCCTGGTGCATAAGGTGCTCTTCTTCGATAGCTTGTTCTCGTCTTTGCAGACGTGGATGCCTGAAGAGACGACGCTAGTGCCTCCCGCATCGCAGTCCAACTCGACCACCCTAAAGACTGTAATGTGCGATTTGTCTGCGGTGCTGCTAGCCGAGATGACAACGCTGGCAAGATCATTACAAGCCCTCCCAGAAGTCAACATCACTGCCACCTCCACCCAACAACATACCTCAAATCGTTCAATCTTCTCCATTGCACGTCAGCCTTCTTTCGGCTTGGGCTCTCCCGAGTCTCCGGCCTCACGCTCAACCTCGCCGCTCCCATCAATCAACACTGCGTCCGCGGTGGCTAAGCGCGCCTCTACTCCTCTCCGGCTAGAACCGCCAGCACGATCTCCTACCCCCCAAGATGCCATCATGGAAGATGCCAAGTCGCCTTCAGCCGACGGCCCAGCACTCAGCCCAGCACTGAGCCCCACCGAGGCAACGACCCCAACGTTGCAGCGACCTCGGGCACTGCAAAGATTCTCCATACAAGGCTTTGGTTCTGGCAGTGCGGAAGAAAGGGCGAGAGTTAGCAACGAATGCCGCCGTGGTCTGCTGTCTGCAGAGGTATCCCTAATGGCTGGCCACGTTCAAGACGCCTTGGAACAGCTTCGTTTCTCCTCCCTTAGGGCAATGGACTGTTCCGATAATCTTGCTATCGCAAAGTCCATAGAGCTGATGCTGGCATGCTTCCTCATACTGCTGAGACTCGGATCCCCTTTTGAGGTAAGCATCCGAGTGCATAACTTCCTGTTGTCTTTTGTGTTCTTACTGACCGGTACAGATCCCCCCACTCTGTACTTCAGACCCGAAGGGTCCCGTCATCGAGGGGAGTAAAGAAGTGCTGATCAATATTATTCCCGATCTCTTCCAGAACGTTCAGAACTACTACGCTCTGGCTGCTAAGACTGATATGAACTGGCCGACACCACTTCTCATCGCGGAATGCAAAGTCCGCCACGCGAAGCTCCGTATCTTTATATCGAGATCCAAAGGCCAAGTATTGTCAGAGCTCTTCGATGCTCCGCAAAGGGAGTCGGGTCCGGACCAGGAAGAGCTCCCGCCCCTGAAAGGCGTGTACGGTGGGATGGTTAAGACCATAACGGACACCCTTTTTGAGGGTATAGACCTCGTCAACAGCGCAGCTGCCGCTACCGATCTTGAACGAGCGGTCATCTACTCCGAGGTTGCCACTTGTCTAGCAAAATTAGGTCTTGCAAGAAAGAGGGCGTTTGTGGTAAAGCTTCTCATAGACGTTCTAATCCCAGCTTTACTGCAGGCTCGCAAACTTGGAGCTGCAGAGCAGGGCATACATCCCGCCACCGGCATGTTTGCTGGAGGGATCGCTCAGGCAGATCGGAAGAGTCCTCACGATACACTCACCACATTCCTCGAGGATTTTACTGGCGCCTATGGTATTGCCAGTCGACAGTCGACTTCTCCGCAGGCCGCGGATGACCTTAGCCAATATGGAAGCTTCATTTTGAAGACGGATGTCCTCTTGAGATGCATCAATGTTTGCGAAGCGATGGCGGACCTCGGCGGTGTTCTGAGGTTCTCTTCAACGCTTTTAAACATTTCAGTGCCACCGGAACCTCCACGCGAGGATGAATCGAGTCATAGATCCTCCCTGCATCCCCAGGAACAGGCCCGTCTGCACAGTAACATCGTGCGAACTGCGCAAGCTGCTGCTGCATTCGGTTTGCCAGACATCCAAGCTCGGTACTGGTACGAGCATCTTGTCCAGAGCGTGGAATACAGTGCTGCCACTGTACCACGACAGCTCGTCATGCACAAAAACCCCGAGAAAGAACGTCTTTTGGAGCTCGCCCAGAGGGCTCGTGGTAATGCAAAGTTCGAATTTCAAGCCTTTGGCCGACCGAGAACCAGAGATGGCCAGCCTCCAGGTACGCCTCTTGTCGTAAATGAGCCGGCTCATTTCAAGGTCCACCTGCGGAACTCTTTTGCCTTCGAGCAGCCTATCAAGTCAATCAAGCTCGTGACCGAGGAGGGAGAGGTTCTCGAAGGAACGACTGATAATTCTGTCCACATCCAGCCACACAGCTCCCAAAGTTTCATCATAGAAGTCGTTGCAAGAAGACTCGGCTCATACAAACTGAGCGGTCTTCGCATCAAGGTTGAGAATTGTCACGAGGAGGATTTCCCAATAGCTTCCATTGCGCTTGCACCTCGTTCGTTCGTCAACAGCTTTAAAGAACAGAGAACGAGTGTTGCTACGGTTGACTCCATAACGAAGCAGCTGAAGCGTGCCAGCACTGAGACGCATTCTTCGACTAGCACTTCTAAGGAGGTCGTGGAGGAAAAGATAATGACCGTCAATGTCGTACCGGAGCAACCAACGCTAAGGATGCTTGTTGCATTAAGACAAGATACTCTTGAAGTGCTTCAGGGCGAAAGGAAGACTTTCCTAGTGACGATAGCTCACGAAGCACTTGCTTCTAAGATCTCGGCCAAACACTTGAGCCTGAGTTTCCGAAATGACGCGGTCCAGCTCTTCAATGAATTGAAGGATAGCGAGTCATTGTTGTCTCGTCTTTACGAACTGGATCGAGCAATTGAAATCTCTCAATGGAGGACAAAGGACATCCACCTTCCGTCTCAGATATTGTCGACCGACAATGCAACTTTCCAGGTTGAGGTTTACGGCACAACCAAGCTGAGCAATGGATTCATCGACCTGGAATACTCAGCGACGGATCCACCTGCAGAAGTTGAAGGGTATTTTGTCACAACCAGGATCTCACGACAGATTCACGTTTCAGTGGAACCCACCATCCGTTGCTACAATTTCCAGGTTCTCTCCGGGTCAGAGGCTGAACATTGCTTCTGGGCGATGTATCCGATGGTCGAGAAAAGGAATAATTTCGTCCTGACTTTCTCGTTTGAAAACAAATCAACCCGCACCCTAAGCGTAGGGACGCAGGGCGAAGAGAAGGGTCTCATGCTCACCGATGGGCGCCAGCAGTATAGGCCTGGCGAACGCGGTCACTTTGCTGTCCTGCTCAAGAAGATTTTCGTGCCCCATGGCGAGCAGCCAATCCCTGACCCTCAATATCGTCAATTCATCGTCACGGCTGCGAAGGAGACCGACACGATATCCAGACAGTGTTTTTGGTACAAGCGCGCTCTTGTGGATGCCGTTGGAGTCAAGTGGTTTGAGGAATCTGGGGACGAGGGTACTCGCCATGGTGACGTCGATATCGGTCACTTGGTGTTCTCCCCGGAGTGGCTTGGCCGTATGATGGCCGTTCTTGATGTTAACATGCGTCTCATTAACGTCAACGCCTCTGCTCAGGATCCGCCCGACCCCATTCCGATCTTCGATGTATCGAATGATCACACTGGTACCGAGTTCCGCAGGGTCGAGATGAGGAATGTGTATGAACTCAATCGCGGAGAGAAAGCCCATGTGGTGACGGGCCTGAGAAACCTGACGGACCGCCGACAGCGTTTCTCCATCACACCAACCTTGCGGTTGCTTCCGGATACTGACGATGGTCTTACGGCCAGCCAAATGCTTGCTGAGCTCGACCCAATTCGGCGCCTTGTGTACTTGGACCCCTACGAGTTGTATCACTTCAACGCTGAAATGACTATGCCGGCGGGCGTGTCGCACGTTGACCTAGGACTCGAAGTTGCTGGCGAGTATCCTGTCCACGACACGTCCTTGATGTGTACGATTAAGGTTTTGGAGGGGGCTGAGGACAGTGTGCCGCAAGAGCATGGACGATAGAGGATCAAATGGAGGCAGGTGTATGAATTGTAGGAGTCATGACGAAGATAAGATGTGTATGGTGATAGAAGGTCGAGTTGCAGACGAGGCATTAGTAGGAAGTAGAATAGGCGATCATCGGGTCAAAGAAGTGTTCTAGTATGACGGACATGTTAGCGAGTAACGAGAGTCAAGGGCATTTTAAGGGATGTTTAGGGCTAGTAATCAAGGTTACGAGGAGGGACTTGCTGGTTGCTGCTTTCGCATTCGAGGAGGGTGATGGTTGATCAGACGCACGCGACTGGTCGCTCAAACGGTTATTGTATGGCTAGATAAAGCATAGTACGAGAGGGATGTTGCTAGGTAGTATGTATAATAGTTAAGAAGACAATGAAAGGCTGCTGGTTGCTATTGATTGTTGTTCGGTTAGTCTTTGGAGCCACCGCAAACGTCACCCTTGAGCACGCGCCAAGATACCTACCCACCAGCAGTGCCGCTACTATAAGGCTCCTCCCATTTGCTCACACATTTTGGTAACCACAACAACATTTTGCCAACTCCCTTTTTTCTCCCTCGAAGCAAATGCTCTTGCCCCTATCGATGATTGGGACGAACCTCCTCCTGATCACCATCTTCGGCACCCTGCCACAGCTTCCAGCTCCTCTCCAAGCCATTGTCGCCCTCTGGGGAGCAACGCGACGACTTCAGCATGTCCGGATGGACATAGTTTCGCTGCCTGCTCGTTGCTTCCAGTCAGATTTTGCTAAAAGGGAGACATACCAGCCAACGTCTACTAAGTTGGCACCAGACGGCTAAGCAGACCACGGCTTCTGAGGCACCGCAACACGCGCTGCAAACAAGTAGCTGCGGCGCATCCACCTGAAGGGAATAGGATGAAACAGCAGCGCAATACCGTTATCTCAGCTGATTGCTTGATTGGGGCAGAGGTTTACTCCAAGGACAACTGAAGCAGAGGTGGCGGCAACAAAGTCGTCGAAGGCGCTCAACGCAGCCTGACGCGCAACCCGCGAACTTTCTGCTATCTAGTTAACCATCTGCTGATGACAGAATGATGCTTGAGCACACTTACTTTGTAGATCATCCCCTAAGCAAAGCCAACACCATCCTCCGGGACGCAAACGATGCGCGAGAGGCCCGTCACCAACGAAGCACACCCATCACACTACGCGAGTCTCCTTCAAAGCATTGCAGTCAGCGAAGGCTTTGCTTGCTATGACTTATCGGAGGCAATAGGGATGGTGGTTGAATCCTCTTCTAGAGCTTGTGAGTACGGATTGTAAACCGCGCACTGCATATGGTCAGTTGATCAACATACTCCCAAGGATACTTTGCTGCAGGACTAACTCACTTCGAGGGACAGATGACGAGCCTAGTATCTTACCGAAACTTCAAATCGGCACCTCAAGCAGACATTGAGACCATCATCTCGAGTAATCTACCGCAGCCTGCTATCGGCAGGGAACACCACTTGCCTCCTACTGGCAGCAACTATCGTCCGAATGGATCAGGGTCGACTCGTTTTCCTAAATCGCCATAGACATAGCTGTCATTCTCCCCATGGAGGTCTACGCTTGACTTGTGCTGTTGGACGTATGGACCCGTCCTACCATATTACGAGGGTCGAGAAGCATGGCCCATGGTACTTTTCCACGAACCAAAAAAAACTCCTCATTTGGCGTGCGGAACGTATACGGAGCTACAAGCTTCCCCAGTAACAAGCATTAGCTCTTGGGGGGCTTATTTCGCCCTTAAGTGCCAGATTCCGTTACCACGCAGCTCTTTCGAAGACAGTATACCTGAAACAATCAGGAAAAGCTTGGGAATGAGAGGAAATAAATGAAATAAGGGCAAATGGCGAGGGGCAGGAGTGACAAGCAGCAAGGTATCAACCAAAAGCCTGCTACTCCTGCTATTGTAACATCCAGTCCAGCTAGCCCTTTGTTGAAGTCTGAACTGGCAAAGAATTATCTCTGGTACGGGTTGTGAGCAGAAGAGGTCAAAAAACGGCCCATGGTATTGAAACATACCAAAAGGCTAGTTACTCCATAACGAGAAACAAATGTTTCTACGGAGTAATTTCTTCATCAGGACAAGCTCAGACGGGACGCTCTGGGTAATAGTAAAGAGATTCTGATGCGAGTTTAAGAGAGCTGCCATCGACCTCTTTGCCTGCTAAAGCGAAAACTCATTGGTGAAAATGAGCCAATTGCGTGGCCCTTACAGACCAAACGTGCATCTCCGAAATGCCCCGGATTTTCACCTGTCTGGCTGAGATGGCAGTATTCGAAGACCAGTATATGATCGATTCCATACCAACCTTTGAGTATCGATTCTGCGTTTGGGAGCTGTATCCTTCGAAACCGGACCTAACCGGAAAGTTGGAAAGGATGTAAATGCATGGGTTAAGTACTCTAGTTTCTTTTCAGCTGACTTGCGTACTTCTGAGCCGTTGGATCGTTGTTTGTTGGTCTTCGCATGGCTGTCAGTCGGACTACCGATCACTGCAGCCCCTTGTCGTAGCTCGATGGTTTTACCCAGAGGCTCTGAGAGGGACCTTTTTTGATGAGAAGATGTCACAAATTCTCCGGGATTTGGAGGTAAGTGAGAGAATCCGTTTGGAACCCAATGAACCTCTTATCTCATTCGCTGGTGCTAAGTCGCATCCTCACTTTTCTTTGATATATGATAGACACTCTGACATCTTGCTTCATATATTGTGTCATAACAGCGGAAGGAGTTATCAGTTACCGGAGTCTCATGCGATCTCTCATCTGTCGGCAGTCAGCAAAGCAGCCCAGTACAGGATACCGATATTGACTTCAAAACTTTCACCTTGCTCCCTCCGAGCCTTTTCGATTTCTTTCTTGTTTGCACCCAGATTCTGCAACTAGAGGATCACTCGATAGTGCCCCTTCATCCGTCATAAGCACTATACAGTGACATAGACAACAATTTACTTGCTCAAACTTGCTCGCCATGGCACGTGGCTTATGAGAGGTACAGCTCACAGGAAATCATGGAAAAAAAACTACAGAAACACCGGAAGCCTCACTTTTAAGAATTCAAGGGATGATGCAACAGCGGCTGCAATGAAGAAAATTTTACCAACCATTAATTTTGAGGCAACCCGATTCCAAGCTCGGTACCGAGTAGCTGGAGTAGTCCTTGACAGGTTCTACGTGTACGAGTACGAGCATTCCACGGAGACCTGCATCATGGATGATCGGCCCCCCTGGACAATTACGGTCTGAAGAAGACCCTGAGCAGCCTTGGAACCATGGCGTATTTCGATTGATTATGTGGAGATCATGACGTCCAGGCAAGGTGATCGTGTGTCCAAGACACAAAGTCATCAAAGGCGAGCGGTGACCGGTCGAAGATCCGTGATGTGTGGCGTTACGATGCGACAGAGAGAGAGAGAGACGTGTCACACGCGCTGCAGGAAAAAGTCCAGGGCCAGGACGAGCAGGCAAGCAGAGTGACAAGAGCGACAGATGAAGCCAGGGCGGGCCAATTGCACGTTCCGTGGTCTGCACGCGAGGGAGCGCCCTGCAAAGCTTTCTTCGCACTAGGAAGCAATAGGGAAAGTTGCCGCATGCGTGGAGGCGGACCTACCCCGGATTTCGAAGTATTCCTTGCGGCCTCGAACTGCTTTTCTTGCGCCTTCCTGCCCTACACTCGACCCCTCCGCGATGCCTGCCTCCGTGCTCCGACCATTGTGATGATTCCGTCACGAGGCCCCGATCCTGCCGACGTCAACCTCATGGACTTTTTCTCCGCCCAGCTTTCCCGCAACCTCGACACCACATCATACCACGCCTAGCAGCCTGAGGGCATGCCTTTCGGCGCCTGCCCGCTGCGATACAAAGCATTGTCTCGTCTCTCTTGCGTCGCGCGAGTGCGCCTCTAAGGTGAGCTGCTTATCCATGTCCCCTCCCCATGCTCAGGCTCCTTAGGCTGACGGGAAACAACCCTTGTTCAGGCGAAACCCAGCCCTTTAAGCCCCACCATGACTTCGTCTACGCCCACCGAGAGCGTCAAGAATGCGCCGCCCGAAAGCTCGAGGAAGCAATCATCAATCAGCATGCTTTCCAACGCCTTTCTCAACCTCATTGGTGGTAACAAACCCGCGCCTTCAGGCGCTCCGTCAACCTCCACCAACACCGCCCCGGCCCGTGGCAAATTTGCGCGCCGGATGAGCGCATCTCTCGAGCAAGCCGATACCACTGTTGCCAGCGACGCAAAAAAGAAGGGGAAAGCGCGTGCCGCTCAAAGTGGCTCTGTACCGTTCGTTGTTGGTGGACCGCCTGAGCTGGACGAATTACTTGAGAAGCTGGCCGATCAGAAATCCACAGTAGCGCAACGCATCAACGCCGCAAACGGCATCAGCTCCATCTTGAAAGAATATCGTGTCACTGGGGTTTGGTGGATATGGTCGAAGACGCAATCAGCCTTACTCAGTCGCCCCGAGCCGGATGCCCACAAGGCAGCACACCAGTTGCTCTACTCCCTAGTACAAACTCCGCTGTCTTCTTTTGAGAGGAGCTGTTTCTTTTCCATGGTTGCCGACAGCGACAGCACCGCAATAGCCGACAATCGCATGCAGCTGCTAAGCTCGATCACCAATGGTGGTCGCAACATCGATGCTCTGGAGTCTAAAATTGCACCGCTTCTTGCTTCTACGCTGGCAAAATCATTCGACTTGGCCGCCAAAGCCCGGAAAGACAATCGCAACGCAAAAACAGATGAACAACTTCCCGAAAATACTCGCCTGCATCGCTTGTTTCGTTTGGTCGTCGTTGTCTTGAAGTTCAATTCTCAGCACTTGAGCGATGCTCACACCGGCTATCTACTTGAGCAAGTTCTTAAGATCTGCCGGCAGACCACCAAAAGGCAAGATCTTCATGATGGAATTGCTGTTATAGACACTTTGATCACATACAAGGAACTCCCACGCGGACTACTTCAGCCCTGCTTCGAGGTCTTGTGTGCTGTATGCAACCAACACATGAAATCGGGCAATTTGCGCGATCAAGCGGAAGACGTCGTGGTCCATCTCTTCGGATCACATATCGCTCCTGCTGCAACGCTTACCTTCATTGAAGTTCTGAAAGGGGAGCTGACATTCCCACAACAGCGCCTCAACGTTGTACGGGGCGCTGTCAATGTCTTACATGATTTTATGTTCGGCGACAAGGCCGAGGATCTTCCAGAGCTTCCAATGTCGCTCATTCTACCCGCTTTGAATACACTGGTTTCGGCAGAATTCGCAAGAAGCAGAGAACAAGAGCGCGCTGCTGAAAACGACCGAGTAGAGCTAAAAAGGATTAGGGCAGACAACCAACACCTTGAAGCAGATATATCCAACATCATGTGGCGCCTTCTATTGCCTGAGGACATGGAGAACCGTTATTCTCGGCAGCTTCTCCAAGGTTACGATTGGGATGTCTATATGGAGATTATCATCAAATGCGCCCTCGGTGTCTCAGACACAGACATGAAGAATGAAACCAGGGCTCTCACCCCCACAGACGCTAGCTTTTTGGAGGATGACGACCAAGAGAACCATCACCCTTCCATTCCCCTTACGGCTGTCATACGCAAACTTTTCGAGATCCGAAATGAACTCGACGTTGTCCAGAGAGAAGCCGCAATGATGACTTTCCTGCGTATCGGCCGCAGGCTTCCGAATGATGTCGCCAAAGGTGTCATTGGATATCTGAAGGACGAGCGTTTCCTTCTGCCTCTTCACGCCGAATACTTTAAAGTTTGGGAACAAGTGATGGATGTATTCTTTGCTGACAAATTGCGTGACAATGATGTGCGCATATATGCAGTACACACACTTGTCGATGTCTACGGCTACATTGCGACAATCCTCGACTCAAAGACACAGGTGGATACGGCAACCTTTTTACTCGATCACATCTATCATGAGTCCGACCCTGCAGTGTTGAAGGTACTCATGGATGCTGCCGTCGATATCGTCTCAAGCGGACCAGAGGAAATGGTAGAGCATATCATGGACCTTATTCGGGACTATCTCTGGAACTTTATTGGTAGCCTGCCTGAGCCTGAGAGACCGCCGACCCGTGCTTCAGAGAATCCCATGTCTCCTAGCAACGTCATCACTCAAGGGCTGGCCCGTATGTTTATCAGAACCTTCCGATACTCTGTTTGGAAAGCAACAAAGGTTTATGACCAGCTCATTTACATCGCGCGCACTAACAATTGCGATATGGATGCACGTATCAGCGCCATAAAGCTCCTTACGCGAATCCGTAGCGATGCAGATTATGCAATTCGTCTCAACGGACCACCAGAAGGCGAAAGCATGGCTGCTGTTTTGTGTCGGACTTCCGAGACAGCTGCAGCCGCAGAAAAAGAGAAGGAAAATTCTTCTGAAGTTACCAGTCCAGTAGCCACACTTGACCGAAACCTGTCCCAGGACCGTAGGTCGTTTGTTGGTGGAGCACAGCTGTCGCAGTCTCGTAGGTATACGACCGGCTCGAACAAGCCCAGGCCCGTACCTCCGCTCTGGATGTATCCATACATCGACCCCCAGGACGATAAGCCGGTGCCGTTCCGCTTCAGTGGTCTCCCGGAGGAGCCTCCACAAGCTGCTAGTTATGTTCTTTTCACGTATCTTGAGGAGGACGAATCCGAGACCCCGCAGTCGGAGGAACAAGAGGTTACTGAAGAAGAGCCTGAGCACGATGGTATATATTCCAAGGTCATTCCGGCTGGAAAACCTGGCCTGTTCTCTGCATCGTTGTGGCTTGAGGTGGTTATTACGATCTTCCAAAAGTGCGACGAGTGGGAGGTCCTCAGCTACATGCTTGTCCATCTGGGTTCTCAGCTTGCCAATCATTCTCTCTGGAGAAACTCTAAGCCCCAGATCAAATTCCTGAGGAACGTCCTCTGCGACCAGATTCGAAATGGCACTGTTCCCGAGCCGCCAGCTTACACTTCCTTGAAGAAAGCAGACGTGGCCGTTTGCTACTTTCACATTCTAACTATGCTGGTCAGCTACCATGCGTATTTCGAGAAGAGTGAACAGGACGACATTGTCAAATCTTTCTACCTCGGAATTGGGTCGTGGGATCGGACTTCAAAATGGTGCATCCATGCGCTCACCGTATGCTGCCACGAGATCCCGGATTCTACCACGAAGCATCTTCAGAACGTCGTGCAGAAGATGTCGCAAATTATTACCCAGCCACACATCGCCATCCATATCCTCGAATTCCTCACCCATCTTGTGCGCCTAACCAATCTCTACGTCAACTTCAGAGAGGAGGAGTACAAGATGGTCTTTGGCGTATGTTTCCGTTACCTACAGTATGTGCGGGACCAACAAGAGAAGGCTCAGGCCCCAACCGCCACACGGATAAGCAGCGGCTTGCGCAACAGTGGTACATCGCGCGACCTTCGCGAATCGAAAAACATTCCCGAGCAACAGGTCTCGAAACCACAGCCAAAGTCGCCCGCCGACGATCTCCCTCAATACGTCCATGCCTTGGCTTATCACGTGATTACCTTTTGGTTTATGGCGATCAAGCTCGACGACCGTGGCAAATTTGTCCACTGGATTAAGAACAGACTGGTGATCGTGGACAGAACTGGCAGAGAAACATATGAGGAGCAGGCTCAAATCACAATCGACATGTTGTATAGTCGGGCATATACCGACAGCGATGAAACGGCACCGGTCCGCGGCTTTCCTGGCCCGACCGATGGCAAGGTTCAAACAACAACTTGGGTGGTTGGCGCTGAAATGCTCATGACGCTGCAAACCGCTGCACGCACAGGAGCCACCCAAATCATCAAACGACGCCCGTCGTACACAAGTTATGGAGTGTATACTCCGAACCTAAGCTCGCCACCTCGCCACCAAACCGCTCTCTTGACCGGCCTGGCCGCAGAGGCCTTCTACACAACCAACTATGTTGGCGTGTTGCCTCAGGATATCTTTCAGGGCCTTTACGCTCCCGTGAGTCTGCTAAAAGTCGGTGCAGCTGAGGATTATGTGCAACTGCCGGAAGATGATGCAACTCGACGCGCGATAGCCGGCATCGACCGTTCATCAACAGTTGACGGACATAAGATCGGTATTATCTTCATTGGCGAAGGTCAACGTACGGAACAACAAGTTCTTCAGAACGTCATGGGCTCAGGCGACTACACTCAATTCCTCGAGGCTCTGGGTGAAGGCAATTGGGTTCGTCTGAAGGGTTCCCAGATGAATACGCAAGGTCTCGATCGCGAGTTCGATACGGATGGGACCCACACCATTTGCTGGCGCGACAGAGCTGTTGAAGTCGTTTTCCATGTCATCACTCTGATGCCCGTCAATCTGGAGCATGATCCCTACTGCATCAACAAGAAGAAACACATCGGGAATGATTTCGTCAACATTGTCTTCAACAATTCCGGATATCCCTTCGATTTCGACATGTTCCCTTCGCAGTTCAACTACGTATACATTGTCATCACCCCGGAATCACGGACGACGTTCATTGATACTCGCCACAACATTGAGCTCGATCAGTTCTACAAAGTCCAGGTCCTCACGCAGCCTGGATTCCCAGAGATTTCCCCAGCTTCGGAGACCAAGCTCATCAGTGGCAAGGGATTGCCGGCGTATGTGCGCATGCTTGCCTTGAATGCCAGCGTTTTCTGCCAGGTTTGGTCTACCCGGGAGGCCGGAGAATATGTCTCTTCGTGGCGTAACCGTCTTCGAGAGATCAAAAAGCTCTGGGACAAGCACAGCACCACGGTTGCTACGCCGCCGTCGTCGGCATCTGGGAACCCGGGAATTAGCGGATCCATGTGGCACAGGCAAAGCATCGCCACGTTTAACAGCGACGGCAACCGAAGCAGCATCATGAGTGGCTCGGTCGACATGGAGCGTCAAGTCTCGGGAGGCTCTCGTTGAAGTCTCCTTCCACACGTCCTTTTCTTAGGTAGCTCTTTTGCTAACCCCCCTTACGATACCCCCCGCTGCGGCGAAGAAGCGAAAAGTAAAAAACAACAAAAAAGGTCATGATGATTTGCATGGGAGGAAACCTGCCCGGAGTTTTGAGAGTTTAGAGAGGCGCAGGCCACCAAAAGTTGTTGCTTTGCAGATAAATAGCTGAGTACGAAGTAGCTCGTGTGCTCGTGCAAGTATGTAGAGTACATGGAAATTTCATGACATGACATCAGTTGTGCTACCAAGGTGGTCGGAGCTCACGGGTAAACGTCGGATATCGCTGCCTTTGAGAAGGCCGCGGTTTAGAAAGTCTCGGAGCTTGCACCTTCAAACACTTTACCGACAATCTTTTGACTCTCCCACATCCTTGCCCTGCTTCCAGCTGGTTTTTTTGCGCAGAAACCTACAGCATGGCGGGAAATACACAGGCTATCGCCCAGCTGCTGCAGCAGAGTCTCGATCCTAGGACCAGCAAGCAAGGTCCGTTATTTATTTACCTTTTGGTCCTGTGTCGCGGGGCACCTGAACCACCTCCGCTCCCAACCCTGCCTCACCCAAAGCCTCTCTCTGTCCCCCGATTGTGTCGCTGACATTTGTCTTGCAGCCGAGGCCCAAATTTCTGAGCAGCAGACGACTCCCGGCTTCTCCATCACCCTGCTTCACATTGTCGCCGACAATTCTGTCCCTCATACCACGAGATTGGCCGCCGCCCTTTACTTCAAGAACTTCATCAAGCGCAACTGGACTGTACGTGGGATGCTACACATGGGAATTATACCAGACGCTGACGGCGCATAGGATGTCGAGGGCAACTACAAGCTCCCGCAGGCGGAGGTTGTGACGGTCAAGCAGGAGCTGATAGGGTTGATGATCTCTGTCCCTCCGTCGATACAGTCGCAGCTGGGTGAGGCAGTCAGCGCGATTGCAGACAGTGACTTTTGGGAGCGCTGGGACACTCTGGTCGATGTAGGTTTGGCCGTGATACGGGCCGCTCACTCGAAGGATGCTGATAACTTGCTAGGATCTCGTCTCCCGCTTGACGCCCGATAATGCGCAAATCAACAATGGTGTGCTGCAGGTCGCACACTCGATCTTCAAGCGCTGGAGGCCGCTTTTCAGGTCCGACGAGCTGTTCACCGAGATCAACCACGTCTTGTCAAAATTCAGCAACCCTTTCCTCCAACTCCTCCAGGTATGTACAGCAATTGGTTCCCTAACTTTAGCTACATTACTGACTGCTCGTTAGAACACAGACGCGCAAATTACCCAAAATGCGGGCAACAAGGAAGTCCTGCAGCAGTATCTCTCCACCCTTAACCTCATGATGAAGCTCTTCTACGACCTCTCTTGTCAGGACATGCCCCCCGATTTCGAGGAAAACCTAAAGGCTATCGTTGACATCCTCCACAAATACCTGGTCTTTGACAACCCGGCGCTACACACTACTGAGGAAGATGAGTCCGGCATTCTTGAGTACATCAAAGCCGGTATCTTCGAGGTGCTTATTCTGTACACCCAGAAGTACGAGGAGGAGTTTGGCCAGCATCTCCCGCAGTTTATTGAGAGCTCATGGAGCTTGTTGACAAACATCGGAGCCGAGACCAAATACGACATCCTCGTCAGTAAGGCGCTCCAGTTCTTGACCTCGGTCACGGCGAACCCTCAGCATGCTCAGGCCTTCAACAACCCGGATATCCTTGGCCAGGTCGTTGAGAAGGTCATCCTTCCCAACCTTTCCCTTCGGGAGTCCGACGTCGAGATGTTTGAGGACGAGCCGATCGAGTTTATCCGGAGGGATCTGGAAGGCTCGGACAGTGATACTAGGCGTCGCGCGGCAACTGACTTTTTGCGCCGTTTGATGGAGCAGTTCACGGAGCTCGTCACTGGTGTCGTCAACAAATACATCGACCACTATCTTGCCGATTACGCCCGGGACAAGCAGGGTAACTGGAAGTCTAAGGACACGGCGGTGTACCTGTTTTCTTCGATTGCTGCACAAGGAGCGTCGACCGCTGCATTCGGTGTCAAGACGGTCAACCCTCACGTTAATGTCCTTGATTTCTTCCAGAAGAACATCGCCGAGGATCTTTCTGCGGAGACAGGGGTTGAGCCTATCTTGAAGGTTGACGCTATTAAGTTCGTACACATGTTCCGTACGCAACTGACCGCGCAGTTCTGGCAACTTGCGTTCCCCCTTCTGGTCAGGCATCTTGGTGTCCAGAACTTCGTCATCTACTCGTACGCTGCCATCGCGATCGAGCGTGCGCTTTACCTTACCGATGACAACCGGCAACCCATTATTCCCAAGGCCGACCTTCTGCCGCTGTCCAAGGACCTCCTCGTTCATCTCTTTGGCCTCATTCAGAAAGAGTCGGCGCCGGAGAAGATCCAGGAGAACGAATTTTTAATGAAGTGCGTTATGCGTGTGCTCATTGTCATTCGCGACGGCGTCATCCCTATCACGGATATCGTTCTCCAGAACTTCCTCAACATCACTATGGTCATCAGGCATAACCCCAGCAATCCTCGCTTCTACTACTACCACTTTGAAGGCATCGGTGCACTCATCAAGTTTGCTGCGCCCTCGCAGCCCGAAAGACTGGAGACTGCGTTATATGAACCTTTTGCGCAAATTCTGCAAAACGATGTCCAGGAGTTCATTCCCTACGTCTTCCAGCTCTTTGCCGCCCTCCTGGAGAGCAATCCTTCCGGCACTCTGCCCGCCTACTACCAAAGCCTTATTCAGCCTCTGCTGATGCCTGTGCTCTGGGAGTCGAAGGGCAACATCCCTGCTCTGGTCCGCCTGTTGTCTGCCATTATCCTTCGTGGTGCCGACGTTGTTGTCGCCAACAAACAAGTTGAGCCCATTCTTGGTATCTTCCAGAAGCTCGTCTCAACAAAGGCAAACGAGAGCCACGGCTTCGATCTGCTGGAGGCTGTCGTCAGCGCGATACCAGTGGATACGCTCAAGCCGTACTTCACTCCCATGTTGCAAATCATGTTGACGAGACTGAGCAACTCGAAGACGGAGAACTTCACGCTGCGGTTTGTTAGGTTTTACCACTTTGTCTCGGCAAGAGACGACAAGGGTCTGGGCTCAGACTTCTTCATCTCCATTGCCGATTCCGTGCAGCAAGAGTAAGTCTACAAATTACCTAGTTCAAGTGTGGCATTGAACCAAATACTAACTACGTTGCAGCGTATTCCGTCCTATTTACACACAAATCATTCTCCCAGACACGCAAAAGCTCACCCGTCCCTTCGACCGCAAGACGGCTGTCGTCTCTTTCACCAAAACCCTCGCCGATGGCCAAGCTTTCATCGAGCGCTACATGAAGGGCTGGGCGCTGACGTGCGAGGCACTGCTGAAGCTCCTCATCAACCCGCCTGTGGCGCCCGCGAGCGACGACATCATCCCGGACGCCGACGTCGACGACCTGGGCTTCGGTGTCGGCTTCACGCAGCTCAACACGTGCCGCAAGGCGCCGCAGGACCCGTTCCCGGACGTTGCCGACGTCAGGGCCTGGGTCGGCGGGTACCTGAAGGCGGCGGATGCGCGCAACGGCGGCCGCATCGGCCAGTACGTCAACGAGAGGCTGAGCCCGGAGGCCAGGACTGCGCTGAGTGCGACCATGGCATAAGTATGCGCGCTGGGTATGTGTGTGTGTGTGCGTGTGGGTGGAGGGTTGCGCTTGGAGGCCGTGGTTGATACGCAGTACTTGATACCATAACATATTTGGAGGAATCGAATGTCTTGTCTCATTGCTAAGCGTGCAACGTGCTCGTCCGTGTCTTTTGTTCACGGCGATTATGATGCTTGAGAAACCAAAACACCTTTTCATCTGATCCCTCTTCCCTAGTTCTCGTTTTCCTTTTCCCCTCAGACTATACGTCTCGCGTGCCAATTTCTCGTACGGTTTTATTCTTGTCAAATGTCTCTCGCGTATACTAGCGTATGAGGGAGTAAGGAAAAGCAAGGGTCCAATGAAAAGGAAAAGAAGGAACTACAACTCTCTCTCAAAATTCACTCTCTGCCAATCACAGACAAATATCTAGCCAAGGACCAACCAACCAACCAACCAACCAGCTAACAAAACAGAACAGAACAAACACCAGACCAACAGCAGTGTCTATCACGCATGTCATATCATGTCATGTCATATCAAGATACCTATCAACCACCCAAGTTCCGCCCCAAACATTCCTCCTCCCCAGCACTCAATCACCTACTCCCTTACTCGCCTCTCACGACGGCAGATTCCACAAGAAATTCAGCATGCCAGCGTCCAGCCCCGGGAACGTCTGGATGCTGGAGCCGCCGGCGCCAAAGGGGGCCATGGACGGATCAAACGGCAGCGTCAGCCAGTCGTCGGCGTCGAAGGAGGCGTCGAAGCCGCCGAGGTGGTCGTGGTTGGGCGGGGCGTCTGCGTCTGCGTCTGCGTCTGCGGCGGCGGTAGCAGCGGCGGCGGAGTCGACGTTGGCGCGTCTCTGGTTTGCTGTTGTTGATGATGTGGGCGTGGGCGTGTGGAAGGCATTGTTGTTGCTGTTGCTATGGGGGTTGCTTGTTGTGTGGCGGTCGGCGGACGGCGGCCGCGTCGTCAGTTTCGGCGGGCGCGACGAGATGACAAAGCCGCGGCGCAGGCGCGCGACGTGCATTTCGAGCAGCGTGGCGTAGCGCGCGGCGAGGTGCATGTCGTCGAGGGTGCCGGAGCGGAGGGCGTGGATGCCGCGGTCGAGCAGGTCAAACGACGACTGCAGCTTCGTGTTCCACACGCCCAGGCTGAGGCCCTTGAGCAAGTAGATGGCCGACGTCGTGATGTGCAGGAAGATGCGCACCGGGCAGAAGCGCAGGATGTCGTTGTCGGCGAGCTTGATTACTGTGCGTAGGATCTCGCAGCTGCCGTCTACGACTTCTTGGATGAATTCGTAGTCCGTCGAGTCTACCGACATGGGGAACGTCGTCTCGCCGTCGGCTTCGTCGAGGGTCCGCTCTACTACGGCTTGGAGACCGAGGGAGTTGGTGAAGATCCGCACAAATTGGTACTCGATGGAGAGCATGTCTTGCAAGACATCACCAAGCCCTACAATGTGCTATCAGTTTTGTGTTCTCTACAAATCCAGCAGATGCACCTACTTTGAGAATCAAGATATCTCCCTCTCCAGTTAGCAAGAAGAGGCTGGAAATGCTGCAGAAGCCCAATGTACCGCCCGCTCCGCAGTATCTGCCGCGTGAATGAAGCGGATGGGAAAAGCATGTCGGACACTGATTTGACAAACTTTGTGAGCTCGATCCACGCTGCCACAAAGGCTTCGCAGTGGTCCGCCCCCGGCAGCACTTCTCCAGCAAACGACTTCCCCATGACGGTATGGCTCAGGCTCTGTGGGATCATCGAGGTACAGCCAATGCGGGAAGCCAGCTGCTCCACAAACACGTAGAGAAGCTTTCGGGCTCGCACGAACCTCGCGGCTCTGCGCTTGGCTTCGACCCGAGACTCCCCTGGAATCTTCTTCTCATCCTTGTCCTCTTGGTCGAATATGCCGAGTTCGTGAGCTAGAGACAAGCCGCATCCAAGCAGCATCCAGGACATTCGATCTGACCGCCTGGCTGGCTCTATGACATCTTCAAGCCACCTGTTTGATGCGGGCGATGTACCTTCAAGGTTCGCCGATCCCTCCAGAGGGTCTGGATCGATAGCAACAAGGCCTGCGTCCCATCCATCCGATTCAGGCGGGAAATGCAAAGCTCGCGGATGCCATTCTGAAATCAGCAACAGCGCCTCAATGGATCCAACGGTACGCGTTTTTGCGGGAGAACTCTTTTCCTGTCCCAGCATGATGCGCATGATGAGATGCTGGCAGTGTTCCCACAGTCTATGATGGATGAAATAACCGCGTGACGCCCCTCCAATGCCAGGTAAGACGTGATATCGTGATGACAACGCAAGGATGGTGCAGCACAAGAAAGGCTCCTGCGTGACTAGCTGGTAATGTTTGGCATGGGAGGCGTAGTAGTCCATCAGGACAGGAGACAATGGTGACATGTTCCTGAAAAATCTAGATGGAGTCTGTCAGCTTCACGACGGCAGTTTGCACTAGTCCTATAGCAGGTGGCTGTGGGTGCTGTCCGACACGGTCTCAGAAAAAGCAATGCTTACAGATCGACATATGTCACGGCTTCCCTGGCTGTGAACCAACCCATACGCACGAATCGGCAAGTCTTCCAGGTGTTAAGCACTTGGGGAGACACATCCGATAGTTGGACTGGCGGTAAAGTAGGAAGACCTGAATTCACCGGTAACGTCGAGCCAGGGGTTGTGTAAGAAGGATCGGTTTCTCCCAACGGAGCCGCCTGGCTTTGAGCTCCCGTTGGTGAGAAAGTGCTTTCGGTCGTGTCGGCATCCTCACGGGTTGCCGCCTCAAACAGTAGATTTAAAGCATCATTGCCATTCGCGACAACCGTCCGGATCATGGAATTGGCTAGGCCGCTGTTTTGTGACGCCGATGATGGATGGCGCCATTGCTGCCTAGGAGGACTTTGTGGACTGTCCAAGGCGTTCGCCGGAGAATCCTCAGTAGTTGGAACCGGACCAACGCCTGCGCCCCAGTTGGACTGGCGAGCCGCTGCTCGTGGTTCTGTGGGGCGAGCAGACGCGGAGGGACGATGATCGGCATCCAATTTCTGGCGTTTCCAAGCTCTTTCTTCGGTGAAGACGCATTGTCTCAATGCTCTTCGGCATCTGGTACAGGGCGGACTAGGAACGCTGCCATCGGTGGGCACGTCCAGCTCGCAGCGGGCTTTCCTCTGGCGGCACGGCACGCACGCTTTATACGCGCGCTGGAACTCACGAGGCCTGGACGCTTGCTTTATGGTTCCGTCAGCCGAGCCATCAGCCGTTCCCGAAGCTACTTCAGGCGATACGTCGGGCATTTGGAAGGGGTTTGGTGGGGTTTGTCGACTGTTGTGGATGTTGCAGGAAATCCAAGGTCGAAGGGGTGGAGAGGCACGGCGGGGCCCGGCTATTGACGGGAGACGGCAAATCCACGAGCCTCCCGAAGAAGCAACGAGCACACGACGACGATGGTGACACGGTCCATTTGCGAAAGGCCTATTAATAACACATGTGTCACTGCGTCTGTAGTTTTTTTTGTATTCTCAAAAACAGGTCGATGACGCTGGCTGGTTAGAAGGGCCTTGGGATTCATCAAGAATGCAAACGAGATATATATGGATTAGCCGTCGACAAGCTGCGGGGATACTCTTACTGAATAATCGGAAAGCTCATCATAAGTTAACTAAGTCCCAACTCAGGTAGAAGGGACGGAATGGGTTGAGGTCGAGGTGCCTGAGTCATGCAGCTGTTCCCCCACTCCCGCAGCGAGCTTTACCGACGTCAAGGCCTGGCATCTTTTTGGAAGGGACGCTTTCATCATGCCACGCTCAGCGGACATTGCTGAGATCCCTGCCAGTCCCGAGCTGCTTGGCCACCTAAAGACGCTTCTCCTCGACCTCTCCAACAATCCCTATCCCCATGTGCCCAACCCGCCGAACCTGAAGAAGCGAGCCTCCGTAGCTCTCATCATCCGCGTTCAGCCGCGCTTCTCGCACCCGCCATCAAAAGGCGCCGAGTCGATTGTGCAAATCGACAATGCCGACGCCGAAGCCTCTGTAGAGCGCCGCCTCGATGCCTTTTTCGAGCAGGACTGGGTGCAGAATGGAGATCCCGAGGTGCTGTTCATCAAGCGGGCCCATCGCCCCGGCGACAGATGGACCTCTCACGTCGCCCTTCCCGGCGGCCGCAGAGATCCCGAGGATGCCGACGATCGCGCTGCGGCGGTCAGAGAGACGCTCGAGGAGGTCGGCATCGAGCTTACCCCAGCAAACTCGATATCCGTAGGCAATCTGCCGGAGCGCGTAGTCACCACTTCCTGGGGTAAAGTACCGTACGTCTGCACAGGCCTTGGAGCTCCTCTGCCTTTCGGCTGACACGATGCAGCTTAATGGTCCTCTGCCCGTACATTTACCTGCTCACTGACCCCGAACCGCCTGTCCTGCGGCTGCAGCCCACCGAGGTCGGGTCGACGCACTGGGTCTCTATACGTGCCCTGCTCTCGCCCTCGCAGCGGACATATTGGCATGAGGATGTCTCGAACAGGCTTGCCAAGCAGGAGGTCGGCATCAAGAGGTGGTTCCTGCGGCAGATGCTTGGCAAGATGATCTTTGCGGCAGTCCGCTTGATTCCGTCCCAAAGCACGTACTGTAGCACCATTCCGGGCTTCGTTCCTGAAGAGCCAAGCTCTCCGACATTCGCCGGGAAACTGTCCAAATGGTGGCACGGTGCAGAGCCAACCAGCAGTACTGACACGCCCTTGTTGCTATGGGGTCTAACACTGGGTATCATGGCGGACTTCCTCGATCTCCTGCCCCCGTACAACTCGGTCAAGCTATGGACATATCCCACGTTCACGCCGTACGATGTGCAGTTTATGCTGTGGGCGATATCCTACAGCTTCCGGAAGCGAAAGCAAAAGGAAGTACTGGAGTACCACAACGAAGCGCCAATCACGGTGGAGGAGGGGTTGGATGCAATCGAAGCCGGAGGAAAGGCAAAAGAGCTCGAGGCGCCCGAGTCTGGCATCAGCGGGCTCGGTGTCGAGCGCTATTACAGCCGCCTGGGGCAAAAGCAGCGCGCAACCCGCTCCAGTTCTGTGGGCGTCATGCTGGAAGGCTATTACGATATCATCCGCAAGACGGTGGCACTGGCGCTGATTGGAAGAGTTTCTGCATTTTCGATTCTCGTTGGATCTCTCTGGTTGAAGTACAGGCGCCGGCAGTGAAACGTAGAGTTGTAGTGTGGTGGTTGAACTGGTTTACTGTTGAGCATGCTGGATTGTTGTTGTCTGTTTTTCTGCTTGGGTTATCCATCCTTATATATATTATGGCGTCTGCTAGGAACGTACGATCTAATATAGATGTGTTGAATACGACAAGTCTGCCTGCTCACAATCGGTCGAGGATGAGGAGAGATACGCCCATATCCATGTCATGAGGTGTAGTCGGAACTCCGACGGTGACTTGGCCCAGCCCATACCTTCGGATAAAAATCCGACATCGACTACGTCAGCGGTCCTACGTAGCACGCGGGCGTACTCGTACTCTGGGAGCAAGTACAGGAAACAGTTGCCTCCGGACAATGTATCGGAAAGCCTAGAACCAACCATCCAAGCCCATCCATGCATCCATGATGCACTCTTGCACTGACTCACCGGTAGGCAGATAACTGAACCGAACCCCAATCTGCCCGCAGGCTAATCGATCAACCGAGTGGACGTCCATCCACCGGACCGATATCGGCAGAACCTCGCGCGACGGCCGAATCAGGCAAGAACACACCACACCACACCCGACGAGGGCACGCACGGCACGACTCCGAGCATCGGCGGGGCACACACCTAAGATCGGCGGCCAGTGGCCACGATGGCAGCGGGCACGGCCAATGGCCAATGGCTAATGGCCGCGCTCGCTCGCCGTCGGTTTCCCTGCCTGCACGGATGCCACGGCAAAGCGGGCGGTGGGATTGGGAAGAGGCCTCGGTAACCGCGCCGCTGGTAGGAGGCAGGGAGTACGAGCGAGGAAGAACAGAGAGGCGATTCCCTTGTTCGGCGCGAAAAAAAAAAAAAGGAAGAAAATTCGGTTCGCTGCCTGTTGCCGTGGCGGGAAACCCGATGCTGCTTCCTTGCATGATAGTCCACGCTTAGTTGACTCATAATAAGGTTGATTCCCTTCATGCTAACCCCATTCTTTAGAGCTTCGCTGGTGCGGCCATCGTCGTCGTTGTCGCCGTCTTCTTCCTCGCACCCTCGTTCCTCCTTTTCTCCGTTCGTGAAGGGGAGCATTTGTTTTATTATATGGTAGTGGTATCTGTTGTCGTGACTCTGGCTTCCATGTGTCCGCCAGGTCGTTCTTATCGCATCATTAGCTGCTAAACGCAAAAGAGAGGAAAAAAAGAGGGGACTACGAAAGCACACCATGGCCGAGACCGAACGCTTCGCGGCCATCAAGGCAGCGCCCGCCGCGGACAGGCAGGGGGAATCCGAGATGGACGACAAGGAACGCAGTAGCCTTGACCTGGAGAAGCAGGCGCCAGCGGCAGCGGCAGCGGACCGCCCCGCCCTCGAGCACACCATCAGCCATGTCTCGACTCACGACATGGCCGCTCCGGCCACCAACCCCGAGTCGAGCGACGAGATCTACGGCAAGTTCTCGCCCGCCAGGAAGAGGGCCATCACAGCCGTGCTGTCGTTTTGTGGTTTCCTGGCGCCCGTCTCGTCGACGACCGTCTTGTCGGCCATCCCAGAGGTCGCGCACAACTTCCACACCTCCGGCACCATCATTAACCTGAGTAATGCCTTGTACATGCTTTTCATGGGCATCAGCCCCATGTTCTGGGGGCCAATCGGCCAGGTGTATGGTAGAAGATGGGTACGCTCAAAAGAGAACTTCTTCCGTCCCAAGCGATGACGTGCTGGCTGAAAAGTGACTGATCTGACCGACGTTTGGTATACCTGCAGGCTTCGATCGGCAGCGCCGTGCTCTTCACAGCCTTTTCCGTCGGAACGTCCCTAGCGCCAAACCTAGCGGCCTACTTTATCTTTCGCATCCTTACCGCTATACAGGGCACGTCATTTTTGATAATAGGGTCCAGTTGCATAGGCGACATCTACAAGCCGACGGAGCGCGGGACGGCGCTGGCCTGGTTCCTCAGCGGCACCCTGGTCGGACCGGCCATTGCTCCTTTTCTTGGAGGCATCATCGTCACGTTCTGTACGTGGCGCGACATCTTTTGGCTACAGACGGCGCTGGGTGGATTCGGCTCGGTCATGCTCATCTTCTTATTGCCGGAGACGAGCCACTATAAGCGGTCGGTGGAGCTGGAGGGCATGCCCGCGAAGAAACAGGCAGCCAAGCTGTGGGAATGGATGAACCCGCTGCGCGTCATCAAGCTCTACCGATACCCCAATTTGATCACGGTGGTGAGTAAAGAAAAGATATCTCTTCTCTTCCGCCCTGGCTGACGTCGGAAAATGCAGGGTCTCGCTTCGTCGTCGCTCGTGTGGAACATGTACTCGCTGCTCACGCCGATCCGGTACGTGCTGAACCCGCGCTTCCATCTGACGACGCCCATCCAGTCCGGGCTGTTCTACCTGGCGCCGGGGTGCGGGTACCTGTTCGGGACGTTCTTCGGGGGGCGGTGGGCGGACCGGGTGGTGCGGCGATGGATGGGGAAGCGGAACGGCGAGCGGGTGCCCGAGGACCGGCTGCGCTCGTCGCTTACAGCCATGGGCGCCGTCATCCCCGGCTGCATCCTCATCTACGGCTGGAGCATCGACCAGGCCAAGGGCGGCATCCCGCTCGCCGTCATCTGCATGTTCGTCCAGGGCGTGGCCCAGCTCTTCTGCTTCCCCAGCCTCAACACCTACTGCCTCGACGTCATGCAGAGCCACAGCGCAGAGGTCATTGCCGGCAACTACGTCGTGCGCTACGTCTTCGCCGCCCTCGGCTCCGCCCTCTGCCTCCCGGCCATTGAGAAGATTGGCGTCGGCTGGTTCTCCACCATCTCGTCGGGCTTCCTCGTCTCGGCCGCGGCCATGGTTTGGCTGACGACCGTGTACGGGCGCGGCTGGCGCGATGCCGTCAACGCGAAGATTGAGGCCAAGCAAATGGCCAAGAAAGAGCGCCAGGAGAGCGTTAGTGAAGACGACGCGTAAGCTGTTGTAGGGTTTTCTTTGAAAGTGAGTTTGTTGACTGAGGAGAAAAAGCTAGGGAAGCTCTGAAGAACATGATGGCAGCTGCGCTGACTAATACTGCTATAGCTTATGGGTGTACGGGAACAGGGAAGCTGCGTCCGGGGCGGAGGTCTCTTTCTACCTAGACACGCACCTAGGTACCTTGACTGATAATGCCACGAATCGATGACTATTTCATATTGTAGGTAGTGCTTTACCTACTACCTAGGCAGGATAACCAGGCTTCGCCCAGCCACACCCAGCAAGCCACACACCCCCTCCACACCCCTCCCCCCCCCGCCCCGCCGCGCTAGGTACTCCCGCTCCCGTTCCCGTCCCGTCCCCGCTCCGCCCCTCCTCCCCGCCCCGCACCACACCACATCTCATCTCATCTCATCTCATCTCACCAACCAACCCGAGTTTCAGAACCATCTCAGGTAGGGCCAGGAACAATCGCGCCACCGACACGCACGCACTCATTCCACACATCCCACACGCATCCATTCCACAGCCCACACACGTGTACCATAGTAGAGTGCATGCACACCACCCTCACCCGGCCATCATGCCATATCCATATGATGCCACAAGCATCGGCCGTCGATCCCGCGTCTCACCTCTTAATGGACATCACATCATCCCGCGCCACCATTCATCCCTCCCGAGCAGCAGCAGCACCACGGTGCGACGTTTCACCTACTTCCTCCTACCGCTGCTGCTGCTGCTGCTGCTGCTCCGCCGCGCCGCCGTCGGGAGCGCGCGCCACACCCGCCTCGCCTGCGCGGGAAGGAGGAGCCGAGGCGAGGCGGGGTCGGGCGTGCGCGTCGAAGCTAGGTACCTAGGTTGTCTGCTTGTCTGTCTGTCATGCCAGATCAGGCCAGGCCAGGGCAATCAGACATACAGAAGCAAGTCCTGCCCGCCGCGCACGACACAACCACAGCACTCGCCCGCCATTGCAATCCGCACCTATCAACGCATAGGTCATCTCAATCTCGATCCTGCCGCCATCCCCCGAAATAGCCACACCCACACCCACACCCACCGCACACAAGGATGGGGCGGGGCGCGCACCGTGCCCCTGCCATGCCGTGCCGTGCCGTGCCGTGCTCTGCGCCAGGGGCTTTCGGGCGGCGGGAGAGTCCTGCAGGGGTGTGCGTTTTGCGATGGCTTAGTGGGCGGGTGCGGGAGGCGCGTGCATTTGCGTGAGTATATTGTGCAATATGGTAGCATGATCAGCTGGACTTGAGGGGGCGTTTGATTCGAGGGGTGTGTTGTATATTGTATAGATAGGTAGATAGATACCTAGGTAGGCTGCTACGTACATACGTGCTTGTGGCGTGTTAGTAGGGTTGAGGGTAGCTAGATAGGTAGGTAGTGGGAGGTGTGTGTGGAGAATATGCAATGGGAGAATGGCTGCGTGGTCGGTTGGTAATGAGGTTTGTATGTATGTATGTATGCTTTCGAAAAACGCTGCGATAGAGAGCAAGAGATAGAAAGCTTAAAAAAAATAAAAAAAATTCATAGACCGTCTCTATATATACCCGCCCAATCCCAAAGAATGCGCCCCATTTTGTACAAGCGGCAATGCTCGCCCCCGTATCCAACACCATGCGCTCATCTACAAGGCATGAGGTAGGTAGGTATAATCGCGAGAGGACTAGGAGGTCAAGATGATGTAAATGGTGTAAATGGCACTCGTGGTGCCGTCGTTGGCGTTGCATACGCGCAGAAGGGTAGACAGGCTCACGACACGGTCCAGCGTGCCGTCGTATGCGCACTCCCTCGCTACGTTTAGTTCCTCTTGATGGGCACAGGCTTGCCCTCCTTGGCATCCTGCGCCTCCTGGGCCTTGACGGCCGCCTCGCGGGCCTTCATCCTGCGCTCCTCGGCCTCGACCATCTCTGTCCGCGGGTCAGCAACTGTTCGTACCGTATTTAGGTTGTATCTAGCATTGCACACATACCTCTCCACTGGTCCTCGCCGGCGTAGCGCTCGTGATGAATTGTCTTCTCAACGAACTTCGAGTGCGTAGGGTCGTTGGGGTCCAGGACCTTGATCGTCTCCCAGCGGCCAGTGCCCTTGTTCGCGTCGTTGGCCTCGAAAGCAAAGGAAGCAAGCAGGACGGCGAGCGTCAGACCCTGGGCGTAGACACGAGCCTGCACAAGCTTCTGCTGGCCGGAGAGGAAGGGGTTGCGCGAGACGATGCCGAAGGAAAGACCCATGGAAGCCAGCCATGACGCGAAGACGATCGGGTAACGGTTCTCAGCAGCCCAGTCCTTGACCTTCTCGAATTGCGTCTTGCCGGACTCGAGAAGAGCCTGGTTGGCCTTCTCTTCCTCTTCCAGGCGCTTCTTCTCCGGGTTGTTCTCAATGTCGAAGCGGCGGGAAGAGCGGTCGGCTTGGATGATGGCTGAAAGAGGTTCGCGTTAACAGGCGCTCTTGGTATCGGAGGTAATGGGCTACATACCAGCAAAGGTACCAGTCGATGTCCAAAGGAAAGCGCGCATGGGGACGGTAAGCTGACGAAAAACGGGGTACCTCTTCGACGCGCCCCACACACCGAGGCCACCGATCGCCAGGCCAATGATACCTCCAATGGTGCCTCCCCTGACGGTGGCGCTGCACATACAGTCAGTATTGGGGTTCACGGCTCGAGGCGCAACGGGGTCACAAAGGCACCACCGTCCGCAAAGCTTTTACCGAGGGATGCGGATGCGGATGCGTGGCGCAAAGGCGCAACCCGCTGGGCGATAGGGGGGGAGGTACTCACTTGTAGTGCGCCTGCTCTTCTTCCTGTGTGAGAATCTTCATGGTGGCGGTGTTGTTTGGTGGTCTAATGAAAAGCGCGTGGGGACTTTCTGTCGCGATGCGCTGTCTTCGGATGACAAAGAGAAGTCTCGCGGTGTTTCTGGAGGGAATCGCAACAAGCAAGCGACCAAGCAAGTGGCGGGGGGTATATGAAGGCGAAAGGATAGAAGTGAGGGAAGAGCGGATAGATGGAAGGGAGGAAAGATGTTAAGTATACATGACGTCGGCTGGAATGACTGACTTGCCGCACGTAACTCGGGCCGGCGACCAACAGGCGCGCACGGGCCACCAAGGCTCGATTATCACCCCATCGCGCCCATTTCGCAACCAGCCCTGCCGCAGCCCTCTCCCTTTCGGTTTGGAAATGCCCCTCGTCTCACTCGTCTCCCACGCGTCCACCTACCCACTTGTCCTTCCTCCCCCCGTTCCGTCCGCGTCCGCTCCGCCCGCTGTGTCCTTTTAGCCTGTGGCGCTGTTCCGCGGCGAGCAGGGACCGCCTCTGCCGAAGATGCCGAAACAAACATGCCGATCCACCCTACGCGTCGTATCTCCGCGCACCAAAAACCCTCGCCGCAACCTCGCCGACCATGCCGCTTACTACGGTTGGAGCCGGGTCGTCCTGGAATTGGTGGAATCTTGCTCCGGATCCTGTGAGCGTTTTTTTAGTTGAATTGTGATGGGCTGTGGCCTGGCCTCGTGCTTATTATTCACCCTTGCCACCTGGCAGATAGAGTAAGCTGCCGACGGGTGCTGACTTGTAAATTGTAACTTGTTGGAGGTGGGTTCCCGCCGCTTCTTGTACTT